GGCAACAAATCGTTGACCGAATACTGTTACCGACACTATATCCCCGTATGTTTTACTAGCCTCATAAAATCCTTGATACTGTTTTAGTTTTCTGTTTTTAAGTCTATTAAACCATATCAGGTTGCCTATCAATGGTAAACCCGGGGGTCCAGGTGGAAGGTTTGACCGTCTACCTAAATACAAGTAACATAGTAAGAAAACTGTTATAAAAACAAGTACAACCGATGTACTTAGGACACTTAATAGATTTACTTCCATGTTAAAAACACAGTCGATATCTAAACGTATATCAAATAAAACGTAGTATATTTATATAGTCAAGGCATATTCCGATAGTCCCGTATTTTAACCTGTGACCGATATAGTCATTGAAGGTCAGAGTAATTTATGGATAGGTTTACAGTTTATCGGTGCAGTAATGCATTTACACATTTGTCAGTGTGTGAAATACGTACGATATAAAATCTACAAACCAATATAAGAAATTAATGCAAATTCGAAATTCTTACATAGATAAATTAAACTTAGGCAATAAGGGGGAGGGGTGCGACGATATGACAGAAATGTACTCGGAATAAAATTGTCAATATGAGATGCTTTTACTTTTTAGTCATTTTAGAGAGAATGATATGAATCATTGCAAACAAGATATTAATTTGTCCAGGCGCTCATCAAATGCGGTTCATATCTCTAGTCCTATCATGTAAAAAAGAAACTCATTGGAGTCCTTTAATTTCAAAAATTGAGAACTAAATACAAATAAATGTTTGTAGCAAAAACAATCCAAGTTAATATACCTAAAGTGTACCGAGTGTTTGTTAGTCTGGCATCGCTCATCAGAAGCAGATTCAGATTGATTTAACGCTTACCTCACAAACGCTAACCTACTCAGTTTTGAGTCTTTAGCGATGTATCACGCTGATATAAAGTGATAAAATGAAGTATTTGAACGGCTCGTCCCGACGAAATAACTTAAATGTACCAAACATTTGAGGAAAGAATGATGCGACCTTACTGGAAAAATGTTTTTACTGAACTGACAATAAATGCCTATACACCTCTCTTAAATTATTTTTAATAAGAACACTTGCCTTGTTGACGTCATGTGTCCATATAAAATAACCAAATAAGTTAAACCAAAATATACAAATACATGTAATGACGAAATTCGAGCCTTTGCCTGCATAATTCAGCAATAATACGTGTTATGTTTACTGTAATTTAAGCCTGTTTACAAGATCTAATTTAGGCCAAGAAAATACATATTTAGTTTCACAAATATAATAGAACGAAAATACCTAAATTTCGCGTAATATAACATTTTGAAATTATAAAATATATATATAATTCTAGAAGCCAGAAATAGGTGTAAAACACACCCATAGAAGTCATATAGGCGAAACATGTTTGGTATCTTGATTAATATTAATTACAAGTGAGATAGAGAAAAACAGAATCCCTTAATAAATACATAAAAACAGCAAGATTGCAAAATGTTGCAGGCTCCTGTTCATGGACGGTGATGGTAAATGCAAGTTACCGCCCACGCCCCATAGCACCGCCTTAAGCAGTATTAACATTGAAACATGCAAATGTGTTCATACAGCGGAGGTGATCACGGGTTTTTCAATGCGACACGTTTGTGCCAATCAATGAAAAGAGGCGTATGACCCGAAAGTAAAAGTATGTTTATGCCCGCAATCTGTGGGAGGAACTGTATTAATAATTATATTAAATATATTTAAATATTAATAATTAAGTGTTGTTATAGAAAAAAGGCAACAAGTTTTGTAATTATTTTCATTATAGATATCTATCCACATCAATAGGCCCTATGTGATTAAATCGTAACACCCACTGCCCCGTGTAACAAGGGTGTTGAAAAAAATAAACTTGCTTCATTGGAGCTCTAACAAGGATGTTTGAATATATTAACCTGCTTCATCGGAGCTCTAACAAGGCTTTTTTGAATGAATAAACCTGCTTCATTGAGCTCTAACAAGGCTTTTTTGAATGAATAAACCTGCTTCATCGGAGCTCTATCAAGGATGATTGAATAAATAAACCTGCTTCATCTGAGCTCTAACAAGGATGTTTGAATAAATAAAACTGCTTCATTGGAGCTCTATCAAGGGTGATTTAATAAATTAACCTGCTTCATTGGAGCTCTATCAAGGGTGATTTAATAAATAAACCTGCTTCATTGAGCTCTAACAAGGCTTTTTTGAATGAATAAACCTGCTTCATCGGAGCTCTATCAAGGATGATTGAATATATAAACCTGCTTCATCGGAGCTCTAACAAGGCTTTTTGAATGAATAAACCTGCTTCATTGAGCTCTAACAAGGCTTTTTTGAATGAATAAACCTGCTTCATCGGAGCTCTATCAAGGGTGATTGAATAAATTTACCTGCTTCATCTGAGCTCTAACAAGGCTTTTTGAATGAATAAACCTGCTTCATTGAGCTCTAACAAGGCTTTTTTGAATGAATAAACCTGCTTCATCGGAGCTCTAACAAGGGTGATTGAATAAATTTACCTGCTTCATCTGAGCTCTAACAAGGCTTTTTGAATGAATAAACCTGCTTCATTGAGCTCTAACAAGGCTTTTTTGAATGAATAAACCTGCTTCATCGGAGCTCTAACAAGGCTTTTTGAATGAATAAACCTGCTTCATTGAGCTCTAACAAGGGTGATTGAATAAATTTACCTGCTTCATCTGAGCTCTAACAAGGCTTTTTGAATGAATAAACCTGCTTCATCGGAGCTCTATCAAGGGTGATTGAATAAATTTACCTGCTTCATCTGAGCTCTAACAAGGCTTTTTTGAATGAATAAACCTGCTTCATCGGAGCTCTAACAAGGGTGATTGAATAAATTTACCTGCTTCATCTGAGCTCTAACAAGGCTTTTTGAATGAATAAACCTGCTTCATCGGAGCTCTATCAAGGGTGATTGAATAAATTTACCTGCTTCATCTGAGCTCTAACAAGGCTTTTTGAATGAATAAACCTGCTTCATCTGAGCTCTAACAAGGGTGATTGAATAAATTTACCTGCTTCATCTGAGCTCTAACAAGGCTTTTTGAATGAATAAACCTGCTTCATCGGAGCTCTATCAAGGGTGATTGAATAAATTTACCTGCTTCATCTGAGCTCTAACAAGGCTTTTTGAATGAATAAACCTGCTTCATCTGAGCTCTAACAAGGGTGATTGAATAAATTTACCTGCTTCATCTGAGCTCTAACAAGGCTTTTTGAATGAATAAACCTGCTTCATCGGAGCTCTATCAAGGGTGTTTGAATATATTAACCTGCTTCATCGGAGCTCTAACAAGGGTGTTTGAATAAATAAACCTGCTTCATTGGAGCTCTAACAAGGATGTTTGAATGAATAAACCTGCTTCATTGGAGCTCTATCAAGGGTGATTTAATAAATAAACCTGCTTCATTGGAGCTCTATCAAGGGTGATTTAATAAATAAACCTGCTTCATTGGAGCTCTAACAAGGATGTTTGAATAAATAAACCTGCTTCATTGGAGCTCTATCAAGGATGTTTGAATAAATAAAACTGCTTCATTGGAGCTCTAACAAGGATGTTTGAATAAATAAACCTGCTTCATTGGAGCTCTATCAAGGATGTTTGAATATATTAACCTGCTTCATCGGAGCTCTAACAAGGGTGTTTAAATAAATAAAACTGCTTCATTGGAGCTCTAACAAGGATGTTTGAATATATTAACATGCTTCATCGGAGCTCTAACAAGGATGTTTGAATAAATAAACCTGCTTCATTGAGCTCTAACAAGGTTTTTTGAATGAATAAACCTGCTTCATCGGAGCTCTATCAAGGGTGATTTAATAAATAAACCTGCTTCATCTGAGCTCTAACAAGGGTGATTGAATAAATTTACCTGCTTCAGTTGAGCTCTAACAAGGATGTTTGAATATATAAACCTGCTTCATCGGAGCTCTAACAAGGATGTTTGAATAAATAAACCTGCTTCATTGAGCTCTAACAAGGCTTTTTAAATGAATAAACCTGCTTCATCGGAGCTCTATCAAGGGTGATTTAATAAATAAACCTGCTTCATCTGAGCTCTAACAATGGTGATTGAATAAATTTACCTGCTTCATTTGAGCTCTGACAACGATGTTTGAATAAATAAACCTGCTTCATTGGAGCTCTAACAAGGATGTTTGAATGAATAAAACTGCTTCATTTGGGCTCTAACAAGGATGTTTGAATATATAAACCTGCTTCATCGGAGCTCTAACAAGGGTGTTTGAATAAATAAACCTGCTTCATTGAGATCTAATAAGGGTGTTTGAATAAATAAAACTGCTTCATTGGAGCTCTAACAAGGCTTTTTGAATGAATAAACCTGCTTCATCGGAGCTCTATCAAGGGTGATTGAATAAATTTACCTGCTTCATTTGAGCTCTAACAAGGATGTTTAAATAAATAAACCTGCCTCATTGAGCTCTAAAAGGCTTTTTGAATGAATAAACCTGCTTCATCGGAGCTCTATCAAGGGTGATTTAATAAATAAACCTGCTTCATCTGAGCTCTAACAATGGTGATTGAATAAATAAAACTGCTTCATTGGAGCTCTAACAAGGATGTTTGAATAAATAAAACTGCTTCATTGGAGCTCTATCAAGGATGTTTGAATAAATAAAACTGCTTCATTGGAGCTCTATCAAGGGTGTTTGAATATATAAACCTGCTTCATCGGAGCTCTAACAAGGGTGTTTGAATAAATCAACCTGCTTCATTGAGCTCTAACAAAGGTGTTTGAATAAATAAGCCTGCTCCATTGAGCTCTAACAAGGGTGTTTGAATAAAATAACCTGTTTCATTGGAGCGGGAACAAGGATTTTTACCTGTTAAAAAGGAGTCAAATATACACTGCGTTCAAATTAGTTTGTACATAGCAATTTTATTTCACAATTGTACAAATTTTGTAAATAATTAAACAAATTATAATATCAAAAGATAAAATCTTATATTTATTGAGTACTGTGCATAATAACAAATCGTTCACATGAAAATCTAGAAACATAAAAGAATGCTGCAATTAATGTACAAAAATAATTAATAACACTTTACAATATTCTATGTTATACTTCACTGTTGAAAAAAATATTATAGTTTTACTCAATATAACAGCTGAATGCCCTTTTAAAAGTTAAGTTGTTCTGCAAAATAAATTTCTACTATTAAAAAAAAATATTACAATTTCATTTCTATTTTGTTGCCCACAACATTCATAGTCCATGCGCGCAATAATTCGATATAATTAAAATAATTAAGAGTATAAACTTACATAAATATGTATAAAATGTTTTGTTTGTTTTGATCTTATTTTTCTTCTAAACTCTATCATTTATCTGGTGGTAAATTTTTGATCCACCACATCTCTATTGAGATGTAGTTTTTATTTCGGATAGTTTAACTTTACCGGCCAGATCACTTTAATCGTAAAGATTCAGTTTAAAGGCACAAATGCAATACTATACACGTGTAAAACTTTAATACACACATCGCCCACATTAATACAGTATACATCTTTCACGCCACCGTCAGCTCGTAATCTTCATTCATATTCATTTATATTTCAGATTTCTGTTATAGACTGCATATAACCTGAACTGCAGCACGGGTTGTCTTGTAAGACCTTATCCTAAACCCGTTTCATTGCACGTGTTTTGTATGGTTGTGGCGCACTTGTGGATTGTTCAACTATATTTTCGAATGAATGCTTGACGTTGTCGTCTTCTCGGCAGAAAGTAAATCGCTGCAGCAGATTTGTAAATATCAGAAACATTTCCATCCTTGCCAAAGATTCTCCTAAACAGATACGAGGACCTTAAAATTAAAAAGGAATATATATATCTCGAACTTTTGCCGTTGCTATACATTTTTTAAATATAACGGAACATGAAAACAAAAGAAACGTAAATGGTTAAATGAACTGGAACAGATACAACCCTAAAACGATGAAGTGAATAGTTAACTTAAATGCAAAACAAGATTAAAAGAAAGGCAAATATGCATTTGCGCTGTTCTACGACAGCTAACGATGGATATTAATGCTTCATATAAAGTCTTTATACTTGGAAAATATTACAGATCCATGCATTTCCTAACATCTTTTTGTGTATTGATGAAAGTAACATCTGTTGTATTTATTTGATACCATTATCACAACAGCCTCATACTCAGTTATCTCCCTTTATCAGTACAATCTGCCAAGGGAGGCAATCACTGTGAGGAGTTTGTTATGACATGTGTAAAATTATGAACCTCAATATTGTGCAAAATGATCTTAAAAAGAAAAGCGTTTGAACGCTTTTAACTCAAACTAGGCTAGAAATCACACTAAGCAACGATGGATATGTATCGTTACCTATTGAAAACGGAATAAGAGCTTGATTTTTCTTCAGTTTGCCATTTTCCATGAATCTGTCAGGTTTGAATGTATCGGGTTCATCCCAATGACGAGGGTCAATGTTGGAGGAGTATAAACTTGCGACAATAAGGCTCCTTCGTGGTATAAAGTATCCTCCTAGTTCCATGTCAACTTCGTTTGTGTGTGGTACTGACATTGGAGCTAAAATTAAAAAAAAAATAGTTAAAAAAATTATTTTGCGGCAAAACACTGTTGCTAGAACACACATATTCACATTTTAATTTACATTTTAATTGACAATGCGCTTAAAACTGAATGTAGATCTAAAAATGGTTTGTATTAATTATTTCAAACTTAACAGACAAAATGTGCAAGCAATACTCGTTTTCAACTAAACTTGGACATTCTTAATCAGATTATTATCAGGATAATGTCCTCAAATGCGTTCATAATTTTAGTGGGTATACGAGTACACCGTATATCCTTGCATATAAGATGTTTGGATAAGCTCACTAAATAGCTTCTATATTTTTACTTTATGTTTGTCAAATTGCAGTTGCTTACACCAGTTGAGCATTTGATCATTTTTTCTGAACCTTATTAAAGTCAACTACAGACGGATACTCACCAATATTGGCCAGTCTTTGTATTTCTAGAAGAGTAGCCTCAATATAGGGTAAAGATCCTCTATCTGCCCATGTCACCACCTTGTCACCGCATTTCTACAAAAATAACGAGGAAGTACTAGTATTATATTAGTTTATACAAATTTATTTTACATTTGTAGTTCGATTGTGCTGGAAGCTAAAAGTTTATTGAAACACTCTCGAATCCGTTCCTGGAACCAACCAGTACTAAGCAATGAATGTAAATTATCTTGCTCAAGGAAACAAACGGCTTGCCCCTGACAGAATTTGAGCAATCCTTAGATTACTAGTCCGACGCGATAACCACTCGGTCACACCAGTATTGTATTATAACTGTAGATAACACATTTATGCATACATATATGTATATGTCATAACAGATTATAAAGAAAAAAACACTCCTCAATAGAGATAGTGAACTTTTATGTAATCTAGAAAATTAATGGGTCAATAGTCGACCGCTGTACTTTAGTATATCTTAATTAGATACCAACGCAAAGGGAGGTAATTATATGAAAAACTGTGGTCCTTTTACCTCTGAGATTTCTTGTTGACATTTTTTCTGTATATCTGGATACTCTTGCATGTACAATATACACCAGTTCACTGTGTTTGAAGTTGTTTCTGATCCAGCTATAAACAGATCCATGATTACCCGAAAAATGTTACCCTCTGAAAAAGGAACGAATATGTTATCATACAAAACACATATTTATTATATACATGATTATGTTATGAACGGTTTAAACCATCTTATAACGAGAAAGTTTAATCTATTTTTTAAACTTTTCATTTGGTGTTGACGGGTGAAGGTTCGACCCAATTAATAACCTTTCATTTGATAGAGACTTTTTATACACTTTTCATCTGTTGTTTATAGGTGAATGTTTGGCCTACCTTATAAACTTTTCATTTAGTGGTAATGGTTTTACTTATTTCATAACCGGAAGATTTTAACCTTTGTCATTTGATGGTGACAGTTTAACCCATCTTATAACCTTTTTCATGTAGAATTTATTTTATAACCAGAAGTTTTACTCTACATTATAACCTTTTCATTTGCGTTTTCTTTTCATTTGGTGGTGACGGTTTTACTTGTTTTAGGGTTTTTCATTAGGCGTTGACTTTTGAACCTTTTTAACTGACTGTTTGTTGTTAATGTTGTTTTTTGTATTGTTATTAACCTAAAACTTAAGACGTAAATCAAATTAGCAGGGTCACATATTTGGACTTTATTTTTTATTTTTTTCTTATTTAATATGAAAAATAATTTTGAAACTTACTGTTAAAAGTATTTTCATCAGTACGTTGAAGCTTTGCCTGTATATATAGATCGACAAAATCTCGTATGTTCTCGTTATCATACGTACTCTCGTGGTTATTTATCTCGCTGTAAATATGTTCTTTGATCCATCTAATTGTTTCCAAACGTTTCATTTTAGTTTCGTAAGCCTTTTAAGAAAAAAAGTATATATTTAGTCATTTAATATGTACCTGGTGATGCAAATAATATATTTAATATAGTTAAACATTATTTGTTTAACTATCTTATGAAAGCAATGAACCTCCTAAAATGTTGTTTAACCACATAGGTTCAGCAGTTTATTGAATCTAAAATTACCATTATGAACCACTTAAATTATTATAGGACAGATATATTCATATAACGTTCATGAGAATGCCTACAACTTTAAGAAAGTCATGTATATTTAATATAATAATTATGCTAGCGTGAGAAAACTACCCTTAACGTAATTTCACAAATGATGTTATAAGACGTTAACGTTGCCATTGACGTAAAAAAAAGAGTATAACCATTGGAATGTTAAAGAAAATATGAACAGGTTACACTATGCAAATTTCATAAGATTTTTTTATTTATTTCAAAAGCTATAGAAGTGAATTTCTTCAAAAAATCAACATGTCAATATCTTTAAGAACTTAACATGTCAATTTACAAAAAAAGTAAGTTTAAAACTTTTTTCTCATGCGGGCGTCTTAAATAGATTAAGAACTGTAAGAAAGCTACAGGTTGATCACTTATCCATCCGAAACCAATCCTAAGGTTTATGATTGAAACATATTAGAAGACAGGATAATTTAACACCTGTACATGGGAAAATATAATAAAAAAGTTATCTTATATAATCACCTCGCGGTTAATAATTTTCAAAATAAATGATGGAAGTTGTCCGTCCGCTGTTAGTACTCCTCCGCCAATACGAAATATTCTATCCAAATTCTCGATGATTTCATGTAGCTTTTCATCTTTGTAATCAAACCTTCAAAGAAATAATAACATACAGGTACATGAAATTTTAATTTTCACCCGTGACAATATTAATATAGCAAGAATACAAACAGCAATTGTTTCCTTGATTGTCATCTGATACGCAAAGTGTGACCGATTCTTTTAAATCAAACCCACCCCTTTGCCCAGAGCAACTTCCTCACCTTTTTCCCTTTATAACAATTTCATAGAGTGCTGTATATTTGAGTACATGTACATCCCCTTTTGGAGTAAGTACTTCTCACTCAAATATTTATTCAAAGAAAAAGATATTCACCTCTTCGCAAAAACAATTCCGTATATAACGTTGGTAATCATCATTGACGTAAGAAGTCGTACATCAAACGGTTTTCCTTCGGAGGCGGTAAGAACTTCATTAGCAGCATCAACTTCGTGCATTATCTTTTCCTCTAATGACGTCTTTCCTACCCCAAAATCTCTCAATGTTTGTAGTACAAACTTCCGGAGAACTTTCCATGGTTCACCGCTCTGCCAAACAACCCCTGCAATCAATTTTGTATTTATATTGATTTTAAATAGATATGGCGGCAATAGAGCTCTATAACCTAATATTTAAGTGTTCGTGCTATTTTATTTAGGATATTACTTTTCTTGCTTATCAGACTGGCATTTCCGTTAGTTTAACCCATGTCGGACATTTTATTTCATCATATTAATGATTTGATATATGTTTCAACAGTACTATGCACCTGAATATATAATACAATGATCACTATAGAAAAATAACCATTTTAAAGAATTGGTATCGTAGCTGCTTTTTTCTTTTTCTTTTATAATACTTGTACATGTACATTGACTTTAATTTCGGTAGTATGGTGGCATATTTCTGCCAACAGTTAACCATATAATTATCGCGTTAACTATCTAACTAACTAGTTAGTTTTCGTGTTAACATGATAAATAACAGATATTTATCAGATTAACTTGATAATTTTCACACAGTAAATCTTATTTTTCAACACTAACTCTTTGTGACCTTATCTGTATTCAACCTTCGTCAAGCAAATCGTTATCACGGTGTTTTGGTCGGTTAAAATATCGTCTGTCGCGCTATTCATAACATGTAACGGCTTTAACATTCTCGCAGCTCTATGCTACACCCTCGCGGGGATTTACCTTAACCTTCGCATGTCTCTTTCGGGGACCTTAGGCTGTTTTCCAGTGTCGGTGATCAATAGGCGACTATTTAAAAGGCCCAAACAGAACACCGTACATCAAAAGAAATGTCCGCATGTCATTGTCAAAATTTTCATAAAAAATTAGTATCAATCCGGAGGCATGCTGCTTCAAAACTGGATGAAGCTATATAAAAAAAGTAAATACACGTACGTCGTTTCAAATGGATATTTGCATCGCCTCGTTTTATGTACACATTATGATATATCATATATTATTGATTTCCAATATCTGTGTAGATTCTTTGAGTTTACTGTCAGCTTTGTAATATTGAAAGTTGAATTGAATCTATCTATCTTCCATTAATGTCAAACCCCTCGCGGTACACCTCTTGTTAGGTGGGAAACACTGACAGTGTCTCTGAAAAATCCCAAGGGTGTTACCCAGGATCGAACCCGGGATCTCAGGAGTGACAGCCAGTGGTCTAACCTATTGAGCTATCGCGCCACCTCTGATCTATCGCGTTACCTGAATACTGACTAAATCAGTTATAAAACTTTAATATGGTAAAAGACATATCCCATTTGATTCTAAATATCACTATCTACAGAATGTCAGAAAACAGTCTAACCTTTCCCTTCTTTAATAGCTTCTTTAATTGCTCGGAGCCAGCTTGGTCGACTGTTTAGCACGTCACTATGTTTCACAAAAGCGTCACGTATAGTATCGTATCCGTGTAGGGCAACAATCCTTTGACCTAATACTGTTACCGACACTATATCCCCGTATGTTTTACTAGCCTCATAAAATCCTTGATACTGTTTTAGTTTTCTGTTTTTAAGTCTATTAAACCATATCAGGTTGCCTATCAATGGTAAACCCGGGGGTCCAGGTGGAAGGTTTGACCGTCTACCTAAATACAAGTAACATAGTAAGAAAACTGTTATAAAAACAAGTACAACCGGGGTACTTAGGAAACTTATTAGATTTACTTCCATGTTGAAAACACAGCAGATATCTAAGCGTATATAAGATAAAACTGCCTGAACAAAAAACGTAGTGTATTTATATAGTCAAGCCGCCTTCCGATAGTCCCATATTTTAAACCGTGATCAGTGACCTATGTCTCATCATTGAAGGCCGGAGTAATTTATAAATAGGTTTACAGTGTTTCAGTAAACATTTGTCAGTGTGCTGTGCGAAATACACCAGATATAAAATCTATAAACCAATATATAGTGAGAAATTAATGATAGAAATTAATGCTAAGCAGGAAGCTAAAAACATAATGGAAATTCTTACATAGATAAACTTTGGCAATTCATGAAGTGTGTGTGTGGGGGGTGCAAAATATATGAAAGGACTGTTCTCGGAATGAAATTGAAACTGATTGTACGAACAACTTAAAAGCTTTTTATTTGTGAATAATTTTTGACAATTGACATTACGCCAGAGAAGAGATTGCTCCGCCCACTGATTCACGTGACCCGGTCATTCAGAACCTTAGACAAAAGACTGTACCAACGTTTACGCGAAACTGTCATGCCACTTAAGTGACTAAAGAATTTACCTTATATAATTTGGTATACATAAGATTTTAATGCTTTTATTGAATAGTTCAATGTTTTATGATATTTTAAAAAGTAACAATGTAAAAAGTAACTGCATTCACGCATTAATGATAAATAAAACGTTTGGCAAAGATCTTGTTATATTTCTCGCTGAGTTCAAGACAGATGGTACTGAGCTGACTTCAAGGAAGATGTTTCTGACAAAATATAATTTTAGTTTAGAAATTCAAAGAAAGTTAAAATTGATGTAGCAGAACATATAATAGTTATATCATTTCATTTCATTTATTGGCAAATCGGCATTATAAATGCCTTTGTCCATTTACATACTAAATATGGCCAAGACATACAGTTTACATAAAAGTTACACAAAAACTCCACATAATAAATAATCAGCAAATATCAGCAAACATTAAGAAATTTTAAACACACAAATGAAATAAATCCTACGAATCAATGAAACATTTACAAATGTTTTTGGGGTTTTATGTGCGAAATCACTTATATGTAATGAATTTGTGCATAAATTGTCAAAATTAAATGAGAAAATTGCCCTTGCGTAACTTTGTTGTATGATATATGATTATATGTATATTCGTACATTAGATATTTTCCCGATAAAACGCAATATTATTAACTTCAAAATAAGTTTCGCATATACCAGACCTCGGCTTTAAATTAAAACCGTGATCAGATATGATGTTATTGAAGCATGAAATGTATTTAAATTCATTGAGCTTTAATAGTAATATTTAGGTAGGATAATTTCTCCTAAAATATTTATTGCATATTTTCTCATTTTATCTTCAAGTACTTTTTTCTACTTCAGCATTTTATTGACACTATGTTGTAAACGAACAAAAAAAATGTCATATCATCTGAATATTCTAGGCCTTATAATATATTATGTGATTATGAATAGACATAATTGTAATAAAGTTGTTTAAACTTTTTCCTTATTTAATGCAATGTGGTATGGCCAGTTTTAATTTTCGTACCTGCTATATAACTTGTTATCTTCATATCCTATAGAGAGTTACTGGTGTTTTTGTTTTTGTAAAATGAACTAACTGACTCCATCTGTCAATATGTCAACCAAAGTTAGACTTAGCAGAAATTTGAAAAATACTACAATGTGATTGGACAAAAAATAATGTTGATCATTAAAGTACACGTACAACACTCAATGAATAAATGATAAAGGTTAAAAGGTATGACATTTTGGAATAATGAAATATATAATATATAAAATACACAAAGAGAAGTCGTATCTAATATAGGCGAAACATGTTTGGTATTTTATTAATATTAAAATAATTAATTACAAATGAGATATAGAAAATCAGAATCACTAAAACGCCTAAAATGGCAAGATTGAAAATGTTGCAGGTTCGGTTTGATTGAGCTTGTTATGGGTGGTAATGGTAATTGCAAGCTACCGCCCACGCCCCTTAGCACCGCCTTAAGCAGAATTCAACATTTAAACAAGAAATGGTGTAATTTTGTATCAAGAAACATCCGCAAATGTGTTCATACGTCGCTGACCATGGAAGTTTCAATGCGACACGTTTGTGCCATTCCATGAAAAAAGGCGTATGATCCCCAAGTTAAAGAATGATTGTGCCCTCGAGAAATCAGTGAGCGGAACTGAATTATTTAGACATAATAATTATCTGTTGTAATAAAAAAAGTATTATGTTTTTGTTATGATTTTCATCTCGTCAGAAAGCACGTGGTTTGAATCAAACTGATGACCAAATTGTACAAAATCATGTGTTGTCATTTTGCAAAGAAATGGTCGATCTCCGTGCAAAACATGTCAAATTCAATAAAGTTAGTTCCTTAATATGTATCAATTAGGCATTTTTCCAGCAAATTCTTATAGTTATATGTCCATTTCAATTGGCCATACCTGATTTTAAATATCGCAACACCCACTGTACCCTACCCCAGCACCAAAACCTTTATTTAGTGCCAGGGCACTTTATGTTAAACACTTCTGTAAACATTTGGTTGTTATCCAATCACAGATGAGAACTTCTTTTTTATAATTAGAGAAATTTGATATATTTTAATAAAAATCATACAAGAAAAAGATATAAAAGAAAATGTTACGCGTGAAATTTTGTCATCTTTCTGTAACAGAAATTCCGATGGTTAACCTATTCTAAAAAAAAAAGTGTTCTACAGTATAGATGAAAATTTTGCATGACTGACACGAAATTGCTAAGGGACAGGCAGTCGATCAGGGGCATTAAATTGTACGTTTGAAAGTCATTAATTCAAAAGTTGGTTGAAATCCATCGAGAAATATAGGAGCTGCACACAGAAGGGTGTTTTCTTTCTATTTATTACGTATGTGAAACGCAACAACAACGGATCATTGGTAGGTCAAAAATAATAAAATCACAAAATCCAGGCAATTTGCTCCAGCTAGGGCACTTCTTGATAATATTTCTGTGTAAGCTTGGTTAAAAATCTCTGAGAATTGTAGAATAAACCTTGTAAAATAAAAGAACCATATGGTGACACTGTTATCAACCGGCTGACTACCTTTATCCTATGCCTCTAACCATCCAAACGTATATTAATCATCTATTATTTATACATTGTAATTGGGTGCTACGGGATATTATTTTATGTTAAGTTTACCGTTATTGACAAAACAAATGGAGCCGAATGCCTGTGCTACTAGTATCTACGGATGCTTCCTGGTGCCAAATTTTAATATTCTATAGAAAAATCTACTTCTTAGTAGTAATTCAAAACATAAAGAAGATAACTAAAATTAGGATTATAACAAATGCGCGAAGGATTTGACATTAACGGAAGATAGATAATGTGCGAAGCGTCCTGCTTAAAGAGTACTTATATTAGGCTTCTTTTTCCTAATTAGTAATGAAACATCCTATTCGCACTTAAATTTCTCCGAATTAGGCATTTTGTATTTTTTGTTTGTTTTTTTAGCCGCAGACAACGCATCATCCTAGCATGATTTGTTGATCTCCAATGCGTTAAAATGTTTATTCTGATTTCATCTGACATATTTTACCCTTACAGAGGGACCCCAGAGCTTGACAACAACGCCATATGATGTTTAATGTGTTTGTGCAAGTAAAAACCAACAAACTTATGACTGAAAGAAAATAAGACTAAACCTATGTACGGGCTAATCTTAGATAGCATTTTAACACATATTTGATTAAGTTGTGAAAGGATTTTAAAAAATATTGTGACCTGTAAAATGTTAACAAATAAACAAAGTTTACCGTGATTTAACTTTGTGACATAGTAAAATGTGACCTCAAATAAAATATACAAACTTAGCATAGATATAATAAAGGTAAACACTGATCAAGTTTCATTATGACCTTTTGGATATATTATTTCTTTTTTTAAAAAAAAACAAGAGGCCCATGATGGCCCTGAAATCGCTCACCAGAATATAACAAGGGACTACTACCAACAAAAGCAGATATAAAATCTAAATCTTAAACTGATATCCACATGTTCATGTTTGAATCTGAAATAGTGCATGTGTAAAAACATTACTTACTGGTTGCTATTTATGAGAGAAAAACAGCAGTTCCAAAAGATGTGTACATAAAAGGAAACTCAATGACCCCTGGGCTTAATATGAACAAATTTAGGATGTTTCGTGCTCAATATTTAAGCCCTAGTTCTTTGGGTTTTTTTTATTTTAAAGAGGATTTTTTAAGTTTTTCTTTTTATACATGCCGGTATAACGAAAATCAGTAACGCTCTTGGGCAGAGCCAGTTTTGACCCCAGGACTTTTATTTGAGCAAACCTGGTAGACACTCACTAGAGAATGTTTCATGATAAATATCTTAAGCTCTAGCTCTTTGAGTTTTTAAAAGAAGATTTTCTAAGGTTTTACAATACACATGTAAGGAAAATCAATGACCCCGGGCCGGACCAATTTTTACCCAAGGGTTTTTATTTGAATTAACTTGGTAGACACCCAAAAGAAGATGTTTCATGATAAATATCTACGTTCTAGCTCTTTTCTTTTTTAAAAAGAAGTTTTTACTATATACATGTAAGGAAAATCAATGACCTGATCGCACCCCACCCCCCAATTTTGATCCTGGGGCTTCTAATTGAACAAACTTGGTACACACCCACTAGAAGATATTTCATGCTTAATATCTAAGCTCTACTTCTTTGGTTTTTTTAAATGATATTTTAAGTTATTACTATGTACATATAAGGAAAATCAATGATCCCCAGGGGCAGGGCCAATTTGACCCAAGGGCTTTTATTTGAACAAACTTGGTAGACACCCACTAGAAGATGTTCCAAATATCTAAGATCTAGCTCTTTGGGTTGTGTAAAAAGAGTTTTTTCTTTTAGTTCTGCATGGAATTATTCTTTGATTAATTTTTAAAGGTGACTACCAAAGGAACATTCCTGTGAAGTTTGATGAAATCGGCTAAGCCATTAGTCAGGAGATGTCATTTAAAGTAACAGTTTATGGATGGATGACAGACGGATGGATGCTGGACATGGATGCTGGACGAATTGTGTCACTTTGTGATAGGTGAGCTAAAAAGGGAATATTGATGATGAAGAAATTACTTTTTTCCTTCTTCAAAAAGGGACAAACTTATGTTCAGTGACCTTGTTATAATGAATTTAAAGCATATTAGATGTTTATAATCAGAGGTAAATCTTGATGGGAATAATTTGTCATAAATGTTAGGCAGGATGTTAACAAAGTTGCATTCTTATTTTCATACAAAATAGTAAATGACTATAACTCAACCAACTAGCAAAAGACCTAAGATGGTTCAGTTCTATTGTCACTGAGTACTTGTTGAAAACAGTAACAGGATACCAAAAAAGGTGTTTGAGAAATGATAATAATAGCCTTTTAGGGGACTTGACGGGCCTTTTAACCACTGTTTGATATGAAAGATTCTGTATTGTGCAAAGTTCTCAATCTCTTTTAAACGTAATATAACTATATTCAACTGCTCTATCAAACTTTCCATCTCGAGATGTATAAAACATTTGGGAGCTTTCTATTCTTTTTCTATCAGTTGATATTGTTAATATTTACATAAATTAAAGGCACATTATGCCTCAGAAGCAAATAAGAGTTTACTTCTTTAGAAATAGCAAACATTAATTTTATAATATTTAAAAAAATGGTTTTAGACAATGTTAGATGTTTGGTACCAAAAGAAAGTAGCCATAAATGTGAAATTACTGGATTTAAAGCATATTAGATTTTTATAAAGAGCTGAATATGAAATTAATGGTAATAGATGTAGTAAAATGTAAACAAAGTTGTATTTTGACTTCCATACATAAAACTTATTCACATCTTATTGCCAAACACAACCCATGGAAAAGATTGGGTAATTTGCCAATGAGTAACTTTTGTGATACTGTAAAAGTGCACCAAAATTAAAAAGCTTTTGAGAAATAAACATAAAAGTGTTTCTGAGGCATAATGGACCTTTAATTATATCTCAATAATTGAAAAGAGAAATAAAATCATAACAAAAATCTGTATATATCTTTATTTCAAATATAACAATATAGGATATACATGTATATCACACTACAGATCTGTACACAAATAAAAGCTTTACAGCCAGATAAAATCAGCCAATTGTTTTAAGAATTAAAATCCTTTAGTTTTTAGTTTTGTCAAAATACTCCATTGAAAAAAAAAATTATATTAGTACTGACCAGACCTGACTGGTCATTTCATATCCAGGTGAAAAATCTCAAGCATTTATCGGAAACAATTCAACTTTCAAAACTAATGCGAAAACCTGATAAATATATCATTTCAATGTGATGTTTGTTTCAACACTGTGTTCTACATTTTTTATACTTCAATCCTTACAAAAACTATACTTGTTGTTCTAGAAAATGGTAATTACATTATTTTCCTTAAAGTTATACACTGTAACATGGAAAAAGGGTTGTACATGTATTGCACAGCTGATAGCTATTGAGTCTTCTAATTATATAATTATATGTACTCGTGTACACGTATTTTACAATCTTTTACTTCATCTAAAGTTATTCTCATGAACAAGTTATAATTAAGGTAAAGACAGCGTGTACAATACTAACTATCACTGATACACCAACTATATAAAGCTGCATAGAAAATAGAAGTACAAAACAATTTATCTTTTTTCAATTTAAATTCATTGGAAATCTCTATCAATAACCCACACCCTGCTAAAGCCAAAAGTGATCAACCTTTGACATTATGAGTAACAGATTTAGGCCAGCCTTCGCTTCCATGCAATCTGACCAGGATCGCTATAGAGCCAGGCCAACCTGCACATCCATGTAATCCAGTAGGGCTAAGGCTCTATAGTGTTGGTTATGATTAATTTGAAATTTTTATCTCTTAATCCCCAATATTGATAATGGGAAATTCCAAAAAAGGACCCTGGTCAAGTCCATTTTAGAAATCAGGAGGGTAGAGGAAATCCTGGTGTGCTGTCCTCGTTCAAATATTGTTTTCATAACAGAGAATTCACATTAAAAACTCTACACATATAGCTCTATACAATTACTAAATTTACTAAATCTACAATTGACTACTATAAAAGGCAAATTCAAAGGTCCCATTTGTATCAACACTTCTTTAAGGCTAAATGCATTATGATGATTAAATTTCACAAAGTCACAAACAATATACGTAAGTATGTATGTAATGTGGAAGGGTGTGTATACAGAATGACCTCTGTTGGGATACAAAGAATTAAGTTGTTGCTGAAGAGGTTAACTTTAAAGTGAAGTCTTACTTTGGGAAGAATTGGTACTGTTGTTGTGAAGAGGTGATTGCTCTGTAGAGGTTGTACCGAGTATGATATTGTATTTTTTACACCTGATAACAAATTATACAAGTCCCTTGGGGGACTCATGAAATTCTATGCAAAATCTAGGCCCTCTTATCATTGAGTAAAATATAACCGTTCTCCTTGTAAAGATTTTATATGATTATTTAACAATATAGAAAAAAAAACTGAAAAAAAATTCCTTTGGCCTTTTATAATACTTTCTGTGAGCGCGTGAACAAACATTACTGGTTGGTTCCAGAAACAGATTAGAGAGTGTTTCATTAAGAATATAGCTTCCAACACAATCAAACTATAATTAATTAGTATAAACTAATATACAATTGTACAATACTTTACACACCCAATTGTATAATACTTTACACACCCTTTATTGTACATATTCAATTCACACTAAAATGTATTTCATAGCTAAAAATCTGTATTACAAAATATCAATTTTCACATTTAATTATGTACAGCTTGATGAATTAGATATAAAGTAATGCTACATTGTTAATGGTTCATAAATGAAAAAAATGAAAGCATGGAAAATATAAAAGTATATAAAAGTATAGGTACTTCTTTTGACATAATTACTTAACTCTGAAATTTGATTATAATGGATTTAAAAATGTATATGGTAGCCGTCCTAGGTTACCAAAATGGTTAAATTTAAAGGCTAATGTATTAAAGCAATTTTTTTTATTGAAATGTCACTGCAGTTTTAGAAAAAATATTATTTAACGTTATTTGTCAAAGAAAATAATTAATATCAACATATAAAAGATATATTACATATTTCTTAGTTGCAGGAAGAAAATTGATTTCTTTATCTATACCCCCCAACATAACACATTAAACAATTCATTATAGGTAATATACATGTACAATGATTGGTTGAAAGGTATTTTCTTTGAGCTGCATTAATGAATAGCTTTGAATAGCTAATGACAAATATTACAATTGCTTTAAATTAAAATAAAAACTCACAATTCTTTAATAAAATATAAAATATTCACCAAAATTTATTATCATAATTCAAGACACTTTATCTCCTATGTAACATTAATATTTTTAAGATAAATGTAAATATTCATTTTCATCAAATATAAACTATTATTAGTAACCATAATATAGTAATGCCTTTCTTATTTTCACAACTCACTCATCAAAAAATAGTTCAAGTATATATATTTATATAATATATTTTTGTCTTTGTGCAACAAAGTCATGTTTTTATCAGACATTCATCATGTACATGACACACTTATTATTATGTCACATACTATATCACTAATTAAATTACTACTATGACGTCATTCCTTTGTTCTGCCAGTGAAAGAAGCTTGTATGCATGACCACAGGACTTTGGAATTGTATCCTAATATAAAATAAGTAAAACGCAACCTCTTATATGAGAAGAAAATATGAGGAATGCAACGCCATTCACATTTTACAGAATTTACAAAAAAGAACAATAATTGTTATATGCGATACAGAAATGCTAAAACCGATTATTTCTTTTCTCATTTCACAAATACTATCTTCCAGACTACTGGTTTTCAATTCCAAGCTCTGAAAAATCATATCATTGCTTACGCTTTCCTAGTGAAAGGAAGCGGGGCGTCAGTAAGGATATAATTTTGTTGGCATTGTTTAAATGGTTTAATTTCTTGACTAACTTTCCTTTCTTTCGTTTTTATACATGTACATACATTTAGTTTACAATCATACTTGATTTGCTGCATTGTATGTACACTAAATAATCAGTATAAATCCTCATTAAAGGACATTAATTGTCTCAGAGTCAATCATCAAGCTTTCTATTTTACATTTTTTTGGGGGTAAAAATCCCAAAAATAAATTGACGTATACTGGATGCTTGTAAGTCCACCATATTGTGTAACTGGTATAATTTGTGTGTTCATGTACATCAAAACACGAAAATTTCATGCTACTCGGACATCTGATTATTCAAGAGGCTACCTTTAGGGTATTTGCAAGTAAAAAGATAATTTATAAAACATTTAAATTGTACATTTCTAGCACAAAAAAATGCATTATTTCTAATGCTTTGATAGATTACATGATATTTGATAGCATAAGTAGTAATTCAAGTAAGATATAAGCCTCAAACTGGCCAATAAGTAAAATATTGAATTCCCTTCGGCGCTACGCACCTCATGAAATTCAATATTTTACATATTGGACAGTTTTCGGCTTATATCTACTAAATCATTTTGTACATCAGTCATATATGTTCTTTATCATTCCCTAATCATTTTGTACCACTAACTTGTTTTCTTTATCTTTCATGCATATGTCCCATGATAAAATGATTCATATACACCAACATAGTTTATCAATAACCTGTAACAACCAATCATGCTCTTCCTCAAAAATTCAAGTTCAATATCACTCATTTGTGTTCATTATCATTCATCCATGTTGTATATCACTCACTCTGCCACGTGTTCTAGTTGAATGTCACTCAATCATGTTGATTACTCATTTGTTGGTATGTCAGACTCATCTATATTATTTGTCATTAATTCATTTTGTATGTCAATGTCACTTGTTCAAGTTCAATGTCACTCATTCTTGTTGTTTAATATATTCACTCTGTCATGTTATATATCACTCCTTCATGGTATATATCACTCATTCATGTTATATATCACTCCTTTATATTATATATCACTACTTCATGTTATATACATGTATAACTTATTCATGTAATATTTCACTCAGTCATGATATATATCACTCATTCATGTTATATATCACTTATTCATGTTATATATCACTCAGTCAAGTTATGTATCAATCCTACATGTTATACGAGTATATCACTCATTCACCTTGTATATCACTAACTCATTTAAGTTATATTTAAGTTGAATGTCACTCATTTAAGTTGTACGAATTTAAGTTAAATACCACTTATTCATGTTTTATACATTCACTTAAGTTACTAGTATATTTAAGTTTAATATCACTCATTTAAGTTGTATTTAAGCTAAATATCACTTATTCATGTTATATATCACTCACTTACATTCCTCAACATTAATTCATATTCTTTGTCATTCATGCAAATTCTATATCCTTCATTCAAGTTACCATCATTAATGCTCTATGTCATTTATTCAATGGATTGAACAGTGATTGATATAGCTTATTCATGTTCTATGACTAATTCCTTTTCTGTATCATTCATGTTCTGCTTGACATCATATATTCGTGATCTACATCATCTACTCATGATCTACATCATCTAAGATCTACATCATCTACTCATGATCGACATCATCTACTCATGATCTACATCATTTACTCATGATCTACATCATCAATTTATGATCTACATCATATACTCATGATCTACATCATCTACTCATGATCTACATCATCTACTAATGATCTACATCATTTACTCATGATCTACATCATCTACTCATGATCTACATCATTTACTCATGATCTACATCATCAATTCATGATCTACCTCATATACTCATGATCTACATTATTTACTCAAGATCTACATCATCTACTAATGATTTACATCATTTACTCATGATCTACATCATTTATTCATGATCTTCATCAAAGAAACATATTCAATATTTGATCACAAGAGGGTTATAACTGGCCTTTATAAAAGTTACAACCATTCTTATTCATATGTGACTTCATTTATTGTTATATCTATAACCATGACAACACCATATACAATATTCACAAAGGCTTCCTATAATATTCACAAAGGCTTACTTATAAAATCCTTTCTACAGCAAAGCAATCTCCTATCAGATCTCAACAATGCAAAAATATTCATACAATGAAAGAGTAGTGTTTACACAATATTGGAATTGTATTGGGAAATACATTCAACCATGTTGTAATTTTATATAAACAGTATATTGTCATAGTGTTGAAGCCAGCTTTCTCATTAAATATTAGAAATAACCTTAAAGAAATACAAGAAAGTTTGTTTGTTTGTTTAATAGGGTTTTATGTCATACTGACACAGTATAGGTCATATGGCGACGTTCCAGCTATACTGGTTGAGGAAGACCTCAGATGCCCTTCCATGCATTATTTCAGGCACGAACGGGTACCTGAGTAGAACCATCGACATTCCGTAAGCTAGCTGGATAGCTTCCTCACATGAAATAATCCAAAGTCCCTGTCGGGATTCCAACCCACAGCGGTGAGGGGCAAGTGGTTTGAAGTCAACGACCTTAACCAGAAAGTAATTAGAAATGAACTCTAATTGTGGCAAGAATATTGGTACATAGGCATTTATATTGACATAGATATAGTGACCAGAAGTACACAGTTCTACATACTGAAATACTTAATACATTTGGTTAAGTCTTTTATAATCCTTCAAGCTCACATAAAAATGTTGCTTAACATTACACAGACTTCCTTACTGACATAAATTGTCATTTCATAGACTTTCATGCTACAAATGGTAAATAAACGTTCATGATGACATAAATAAGCCACGCCATGACAAAACCAACATAGTGCGTTTGCAACCAGCATGGATCCAGACCAGCCTGCGCATCCGAAACACACTATGTTGGATTTGTCATGGCGCACCTCTAATAGTGACCATTGTTGCATAGAACTCCATGATGACACAAACTTTACCAAGAGTTACATAGACTTTTATGCTGACCTGAATGCATGGCAGATCAGCTTTCATATTGACATTAATTACTTTGATCAGTTTAAGGTGCATAAACTTTTATGCTGACATGAATAGTTGGCAGAGGTACATATAGACATTTTTGATGACATTAAATTTTGACCAGTCATATGACAGGTATGTAGACCTTCATTTACATAAATTTTGACCAAAGGTAAATGTACAATTTAAATGGACCTTCACATTGATATGAGTTGTGACCAGTGGTACATAGACCTTTGCGCTGACATGAATTGTGACCAGTAGTATATAGACCTTCACACTGACATGAATTGTGACCTGTGGTACATAGACCTTCCTACTGATATGAATTGTGACCAGTGGTACATAGACCTTCCTACTGATATGAATTGTGACCAGTGGTACATAGACCTTCACATTGACATGAATTGTGACCTGTGGTAGTCATAGACCTTCATGTTGACATGAATTGTGACCTGTGGTACATAGACATTCACACTGACATGAATTGTGACCAGTGGTACATAGACCTTCCTACTGATTATCAGTAGACATAGACATTCACACTGACATGAATTGTGACCAGTGGTACATAGACCTTCCTACTGATTATCAGTAGGAAGGTCTATGTACCACTGGTCACAATTCATGTCAGTGTGAATGTCTATGTACCACAGGTCACAATTCATGTCAACATGAAGGTCTATGACTACCACAGGTCACAATTCATGTCAGTGTGAAGGTCTATGTACCACTGGTCACAATTCATATCAGTGATATTAATTGTGACCAGTGGTACATAGACATTCACGTTGACATGAATTGTGACCTGTGGTACATAGACCTTCACACTGACATGAATTGTGACCTGTGGTACATAGACCTTCACACTGACATGAATTGTGACCTGTGGTACATAGACCTTCATGCTGACATGAATTGTGGCCAGAGGCACAGCCTGTCATGCCATTCATGAATTAAAACTAAAAGTAAAACAACCCTAATACAAACAGATCCATATACATTGTATTAATTTATAAATTGGTCACAAGTGGTGGATACATTCCTTCTTACTGACCAGCAGTTTAATGCCACATGTCTAGACAAAGGTAATGATGAATCTGACAAAAGTAAATTACTACAAGAATTAGTTAAGCTATTTCTGTGCTAATACCTTTATGTATGTATGTTTTAAAAGAGGGCTGGGACCATATCATGAAAGATAAGCTCACAGAGTCAAATTTGTATAAAATTGCTATTGTAAGCAATAAATTTGTGACTTAAGGACAACAAAGATGTTGATGGTACACAAGTTTTATATTGCAAAATACAGTATAAGCTTTAATATGTATCTTATTTTAAACAAAATATTTAATGATTACAGGCACATCATGCCTCAGAAACCCATATTTTTTCAATTCTTAAGAAATGTCTAACATGTCTTTAATTTATAATGTTTTAATTATGACTTGAAGAAAGTAGCCCTGAATGTGCAGTAATGCATCATAAACAGAAACAAAGTAATATTTTGACTACCATACAAACTGCCGACAGAGCAAAAGAGTAATTTGTTTGAAAACTGTAACATGATACCAAAAAATATAAAAAATTGAGAAAGAAAAATGATAGCATTTCAGAAGCATAATGGGCCTTAAATTCATGCTTTTCACTGTCAGTCTTCCTTCAAAGCAAATACTTAGCTACAAAAACTGTTATAAAATACTCATAGCATTTTTAAACAATATATATATCTATATATATAAGTAACCATTCACAAGTATATATGTATATATAAACACTTCCTTTATGCACAATTCTATCATCATGTACAAGTTTAATCATTCTTCAAGTAAAATTTAATTGACAGAGCTATAATTTAACTCTTCTTTGCATAATTTGCACTGCTTTGTAAACATACTATAAATAGAACATGCTTTAAATTATAGTTTAACATTCATATTAATTATCCGTCGTCAATGAAGAATACATTATTTTTTTCTTTCACACCATTCTATTTTCTTTAAAACTGACATCAAATTATCTATGTTTATATTGCACTTAAAACATAAAGTTTGAGAGTCACTTAGTAAAAACTATGTTTTCACTTTAGTGCAGGAACGGGTTAACTCCTACTGCTTCAAAAAAGGAGTTAACCTATTACTGCACTGAAGTGATGACATGTACTAGCAAATTTCAGTTAAATTTTTTTAGATTTCAGTTTAATAACTTTAACCTAAGCCCTGATTGCATTTTTTTTTAATAGAGACTACATCATAACCCTATGCCAACTAAACTCTTTAATCTTATGTGTTACAGTGTTCAAATATATAAAAGTCATAATAAACCAGGTCGGATGATCACTGGACATTTATTTACGGTAACATTGGGTCACCACCAATAGTTTTTACTAATTTTATTTCTTATATCTTCTAATATTTGACATGTACTGTGAACCAGATAAGCATTTGCCAATCACAATAGTGTATAACTTTCTATTGTAGCTCTTTTACATTTCCTCTAATACTTACAGAAATTATCTTATAGGTCAACAGTTTTATGAAAATATGTCTCACAATTTCTGCAAAGATATCAGGAAAATTACATGAGCTACATTGGAAAATTATGTACCATTGGAATCGTAAAACATTAACCTAGAACAGGGAATATGTTTATTGTTTAAACATTGAAAACAATGTAACAAAAAATTAGCAAATACCATTACTGGTGACACAATGTTATGGTTATGTTAACAAATTTCTGGTATCCATCCACCCTGCTTATCATACAAAAACTGTCGTAAGAGACAGCAAGCTCGACTAACTCAATACTAGGAAGAAATGAAAGACAAAACTAAGATGTAAAATCAGTTGCTTTAATAAGTACATTGTTTTGTGTAAATATCAAAATAAAATACATAATTGAGAATACAGTTTCTAGTCACTGACTTTAGTAAAGCAAATAACAAATTTTATACAAAAATCAAGTTTAAAAAGAACAATAACTCTTGCAATTTCAGTACCAAAGCTGTACTTTGAGTTTAAAATCGCTTTAGTTAATAAGAAGATTTAAGAAGATTTAACATAAAATAGTTTACTACACAAAAACTTGAATCAGAAATCTGGATTGGGATTATTACAGATGAAGTCCTAACAATGATAGCATAAAAGACAGACATACATACAAACACTGTTATAAATGCATAGACAGATAATATCCAAAAACACATGTCAATTATTTTTTCTTACTTATTCTGCTTTTTTCTATCATATTTTAAATGGTTTACCAAATTAGTTCACCAAAATAAAAGTCATATTTCATCTGTTACTTTTTTCTAACAGTATAATTTACAATTTTATTCATAACAGCAAAATGATTATCTTAAAAAACGTAGTTTCACTTTAAAATGTACCAAAATGACATCTTGTTTGAGCACGTGACTCATCTGGCACCCACATGCCAGATGAAATTTCAGGCATTGGTCAAACTAACGGCAACACTGGTTTTATATGCAAGAAAGACATTGTACTCAAATCAGATGGCATAAAGACAAAAAGAAATCATTGAAAAAAAATCATGTATCAGAATATGATCTTTATAATGAAGTAAAATGCTACGGTCATTGCTACAAAAATTCCACAATATATCATAATCTTCCTGTTTCTCCGATGCGCAGCCGCTATTTCTGCCTGGAATAAATAAAAAATTACTCCCTATACAAAATGAGATACATCGTGTGTGTGTTTTTTTGTTGTTGTTTTTTTATGTTTTTTTGGAAATATCTGTTTACGAAATTCTTTATTGCTGACAAAACTTCTTTAAATAAAGATCAATCAATTGTAAGCTCCATTATCTTCGTTAAGGGATTAAGGATCATTAAATCAATGAGAATCAGTAATTTAAATGAAGCACAAAATCTTTGTAAATCTGTGAATTATTGTTTCATTATCCTTCACTATCCTATAACAGAATGTGATGGGTCCATTGTCAGACCTGTCGGGAGATTTGTACACTCGGACCAGGCTCCATACTGTTGCTTGCTCATTTTTTTGTATTTTGATTCGTGAAATCCCTTGAACTTTGAATGGATTGTTCCAAATTCAAAGCTGGGGAAATCCATTATACAAATACGTGTACAGCAGGGTGAAGATTGATGAATGCTAGCATGTTTCTCTTTTAAATTCTGGGTTAATGTTTTATATATTTATGTTCAAAAAGAGATGGATATATACTTAAAAAAAAAAAAATTCTGACAAGACCCATAAGGTGACTCATAAAAAACAAACTTGCACATAATTATAAACTTTTTATACACAAATTGTAAAAATAGGATGCTTATAACATTGAATTATTTATATGTTGGAAAAACATTGAATTATTTATATCTTTACTTGCAAAAAAACATTGAATTATTAATATGTTTATTTTGAAAAAAAAATATAGATAACACATCAACTGTATAAACCGAACACTGTTATCTCAAAACAGCATATTTGAAACAAAATAGATAAAAATGAAAACAAAAATGAGTGAAACAATGAACATAACAATCTTCCTTTTCCTCTGTATTGCCAACATTCTATCAGTGTCCTGTAAAACAGAAAAAGAAATAGCACATGCCAAAGAAAAAAATGAAAATGTTTGGGCTTAAAATGCTTGCATACATTAAGCTAGGTTTACTACATTTATATAACATAATTACAGATTGGCAAGTAAAAAGATTACTATTACATGTAAGCACAATTCAAATGAAAAATGTAAATAATAATGGCATGACTGATTAATATTTTTTTCAGATTATCAATTATACATGTATATAAAAAAACATATATGTACAAAAAACAGTGAGCAAACTGATTATAAGTTACAACTTGTGTTATATCCCCTGAATATTCAAAACTCAACATTATCTACAGAAAAATAAAATAAAATAAAAACTTTAAAGGCACACTATGCCTCAGAAACCAATAAAATTGAGCCGCGTCACAACAAAACCAACATAATGCGTTTGCGACCAGCATGGATCCAGACCAGCCTGCGCATCCGAGCAGTCTGATCAGGATCCATGCTGTTCGCTTACAAACCCTATAACAAATAGAGAAACTGATAGCGAACAGCATGGATCCTGATCAGACTGCGCGGATGTGCAGGCTGATCTGGATCCATGTTGGTCGCAAACGCACTATGTTGGTTTTGTCATGGCACGGCATAAATATATCCTTCTTTAGAAAGGCCAAACATCAGTTTTGAAATATTTTAATAATGGTTTAAGAGCATGTTAGAAGCTTATCACCTCATTTGAATGAATGTGAAATTATTTGTTATAAAGGAGCAAAATGTAAACAAAGTAGTATTTTGACTTCGATACAAAATACTATATAACTATAATTTTACTAAATGCCAAAAGAAAAAACAAAGAAACAAAGCTAGAAGTATTCTACAGATGGTTTAGGTAATTGGCCAATGTCAGTAACTGCTAGGAAAATATTTAAGGACACCAAAAATAAAATATTTTGAGAAATAAAAAAATAAAAGCATTTCTGAGGCATAATGGGCCTTTAATGGAAAAAAAATAAATAATTTTTTTATGAAATATATAAATATTCATCATTCAAGTTACAAGTGGAGGTTTCAAATAAAATATGCTTCTATCACACATTGCTATCTAATCAATATAAGATTAAAGTGTCTTTCTTCCACTTAAACATAATACCTATCTAATTAATAATGAAATTACACATCTCAATTAAATTACCTTTATGTGTTAATTACAAATTTTACATTAAGATCCCCTTAATTGTTTATTTATCCCCTTAATTGTTTATTTATCCCCTTATTAAATTGTTTATTTATCCCCTTAATTGTTTATTTATCCCCTTATTAAATTGTTTATTTATCCCCTTAATTGTTTATTTATCCCCTTATTAAATTGTTTATTTATCCCCTTAATTGTTTATTATCCCCTTAATTGTTTATTTGAGGGAGAGATTTAAGTTATACTTTTATGTTTTCTTAAAACAACAATAATTTAAATTTCATTTACTTTTTTGCGATATCAAAATATTAAAAAAATCACAACAACAACTTTATTCACAATTTGAAATAAAAATATGTGATGATTAAATATCAATAAAAATGAAAATCTGATTACCAAAACTTTCTTTTACTATATCCAGTATCTTTTTTTTTTCTCACAAATATGCAATAACTTATGTACACAGTAATAACACTGCTTATAAAAATAATATTTCATAAATTTACAAATTTAGAATAATATCAAAATTATAGTTAGAGTGTTTGAGATCTTACATGTCTTTATTAACATGTCTTTAATAATCAGCAGGAATTTTATTATTTCTGAAACAAGCTGGGTCATTTTCTTTAAGTACGATGGCTACAAATGTTGTAGAAGAACATTAAAGTCTGTTACAATAGCCAGTTGACCCATGTTGTAGGGAGTGGGGGGGGGTTTATCATATCATAATGGAACCCCTGACTTTATATAACTAAATTAAAATTATTGTAATATTAACCGAAGGCTCTTACCATTTCATGATTTTACACCTTTAAATACACCACAAATAAGTTCATTGCCTCCATATAGTGGCTGCAGAATTATAACACCTGCTCTTGATATATTGCTATTTTTGGTTACAAGATAAATAATGATATACCACTTGATCTCTTTACAATACGTTATCACAGTGTCATCAATAAAAGTACATTTCCTTTAAATGACATCAGTTCCATATATCACTACAATATACATGACTCATCACCTTAGTGCAGTAGCAGGTTAACTCCTTATGTAATTCAACAGGAGTTAACCTGTTACTGCACTTAAGTGACTATGTATCCTTTGTAAGTATGAGCAGACTGATTAAAATAGCCATCTTGTAATGATGTACAGGAAAATAGAAATAGCGACGAAAATAAAAAAGAATATAAAAATCCTCTTCCGCCTCTGTATGGCCATCATTCTTTCCTGATCCTAAAAAACACGAAAACAATAACACATGCAAAACAAGAAACAAAAGGAAAATAAACATAACATTACTAAAACATGAAAAAACAAGCAATTATCATAGTATTGCAAGCAATCCATAAGTCCCCTACCGGTTAGAACCCCAGCAACATTCTGATGGGCCATTGGCCATTCAATTTTACCAGTGGATGAATGACATGAATGAACTTAAATCTTTTGAGTTCTAAGTTTGTCTATATCACAGTAATGTGTTAAGTTTCCCTGCCTAGTAAGGAAATTATGTTTATACGTTACCCTGTCATATTATTATGTGGGATTTTAAAGTAAATCCTATAAAAAATCTAAGTCGAAAAAAATCTAAGTTCAAGGGGGAGATAATTCTGATAATAGTCTTGCTAGAGTATTTAACCTCCTCAAAAATGTTGAGTGATAATAAGAAACATATATATGAAGTTTGAAGTAGATACATTAGGAAATAAAGAAGTTATTTAAAAAAGACAACATTTTTTTTCATAAAAATTCTAAGTTCAAGGGAGGTAATACTGATAATTTTTGTGCTAGAGTTGTAAACCTTGTCATATATGGTGTGGTTGATGGCCAGAAACTTATATTTAAAGTTTGAAGTAAACACCTTAAGAAATAAAGAACTTATAGTTTAAAAGCTGAAAAATTTAAATTAAAAATCTTGAAATTCAGGCTATTTGTTGCCATAGCAACCAGAATTTTCAACATAGGAAGAAAAGAAAAAGATGTGCATAATCTCCAGACTGCCATCTACCCATATTTTAAGTTTCATAAAAATATTTTCAGTACTTTTTGAGTTATCACTGGATCCAGTTTATGTGTTAAATTTGCCATATTTTCAGACTATTTGTTGCCATAGCAACCAGAATTTTCAACATAGGAAGAAAAGAAAAAGACTTGCATAATGTCCATACTGCCATCTATCCATATATCAAGTTTCATAAAAAAAATTTCAGTACTTTTTGCGTTATCGCGGGATCCAGTTTTGTGGACAGACGGACTGACAGACAGACAGACAGACGGACAGACAGACGGACAGACGGACGGAGGGTAAACCTAAAGTCCCCTCCGGTTAAACCGGTAGGGGACTAATAAAACTGCTAAAATAGTAGCTTTGGTCATACTGCCATTTTCTACATGTCAGCCATTTGGTACAATTAATGTAGTTTACCTGGTATATGGCATGCTACAATTTCAGAAAAATTAAAATGTTGTTTTTTTTTAATTTTCATAAATGAGGCATAAAATTTTGGCTACATGATCCTCTACAAAGATAAGAGGGTTTTTTGATTGCACTTTTATTGCTTGTCTGTGAGTAAAGGCTGCAAATGAGACAACACAATATTACAAAACCATATCCCTTATTTAAACTAACTTGGTATAAGTCCATAATAGCACGTAATCAATCATCTAAATATTTTAGCTAACTGGTCCCAGGCTTGAAGATATTTGACATTTTTTGCTTATAAAAGTCTACAAAATACTAAATGACTGAGGCTGACCTACTTTGAACCATGATTTTTATAGTTAACTTGACAATCCTTTATTAAATATATTTAGACAGTAAGCATTGAAGATTTGGAAAACAAGTTTTAAAAGATTTTCCTATACGAGTTTTTGTAAAATCAAGGGACATACAGGTTTGACCTCAGGGACATGATTTGAGCAGATGTTTACAAGACAAAGCAACACATGTAATATCTTAACTGTAATCTATGCAGTTTTGGAGAAGAAGATTTTTAGAATCTATTTTTAGCATCTTTGACCCTCATATGCAATTGACCTGAACCATTGAAAAACAATGTTGGTAAAGCCTTCAATGTGCAAGGGATAATTACACAAAGCAAAATTCATTAAATTTTGAACTGTTGTTTCAGACAAAAGAGGATATATATTTGAAACAACTGGCAGGATGTACAGGTGCAAAACCACCCATCACTCCTAAAATCCTTTATTGGCATTTTTAGGTAAGTTGTTCGAAAAACTCAAAATTCTACTTGTCTATTATACAGAAAAAAAACCATTTACTTCAAGCTAAACTGAACCACACCAACATGCTATAATACAACATCATTACAACAATAATGATAGTTACTACTTCACACATACATGAAGACATTGATGTCACCATATTCTACTATATCACTTGTATGTGATTTTCAATTTTTGTCCTGTTGAATTTGTTAGCATTTCATCTGCTAATTATCCAAAATGGACTTTTTCAAGCTTCCAATCTGGACAAAATCATTCATTATTTTTAAGGATAATTTCAAAATATGAACTGACTAACAATGACAAATAGTACAGACCATGTTTAGATGGCACAGAAGTGTTGGCTGATCTTGGTCTGCACTGGTGGCATAAGTAGATAGTCACTGCCAGCAGGCACAATAATATATATAATTTACAATACTTAAAAATAACAAGTTTAAAACATGGTGTACATAAGTTCTCATGCAGCATCCCATTATAAAATTGTAAATAACAATTCTATGAACTTACTGGATTTCTATTCAGGATAGTGACACCTCCTTGTGGGTTATAAGCTGCTGTTCCCGGCGGTGCTTGGCCATACATCCCTGAGGCTGGGGCACCATAGGGGTATGGAACACCTTAACATTAACAGAAAGAAAAATATGCTAGATTTTACAGATATTTAAAAATCCTTATGTTCATAATGTTTGGCCGATTTTACAATTAATTAACAAAAAGACATTTGTGGAGTTTCAAGTCAATACTTTTTATAGTGATCACAGAGACTTATCTTGCATTCAAAAATTTAACTAAGAATTTTCCAGATTCCCAAAACGAATAGTCCTGTAAAACTCTATAACATACATGTATTCAATATCATCAATAATGACCAAGTTGGCATGAGTGAACTTACAACTGATAATTAACGAAAATTTAAGTTGCACACTAAACAATAACAAAGTAATAAATCAATGCCTTTAGCTGCTATAGTACACAGCTTTGTCTTCTCTCCCTACTCTGACCTTTATTTTGAATAACAATATTTAACCTCATACATGGACATGTGCTCCTTTGTTAACAAAACATGTTGTGGTGAAATTCTTATTATATCCACTAGTCTGATAATTAGAATTAGAAAATGTCAGGGATCTATGCATTGCCTGCCAAGAAGCTACATGTCTGATCTTGCGAATGAAACTGCTACCCTTACATAATTAAGTAGTTGAGCTGAAAAGGTCTATCATTAAAATGGATTACCGGTAAGTAGATTTGAAACATATACAATATAGTACCTGGCTGAGTTGGATAGGGCACTTGACTTGATTGTGCAGGGTAGCCTGGATATCCTGGCTGAGTTGGATATGGTGGAGCACCCTAAAATCAGAAAAATTCAGATGTATATATAATGTCTCTATATGTCTATAAAGAAAGCAGCATGTTTCCAGATGCATGCCAATTTTCATGAAAAATTTTAAAATATAGAAATAAACTATTGTGAGATGAACCTATAACACTTTAAATCTATGTAATTACCAAAAATGGTCAGAAAATGCAATTAGTCCTTACTGCATTAGTCATGTCATAGACATGAGATAGATCTAAATACTGCAGAATCAGTCATTTATTGCATATATCATTTAAAAATTATTGCTTGAATTGTGAATATTTTTACTTTTCTTAAAAACAGAACATTTTTCTCGAGGTTCAATGATTTCTTAAAATATTTTGCCTCATTTGGAGGCTTTAAATTCCATTTTGTTTTTAAATATAACTATAATATTATAGTGTTACACCATTTATGATCTTCAAATAGTAAATTAAAAATTGATGACACAAACTTATAATTTGAGATTTTGTAAAGTATTTATATTTACACTTAATTGAATACAATTATATCTTAATCTATCTTTTAAACCAAATCTTGACCATATCTATAACAATTAATTGATGGAACCTATAAAATGGATTTAAAGTGCTGAATAATCTTTTCATTAATTATATAAACTTTCATCAATATTTTTACAGACAAGTACTTTAATTGCATAATCCAAGGATCAATCTTTTAACTAAAAGCCTTAATGTCAGACTACTATTAAAAAAAAATTTCTGACCAGAGATTAAAAAATTATTATAAACACCATAATGTTATCTATATGTATTCACTCTTTCAACCAAAAAAGATTAGATTTTGCCAACATTATAGAGCCAGGCCAGCTTGCACTTATGTGCAGTCTGACCATGGCACCAGGCTAAATCGTTTCATCCCCAAACTTGATAATGGAAAGTTTGAAAAATAGAAGCTGGACAAGTTGACTTAAGGAACACAATGTTTAGAAACTCAGTGATTGATGTACAATAATTATAACTGTTACTTACATCATATTTGAAGCCATCTTGTGCTGGATATGGAGGATACGGCCCAGGTGCTCCAGGTGGGTAACCTGGTTGGCCCCCTGACATTGCCTGTACTTCATCATACGAGGGTGGAGGTCCAGCTGGAGGAGGTGCTTGTGGATTGTTGGGATCTGAATACACAAATAACAGGTTTGATACCTATGTGAACATTAATTCATGATGATACAATAGGACAATAATTCATGGTGATACAATAGGAAATTAATACATGATGATACAATAGGACATTAATTCATGATGATACAACAGGACATTAATGCATGATGATACAATAGGACATTAGAACATGATGATACAATAGGACATTAATTCATGATGAAACAACAGGACATTAATGCATGATGATACAATAGGACAATAATACATGATGATACAATAGGACATTAATTCATGATGATACAACAGGACATTAATGCATGATGATACAATAGGTCTTTAGAACATGATGATACAATAGGACATTAATTCATGATGATACAACAGGAAATTAATACATGATGATACAATAGGACATTAATTCATGATGATACAACAGGACATTAATGCATGATGATAAAATAGGTCTTTAGAACATGATGATACAATAGGACATTAATTCATGATGATACAACAGGAAATTAATGCATGATGATACAATAGGACATTAGAACTTGATGAAACAATAGGACATTAATTCATGATGATACAACAGGACATTAGTACATGTTGATACAAAAGGACATTAATACATGATGATACAATAGGACATTAATACATGATGATACAATAGGACATTAGAACATGATGATACAATAGGACATTAATTCATGATGATACAACAGGACATTAATGCATGATGATGCAATAGGACATTAGAAGATGATGATACAATAGGACATTAATTCATGATGATACAACAGGACATTAATGCATGATGATGCAATAGGACATTAGAACATGATGATACAATAGGACAATAATTCATGGTGATGCAATAGGACATTAGAAGATGATGATGATACAATAGGACATTAATTCATGATGATACAACAGGACATTAATGCATGATGATACAAAAGCACATTAGAACATGATGATACAATAGGACAATAATTCATGGTGATGCAATAGGACATAAATACATGATGATGCAATAGGACATAAATTCATGGTGATACAATAGGACATTCATTCATGGTGATACAATAGGAAATTAATACATGATGATACAATAGGACATTAGAACATGATGATACAATAGGACATTAATTCATGATGATACAACAGGATTATTGTGTGAGTACATTGATCTATACCTTGTATTCTACTGGATTATATAAAGCTACTTAGGACCTCATTAGGCTTCGAAGCACCACATGTGATCCATTCTAATATTAAGATCATGAGAGTTCAATACAAAGTACTTGATCAAAATACTATTTCAAATACCTCCTTAAATTTAAACTATACTGGTTTCCTAGCAGTTTCCGGCCACAAATCGCACTTTTTAACAAATAAAATAAAAATCAGTCTACGGAGGGGTACAAAACTTTGACAGGACAAAGTTAGGTACCTGTCCAGCATTGCCATGTGTTTAATGTTGCACTAAATTCATTTTACTTTTTAATTTGAATATAGGCCTGAAATGTACCCCTTGCCCCTCACCGCTGTGGGTTCGAATCCCGACAGGGACTTTGGATTCTTTCATGTGAGGTAGCTATTCAGCTAGCTTACGGAATGTCGGTGGTTCTACTCAGGTGCCCGTTTGTGCCTGAAATAATGCACGGAAGGGCACCTGAGGTCTTCCTCCACCAGTAAAGCTGGAATGTCCGATATGACCTATACTGTGTCGATGTGACGTAAAACCCAAAACAAACAAACAAACATATAGGCCTGAAATGTAACGCCTTTTTTTACCTTTATTAAAATATTTATAGCAGTTTTCCGGACCTTTTTTATTTTGAATATAATTCAGTACCATAAAGCAATATTAAGATGATTTTATCAGACAACCTTTTCTGTGTCGTCTGCAAAAATATTTTCCGAAGTATTGATTTACCTAAAATGGGGTCTTAGTTATTGCGCATGGATATTCAAACTAGAATTCCCCAGGTGTTGCTTATTTTTGAATGTCGCAAGTTCTCTTATGTAACTTTTAATAACAGGCAAAACTTCAAAACATATAAATCGTTGTACTATTTTAAATGCTGTTTAGCATAGAAAACAAATGTTTCTCTGATTGATGAAGTAATGTGGATGCCTTACTGGTAAAAATAGACTGTACTGAACATAAATGATAAAAGGCCGGAAAACTGCTAGGGGACGTAAACTGCTAGGAAACCAGTATATTCAGCATGCACAACATTTATAACAAATTGGTATTATGTCTTATAAATACTGTCAGAGAGCTAGCTTTGAGTTTGAGGCTTTGCCTTATTCATATTAAATTATTTCAAAGCACTCACTTTGAGGCTTTGCTTTATTCATATTATAGATTTTTAAAAATGAATGAAGGCAGGGCTTTTTTTTCAATTTTGGGGAAACGGCCTGGCCTTTCAGTTGGGGAAAAAATGCGCGATAAAATGACATTTTGGGGAAAATCTATTACATTAAAAAATGAGTTAATAACTTTAAAATTAACAATAAACACATGCCCTAAAAGTCAGGTGAGTCATAAACAATGAAAAAAGTTCAGATCTTTGGCCTTGAATTCCTTAAACATACAAAACCACTTTTTTTTAGTTGCAATCACTTGATTCAATATCATTTGTGATGTTGCCAAGCTTCAACATTGTTGTAACCTCCTCACACACCTCCCCTATTTATTTCAGAATGGTTGCTTTGATTTTTCTATGTAAAAACTGCATTAAGTGCTAAATTAATTAGATGATGATTCCCAAAGGACATTTTGACACATGATGCACAAAAATCAATTGACTGTTTTATGTTTTGTAATTTATTTACTTAAACTAACACATTCCTCTCCAAATTCAAGCCGAAAATCAAACAGGAAGTAGGTCGCGAAAATATGTGATAATAGAATATTTTGCCGATTTTTGGTATTAATATAACTCCATGTTCCTTCAGACTATGATTGAAATCTGTAAGAATAAATAATATAACATATTTTTACAAATGTCTGCATATTTTGAGGAGAATTTTCACAAGGACAGAATTTTTAGGGATATGATCAGCGTAATGGAGAGGGTTGCCGATCGTCGGCATTGCCATTGGACTTTTTACTTTTTAATCGGTAATATCAAACACTGTAGGGCTATAAAAATTTGAACTTTTTGAACAAAAATGTGATTTTTTAAACAAGCAAGCCATAATAGTTGATTTTATTTCAGACCAAGGGGAATTTTTTAGCTCAAGGGGAATTTTTTTCAGCTGGGGAAGTAGCCGTTAAACGGCTACAGTTATATAGCAAAAAAAAACCCTGGAAGGTATCTGAATATTCTGATTGTGTCATTTGATTTATGAACAAAAAGTCATTTAAAAATTGTTTATTTTTTGTTTTTACAAAATTTTAAGATATACTGTAGCCACAGGTGCTCGTTTAGTCTTGGTGCCCATATAAAAAAAATGAAGTTAAAAAAAACAAAACAAGAGGGCCATGATGGCCCTAGATGGCTCACCTGACCCATCAAACTCATCTGAACAATTACCTAGACAAGCATTCTGACCAAGTTTCATGACAGGTGAGTCAAAAATGTGACCACTACAGTGTTAACAAAGATTATCCATATTTGAGCAGTGTGACCTAGTTTTTTACCCAGGTGACCCATATTCAAACTTGACCTAGAAATCATCAAAACAAACTTTCAGACCAATTTCCAGGATACTTGGATCAAAACAGTAGCAACTAGAGTGTTAACAAGATTTTTCTATTTTTAGCTCCGGTGACCTAGTTTCACATGCAATTTCGAACTCATCCAAGCAATTACCTAGACAAGCATCCTGACCAAGTTTGATGATAATTGAGTCAAAAATGTGACCACTAGAGTGTTAACAAGGTTTTTCCATATTTGGGCGGTGTGACCTAGTTTTTCATCCGAGATGACCCATGTTCGAACTTGACTTAGAAATCATCAAAACAAACTTTCAGACCAATTTACAGGATATTTGGATCAAAACAGTAGCCACTAGAGTGTTAACAAGATTTTTCTATTTTTAGCTCCTGTGACCTAGTTTTTCATCCGAGATGACCCATGTTCGAACTCATCCGAGCAATTACCTAGACAAGCATCCTGACCAAGTTTGATGACAATTGAGTCAAAAATGTGACCACTAGAGTGTTAACAAGGTTTTTCTATTTTTAGCTCCTGTGACCTAGTTTTTCATCCGTTCGAACTCATCTGGGCAAGTACCTAGACAAGCATCCTGATCAAGTTTGATGACACTTGTGTCAAAAATGTGACCTGTAGAGTGTTAACAAGATTTTTCTTTTTTTAGCTCCTGTGACCTAGTTTTTCATCTGAGATGACCCATGTTCGAACTCATCCAAGCTATCACCTAGACAAGCATCCTGACCAAGTTTGATGATGATTGAGGCAAAAATGCGACCGCTAGAGTGTTAACAAACTAAATGTGGACGGACGATGGATGACGGACAATCGTCGATCCTAAAAGCTCATCCTGAGCATGCTCAGGTGAGCTAACAAAAAATACCATCAAAACAACTATTTAAGTTGAGTGTTACCCTACATTTAAACTCGGACAATCCAAATTGTTAAAATTTTGCAAAACAACAGTGGTTGTCGGCCATTTTGTCGAAAACGAAAGTACAAAACATACACCGTATTGTTTAGCTGTTCCGGTCCCCTACGACTACATTCGCTGAACAATAGACAACAGTAACCAATAAATTGATGGTTACCATTGTCCACTGTCCTGCGAACGTAGTCGTAGGAAACCAGGAGAGCGGAACATTACGATGTAGGTTTTGTACTTTCGTTTTCGACAAAATGGCCAACCATCAATGGAATTTTGCAAGATTTTAACAAATTGGAGTGTCCAAGTTTAAATGTAAGTTATTTAAGATTGTATGTAAGGTAGAAGAAGAATGTTAACAACTTTCTAAATGCACGATGGAATTATTTTAAGTTCTTAAAATAACTAATTAGGACACTGAAACTTGTTATTATATTATTCGGATGACTTCGGACTTTTGTCGGATTCAGCCGAAGAATTTTCGTAGTTCTATTTTTAACTACGGTTACCAAGCATTGATCACAACATCATAACAACTTTTCATTGGTCATAGGAGTTTGTATTCCTACGCTTCTAGTACTTATACTGATTACTTACCATTTATCATTGCTGTTAGTATTTTTCGTGTCGCTTTGAAGTTTCAAATTTTCCCGCCCTCCCACCGCTCCTTGTGTGAATTGATATTTTAGTTCATACCTGTATTTTTTTTTGTATGACGTTTCTATAGTTCGAGTTGATGTAATTTGTGTAGTACATGCGGATATTTGAATATCTTTGCAGTCATTTGATGATATTTAATTACTAGATATAATTGAGTTTACTTACTTCTTGTTTGCGACACTCAGGACAATAAATTTGTTCTATTTAATATGTTTTGTTGTTATTTCAAAAGGAGTAATTTGTGAAGAGTAGCAAATAGCTTGTATTGTTACAGAACTCAACATTGTGGTTGTTCCACAGCGTGTCCTAGTAAAGCTCCATAGCGTTATGGCGACTAGGTGACCTTTTCGTAGTAGATCTACTTAATAGTGTATAGGGAAAAAAAATCAATTTTTTTTTTCTTACACTCAACCCAAAATAGTTGTTTTGGTGTGTGTGTGTGTGTTTTGTTGTTGTTTTTTTACTTAAACAGTTAAAAAAAAATTTATATGGGCATCAAGACAGGACGAGCACCTGTAACTGTAGCCGTTACATGAGGGGGAAAATATTTGGTAAAAACAAAATGAAAAGGAAATTATACTTTACCTGCCATTATTATGATTTTGTGAACGAATAATAGTGAATAGTTTGTCACAACATTTTTGACAGATCTAGGTTTTGTTTATTAGGCGAGATATGCTAATCTAAAATCGTGATAGTTGGTCATTTATCTAAGGTTGACACCACTAAATGTTGTTGTCTTCGATTTCATATTTTTGCCGAGCTTCCCGTACTTCAGCACTTCAAAGTGATAGAAAGATTTCTTTGCGAGCTAATGAAGTCATTTTCATCATCTTGAAAACGAGTCCACTTATTTACCGACAGGAACTGCCATGCAAGGAGTAAAAATTGGAGGGAGATTTATTTCACATTTTTATTAAATTAAAATCATTATTTCTTATACGTTTAACATGAAAAACATACTTAATTCATCCTGAACCATGTTAATATGCTAGATATCTAGAAGTCAATCTCAGTCTCGCACCGTCAAGAACTTAGCCATCTTTGTCATATTATACTTATAGATTTATAGTAAGTAATGTATCAAAATGTGAAACTAGAAATGAAATAAATACATGCTAATAAATTGTATATATAAAACGTTCTAAAATGATGGTTAATTTCAATAAATTACAAAAAATATGTTTCTGATAATATTCAAAAATTGTTTTAAAAATGTCTTGTTGATAATTTTTTGTTACGTGATAAACCCGTTTTTGTGTGAAATTAAAATTTAAAATTATACTGTACTAAGAAATGAACGCAATAGAAATGGAGGTGGGGTATGTACATGGACATTAGAAATGATATTTTTTCAATATAACACATGATTTGTCAAACGTCACAAATGAATGTTTATTTGTTGAGATACTTTTGTCCAGGAATAAACATATTGTTGTTGGAACATTAATTAACAATTAAACCGATTTCAATTATTATTTAGAATACATTTTATCTAAACTTTCATTTGAAAATTAAATAGACATACTAGAAGATAATTTATGAATATATCCTTTTTTGAGAAAAAAAATCTGTTCTATTCAGAGAATATTGCAGCATTTTGAGTTTATATAATCTTCAGCAAATTATCAAAACACTGACACGAATTAGTGGTACGGGTTCTTGCCTTTTAGATCACATTCTCTGCTATTGTAAGGAACGAGTGTCTCAGACTAGGGTTATACCTTTGCATAAGAAGAGAAGTAATTAAACTTAATGTCGGGGAATACAGACCAGTTAGTATTAAATGTATTGTATTTAATTAAGATACTAGAACGTACATGTACAATTGGAGGCATTTTAATTTCATACAAATAATTTCATTTACGAACACCAGTCTGGATATCGAAAATCTCATTCAACTGACACATGTCTTATTTACCTACTTGACTAGATCTGTACAAACAAGCAAATTCGTTGAATTTATATCCCCCGCCGAGAACTGGTTATTACTAATACAACAACTGAAGACATAAGGCTTTATTTATATATTTATCATTGCATAAACAGTAATGTTCTTTGTACTTGATAAATATTCAGGGCAATAACAGCTAGAGCCATAACTCTGTGTTAGATAGTAATATCTGGACATGCCAATGAGATGTAAATTGTCTTTGTGTATCCATGGTTGCCATTAAGTTTTGTTGAAATCAATACAGCAGTTGCAAAGAAATAGCAATATTGCTCTATATGCATACTACATATCTAATCAAGGGCCATAACTCTGAGTTAAAGTGTCTGACCGGAACAAGGTGACTATATGCACATCTCCTCTTAGTATTGACGGTTCCCATAAAGTTTCGTTGAATTCCAGCCAGTAGTTGCAGAAAAGTAGTTCGGAAACGATTTTCTCAATATGGATACTGCATAACTAATCAAGGGCCATAACTCTGAGTTAAAGTGTCTGACCGGAGAACGGGGGATGATAACTCAAATAGGTCACTCACTGCTATGGTTATGTTGTATTCATGATATTTTGTGTAGATCTATTGGGTGTCAAATATATTTCTTGGTTGAAATCACGGATTTATGCAATCCGGTCAACTCGTCCCGTGGTCACCTCGTTACTTTTTTGGTCAACTCGTCCTAGAACTCGTCCTCAATTCAGGGTCAACTCGTCCTTTACTTCTGCTCAATTGTCACTATTATGTTATAAATTTAATGGCTTTAAATAGTTCTTTTATGTAATTCTTAATGAATTTGATTGAAATCGAATTATTAATCAAATAACGTCTTTTTACGTGCATTTTAGTGTTCTTTATCTATAAGCGCACGTGCATAGCTTTGACGCGTCATGAACTTCGGAAAATATTTAGTGGTGTTTGCTATAAGAAGTAGTGCGCATGCGTAGAATGTGAAAATAAGTATGGAACCAGCTTTGGCGCATGCGCAGATTTGTCCACCGCTTTTTTGAAAACAAAAATAATTTGAAATAGCAAAAATTTGAAGAGATAATCGTTTGAGGACACGTGCAAATTTTTCATATTTTAATCCCACCAGGTACGTTTATATTCAGGTTGTTATACACTATAACTCGTCATTGCTGTCACATTTTGTAAGAACGTGCCAATTGAAGTTAGTGAACTAATGCAAAAACTTTAGTACTTCGTACTTAAAATGTTCGACCCCACAAAATATAGACAACGCTATTTTTGTTCTCGAAATGATTAAAATATACCTTCTCAGTATTGGTTTTAAATTTAGAAACTGCATCGCTGTCAAAATTATGAAAGTTCGTCGATAATTGGTTGTCTGCACTATAATAGACTTAGGCAACTTAAAACTGTTTTATTGGTTTTGACATATCATTTGCCTTAATATCTTTTCTTTCCATTTAAATATCCATTCAACTTGGCCCTATACCAACTCGGCACGGGTCAACTCAACACAGGTCAACTTGGCCCTCTATTAAAAACCTTTTAGGATAAAGATTGTTTAGCTTAGGAGTAAATTACTATTCACGAATTCGAAAACCTAGTTAAACGCCGTTTTCCGGTACTTTCTGTACATAGCTCTGGGGAATTCACCTGAAGTGTAATAGCGAACTCGATGTTTTCGGCCTTTTTTAAAATTAAATTGAAATAAAACAGTTGTTTCTTTGTAAGAAAATAATTAGATAGCATTGTATGAATAATTCCATACAAAAGATAAAGTAAATACACAAGTTTACGCAGAAAATAACCTTATTTATTATGGAAGACTCCACTACGTCTGTTTAAATTTTATTGATTTTCATTATAAACAATTTATTTTTTTGAAAAATTTGCAATAGATATTAAAGGATTATTGATAATTTTCAAAAACATCAATTTTTTTCACCTAAAATGCAGTCTGTGCGAAAGTCTGTCGGTCCTCGGTCATGGCTGAATAAAAATCATGCGGTCCGAGATAAATTTCCTTTCCGTCAGTCCTCATGTCCGAATAAAATTTCAAAAAGTTAAAAATATCAATGACTAGCCCAACAAATTGTGCGCTTTAGGGCTTTTTTTGTATATTCGGTGGTCGCCCTTAAAGACGGACATCTATGAAATATCAGATTATAAAATCAGTCTGTCTTGCCGTCGAAATATTGAGACTAATCAATGACCTGATTGATAACAAGTTCCCCGTGATGCAAAGAATTTATTAAAGATGATATTGACCAACCTTAACTCTATTTTGTACATGTTAAATAAATACCAGTCAACTATGTCTTCAAAAAGTTTCATCAACAACGGTAAATTTGGTAATGTAACGATTCGCCACACTAACGATTCGCCACATAACGATTCGACACAGAGTAATAACGATTCGCCACAGTTAAATAACGATTCGCCACGTGTTCAAATACAAACTTTTTCACACCTGTTTTCAAATTGTTGATGGAAAAAAAATCCATTTTATATTTCATTTGTTAATTACTTAAATTAATTACACTGAATACAGCTTTTATTGAATAAAAAACACACGAAAACCAAATATTTTATTAACAAAATTACATAACACATTTTATAACTTCGTTATTTATACAAACTGGAAAAATATAATAACAAACTTTTATAGAATAAAAACACATGAAAATAAATCCGTGATGGGGGCTAAATAAGTTGTATTAAGAAACATTAATAAATTAGTGTCATTGTCAAATTATTAAAACAAAAGGAAAAAGTTTGTTGATAACTAAAAAAAAATCATTGTTAGATCTATAATCATACTGTGGCGAATCGTTATTTAACTGTGGCGAATCGTTATTACTCTGTGGCGAATCGTTATGTGGCGAATCGTTAGTGTGGCGAATCGTTACTAATTCGTAAATTTTGCCGTAAATTACAAATTGAAAATTTTGTTTTACGATGCCTGTTGAAATAGCCGATGAGTAACAATCTTAAAATAATTAAAAAATATTTAATGTAATATAATCAAAATCAATAACAAGTAGATTTGTGAATGTTTCTGCAGGAAACAGACAAATTTTCAATTGTCACATATTTTCGCGATGCCGCTTTTTATAATTAAAAAAATCGTAACCAAAAGGAAGATATGTTTTGTTAAAATGTGTGTCATAACACTTCAAATGTAGTAACGAATTAAAATTACTAAAGATATTGTTTACTTTAATAGTTGAGATGGAGGTATTTACCAGTATGTGTTTGTCACATACAATGAATATTTTCTTATGGGAGGGGGGTGGGGGCGTGGAGTGAATCTGGAAGAAAAGAACATAATGGTCTGATGATGTAGGGTTTTTTTAAATTATATTTCAAATCTTTTCAATCACTTTTATGGTACAGTGTTGGGACATATTAACATTTTCCTGAATAAGCTTTTTCTCTGCTCCCAACCCCTTACTCTGCTCATATACATCATAATCGTCAACTGCATAAGTGCAGCAAACATGGCTTAACATATTCAAAGTGATCTGGAACTCCTACAATTTTGTGCTTGGGAGTCCCAGGACGCCTACCATGAAAATTTTAGTGAGAACCTTGCTATTATTTCAATTAGTCAGCATCTTCTTGTGTTTCTATAATTATGATGGTCACACTAATGATAGTCACACTTATTTCAAGAAAGACGATCATTTTTACATTCAACTGAGTTATTATAAAATAATGCTTGAAATGTCTGGGCCGGAAAAATATCACCCGGGCCGGAAATAAACCTAAGGGTCTCGGTCCTTGTGGCCTGAAAAAAAAATTGACTTTCGCATAGACTGAAAATGGTAAAATAATGATAGAAAAATAGAAATATCATGTAACAGTGTTATGTACTTCATTTGGTGTTATTCCCCAGGGCTAAATCCGTAACGTACCGGAAAACAGTGTTTAGCTAGGTTTTCGAAAAGGTCAATGACTCAATAAAAGTATTCAGAGGAATCATATGATCACTAACGAATTACGGACAGGGCATACCATACCAGGGCGGACCGTATGTTTGGACGGGGGGACCATATTTTGGGACAGGGCGGATCGTGACTCGAGACGAGGCGGACCATGATTTAATGTAATAAAAATATTTAAATATAATTGCCTTTACTTTTTATGCCCTCACAAAGTGGGGAGCATATAGCGTTGCACTTGTCCGTCTGTCCATCCCGAAATCTTGTGAACCCAACTCCGGATGGCAGATTTTGCTTAAACTTCCAGGGATGAACAACCTTAATTTAACAGAATTATGGCCCTTTGTTGATTTTTTCACTATATACCATATAGAAATTTTGTGAACGCAACTCCTCTTAAACCGGATGGCAGATTTTGCTTAAACTTCCAGGGATGAACAACCTTAATGTGTAGATGGAAGTAAAGGAAGGAATTTTTGCTGTGACGAAATTTAACAGAATTATGGCCCTTTGTTGATTTTTTCACTATATACCATACATATGTTGTCAGTGGGGGCATCCGTGTCCTTTGGACACGGTTCTAGTTTTCTTTAAATATCATTATGAACATATACAAATATCAATGCAGTTTATTAATTAAGAATAAATTTGATTAATGAAATTATTTAAAACAGCCTCGAGTTGGACATTATCAGTGTAAGAAATTCGGATTTGAATCCACTAGGCTGGTCAGACTACCAGATTGGAATATTCACTAGCCCAAAAGACATTTCACTAGCACGATTCATTTGTTCAAAACAGTTGTTTATATATTGCCTCTGAAAAAACAGTAGCCTGGTCGGGCTTGTTACTGTGAAAAGTTGGTTGCCCGAGGAGAAATTTAGTAGTCAGGGGCTATCGGACTACTGCTAATTTCGAACACTGCATTATGCAGGTGATAATTGACCAATTATTAGGATATTACATGTCAGTTTGTTAAGTAATAAGAGTGTATTAATTTATATAACAATACATATAGAAAAGGCCTGTTATTCGGTCTGACATTTGAAACACAATACAAAACAATAGCGTTTTAAATGATGATGAATGACATTACAAAAATGATCACAAAAGGGAGACAAGCGATGACTTATTATTTAAAAGATATTTTAAAACATAATGACAAAGTCAGACAAACATATATATACAAGTACAAAACTTAAAAACCGCATGCATATCGATTGATTTACTGTTTAACATACATTCATATATACATTAAGGCTTGTGCAACTATCTAGAAGTGTTTTGATGGAAAGTGTCTTGTTGGAATATTCTATCTATAATGTTATCAATTTTGATTCTTTTGACGAGTTAATTTCTTTGCTTTGTTTTAATTAAGATGCTGTCTGTTTAGAGAATTTATATACATACATGTTTACATTTCTTGGTTTTCCTATAGTAACGAATTTAAAACTATTATAAATAATCATTATTCCTCCATACAGCTTAAATGTTATGAATTGCACATAAAAAAATTAAGGTAATTCTGTCAAGTTTTTTAATATCAGTGCAAAATGTTTTACATATGAGATTTTTTCAATCCATTCCCACTGTCTTACTCTACAGTACCTATTTTATACTTATAATTGCATAGCTAAATGTTAATAATAATCTGTTCAATATGAAAATACTTTGTCTCACGGTCCGCCCTGTCCTACGACCATCACTAACAAACAGAAATTTAAAAAGTTGGCAGTGTACATGTACGTATTATTTGAAATAGTCTTTGTTAAGAAGAGATATCAACCCAATAAATGTTACATATTGATCTTTAAATTGAATTTTTATGACAATAAATGTAATTGTATTTAACACTGTTTGTTCTTTAACACAACCAATGCTGTTTGAACGATAAATTTTACAAAAAACATCTGAAGTAAGCAAAACGTGCATATAAATCATAAATTCTTCCCATCTCTGCAAATTCACATACAAATTGGTACTTTCATCAATAAAACTTTTCAATAACCTTGTGTAGAGGTCTATTATTGTGAAAATTTTTAACAATGAAAGTTATGAAAAAATATAAAAAGTAAAAAAAAGTAATCATTACCATATATTATATAATTATGGGCCGAGTTGACCCTTACTGAGTTGGAATAATGCCGAGCTGACTCGGGGGGCCGAGTATGTTTAAGGGCCAAGCTGACCCTGATTCATCTATTAAACATCTACCTATTATCTGACATAATACAGAAAGTATTCAGGGTTTTTTTCCAGAATTTTTGGAACATGAACCAAACCCATTGAATTGGGAATTTCATCAATGTTTTGTTAAAAATTGGGAAGAACGCATTACTTAATTTTGCAGTGATACATGAATGCAAAGAATCACTGTCTAGGATTGCACCATCAAACATTAAGCACAATAACAGTGAAGAAGCCCTTATTTTCAAAGATTTAGAATTTGTAATTCAATATTTTTATATTGTAACTTTTAATTGGGAATTTTTTTCCTGTGGATTGGGAAAATAATATACTATTTTCAATTGGGAATATGACTAAATATCGGCAATAAAACAAGCACAAAAGATCCCTTGACACAGGGCTTTTTTTCCTTCTATAACGGGCCGATATAAGGCCTCTTCACAATTCAAAATTGCACTTTTTTCACAAAGCGGCAGAAAAAAATTCACAATTTCAAAAGGAATTTCACAAAATATATATTGGGACTTTGTCTTTGAAATACATTGTATACCTTTCTGTAAAACTTGTTTACGCCAATTGAATAACATAAAAATAGTTAAATCAAGTTAAATGGTTTTTGCCCATGTTAACCGGGTTAATGTACCTACTTGAAGAAGATTTTACACTGGTCAGAAATTATAATCAACCATTTCAGGTTTCAAAATGTTGTGAAATGCCAAGAAATATGTCTTTTTTTTTCTCAATTTTATGACATATAACGCTTATTTTCACAAAATAAACCGGCCCAGGCCCCTTCACAATTTTGACACAAAATGCCCTGCTGGTATTAAATCATAAATTTATCATGATTGCAGCCTATTGTGCATGTAATTAATTAATTATGATTTAACTTCTGATTTTAATATTAATTGATTCAATTACATAATGTGGTTGACCCATGTCTGTTAAAATCTTACATATATGTCTGTTGATTTTATAATATCCTCTTATTTACACCATAATCATTAACAAAAAAAAAAGAAATATCCTTTCACAGCAAACTACTGGGATCCTACATATTACCGGACAAAATATGATGTTTTTTCGTTGTAACTTTTATTTAAAATAATAGAAAAGAATGAAATTTTATCCAAATAATTGTAGGTTCTTAAAAAACGTAAACATTCCTTTATCAAACATAAAATTAAACTTTTGACCGTAGAAATGTGTCTGTAAAGTAGGGCATTAAAAGAGGAAAAAAATCATGTAGACAACTCAATTTACCGGACATTGTGTTTCAAAATTTTTTGAAGTGTTAAATTGAAATTAAGCAAGGAAACTACGACTATTGAATGGCAATGTTAAGATACTGGAAAAAACCAGTATGTCACTAAAACAGACACAGCAGCCATGCTTGTTACGAAGAGGCCAATATAGGGGTGTAATTGAAATAAACACTATTAACTCAATTAACGTATTGATTCTTCATGATCCTTAAAAGTATGACACATTTTGATATTCAAATGGAATTCTGTTCTTTCTCATACAGTTTCCTTTTGATCATCATGTAGCATGTGCAAAAGCCATTAAGTCTATTTTTTGTACATTTTATGTAGAGTTTCCTCCCATGGGCGTAACCTGTTTCCTTATATGTTTTTAAATTTGCATTTCTTTGTAAAAGACAACAACAAGATGATGTTTGAACGAAATTTAAAATAATTTTTTATCCTTAACATATGTAACGATTGTCTCCTGAGTTAACTTTGAGAAGAATTAAAAGTAAAATCTATCTAAAATAAGTTAAATAACCCATTAAGGGCCTCAATATTCGGGAATGCGCAGAACAGATTATTCCCCCGCATGACCAGGTCATGGAATAACTAGTAAACAAAAGGGTATGTTAGTAAATAAACAACTGAATCAACAATATTTGCCTGAGAGTGGTTTTGTTGTTATTTACTTTGCAGTAGAAAGTGTGTGTACAATTCAGACCGGATGATTTTTTAATTGAAGCAAAAAATAAAGCCTTTTTGACAGGAATAGATTTTGTCCGGTAAACTGATTGTCCGGTAAACATGTAGGATCCCAGTACAGTAAAAAAAATGACCACATGTCCACCTGATTTGAAGCAAAGATAATCAGCACTTACATTGTATCTCCAGTTAACAGGCTGTTGAAAATGCCCAATTGGGCTTATGTCATAAAAATTATATTTCTAGAAAAGAAATAGATATATAAGAATAATACATGTATTTGACATAAACAGACAGAAAAATATTTGGCTATTGTCACTTTTGTGAGATTTATTTCCCTTTTTTCATGTTTTTATAACACATAATTTTTAAAGTCCTTAAAAAGTAATTTACATATGCAAAGTGTAAAACAAAACAGGTTAAATGACTTCTTTATACTCTAATTCATTGCGCCAACACCTGTCAGCATACATTTCATTCAGTTTTCAGAGAAAACTTCAAAGTATAATGTTCAATACAAATGCCAGAAACAGAATATTTAATCCAAATATATAGAATAAAGGTACTGGCGCAATAATCTAGAGCAAAATGAAGTTGGACACATTTCTATTTAGAATTTTACATTACAACATAATTTTTATGAACTTTAAATATTTTGTTTCTAGAAAATGGGAAAAAAGGAAATAATTCTAAGAAAATAAAAGATAACCAAAATATTTTGATTTTAATTTGTATCATATATCAATGAGTAGAAATATGATATTTTATGTGTAAGCCCGATCGGGGATTTTCACCAGCCTGGTTAATATTCCAAATATACTATGTCCCAGGAATAGGTATTTTAGTTTCCTTCATCATCTTCATTTTTGTTTCAGATGTAAATCATGGCAGATTTGATGGATTTCACTGATTCGGAGAATAAAGAGAACAGTATAGTTTCTATAACTGATGAGAATGATATACAAGTTGCTCCAGGTCTTGTCCAGTCACCAGTTATTGTTAAATCTATACTGAAGCAGTGCCAGAAGGACAACCTGATTCAACTTTATACACCAGTACAGAAACCAGAAAAAGGAAGGCTTAAGGTAGGTTTGAGTGTAAAGCACCAGATCCTGTCATCTGTTGGTTAGGATCAAAAGACACCTTGAATCATTCAAACCATGAGGTATCTATTTTGTTAGCATACAATGTAGTTATGGTCCTACTTTGGTGTTTGTCATGCCTGGTCATGAATAAACAAAGTTTTTACTAGCATGATTAAGATTTAAATATAGTTTAGAGTAACTTTTGTACTTACTTTATATATGTTTGTAGTGAAAATTTATTAAAATAGGATAATACTACAAAGAAACAATTTCAAACGATTGTCATTTGAAATTTATTCCATTTATAGTTAAGAGATGCTCATCTTTTACTCTGATATTTACTACAGTTTCTCTAATCTTGTAGGTGCACTTTGGACATGACAGTTTACTTCAGACGCCAAATGTCAAGCAGGTGAAAAAAGTTAAAGGAGATGTTCTGCCTATAAAAGAGGGTTTAGAAACTATATCAAAAGGTTTTATATTAAACAATTTTAATTTGAATATTTAAAGACAATTTTAACTTTATGGCTTCTTAGGAACTGGCCTGTGTAGTAGTTGAGATTGATGACATTAAATCACTTGTCCATCATGCTATAGAAAGTGGACTACAATATCTCAAATGCAAATTCAGGCATAATGTACTAAGAACCACATGAGAAAATTATTCACTGTAGTTCAGTTACAGTTATTTGTTGGAGATGTACAGTATATTTCTATTAATAATGACATTCTATGAAGTTTTTCCTTCATTATTTAAAAGGTTAAACTTTTACACATAAATGATAGATAATTCATCAAAACATTAAAGTTTCAATGCTTCACTAGACCAAGATTAGATGCTTACTAGTAGGATGAACTGATTCTCTAGTTATTTTTGATGCAGTACAGCTCTTAAACTCTGCTTGCAACAGCAGAATCTACCCATACAGACAGTGAACATTAAGATTAGCCGGTATGTCCGTATTAGTATGCTTTATCAGTGTCTATTCTAGGAGGGGGGATGGGGGGGATACACCCATATTTTTGAGAATTTCCCCCTATTTTTTCAGAGGCAGGGGGGAAATTTTACATAGAGAAAGAAGGAAAAAAATCAACAAATGTAATAAATTTTCGAAAAAAAATCCCCCCTGTTTTTCAAATCCTAGAATAGACACTGCTTTATAATGCTGGTACACAGGCATTTTCTAAACATTATCTGTATTCTGAAAAATGGCTACATTATGTCGGATTGATGTTTACCACAAAATATTTAGAGGGAGGTAATAATAAATCTAAATCTGGTTTATTTTAAATACAGCTGATAATGAGAACATACAAACACAGAAAGTTGAGGCAGACGTGGTACATACAACAGTCTCGAGTGAAGATGTTGTTAAAGATGGTGAGAAACAAGTTGTCGACAATGCTAGTGTAGAGGTTGCTGAGGAGATTGTGAGTCATGTGATAGATCAACTTCCTATCAAAGAGTGAGTTATTTTATTCCAGTCATGATAAGATATACAGAATATTTACTAGCCTTTAGATTGAAGGAAGAAGTGCAAAAAATGACCTTCGAAAATCTTCTGTCAAGTCTTAAGTTTCAAAGTCTACTAACCAAAATAACCAAATGATGTAAAGTGAGCACCAGACCGTCTTGAGTTGCTTAAAGTGAAAAAAGTCAAAATTGAACATGCCGATTGTTCTTAACAGTTCATCAAAATTGGCAAATTACACCAGCTTTTTGCCACATAATTTGAACCTTTATTTTACATTTGCTTAACCATTAGAATTAATTTTGTTGCATTAACATTTTGCAACTAAAGTTGTGATTCTGTCAACTGGCTATGATGTAGTTAGCCAGCACTTGCTACTTGCCAAGAAATTTAGAATGTTCATTCTTATGCTGCACATATTATATCATTTATTGTGTGCATTCATCAAATACCCTGAAATATTACATTAAAGATCCTTTATGTTGTAATTAAGGATGTAACAACACTTAAGTGAAATTTTATATATGTATATAATTATTCTTCTAAAACAATTTTCAAACATCCAAGAATATGTTAAATATGTACTGCAAATGTTTATATGCATTATATGTAATCATTAAAATATATGCATTCATTTCTTATTGAAAAATTTGGCTTAGACTTTATAGAAAATAAATTTCTAATTACGTACCTCCCTTTATTTACATGAAATGTAAATTCGGTTATATCTTTACAAATAATGCTTTTTGGAACTTACAATATTGATAAATCTTCATTTGAGCATCACATTTATGATGGAAAAAAACATAAAAAATTTGGAGTTACAGGATTTTTCATTAATGCACATTTCCATATTCTCAAAGGCTTATGCTATGTTTCATAGTTATGTTGAATGAATATTTCAGTGACATAGATTCTAATGGAAGTGCTGACAGTGGTATAGAAGAGTGTGCTATGGAGGTCAGCATCAGTGAACCTACAACAACTGAGGTAATATCACTTATTGTCAGAACAACTTTCTGCTCACTTTTTTAAAGCATGGAATGTGAAGAGGAAAGATATGTAGATAATTGACCACTTGTTCTGCATAACCAGTGGCACGGTGGCAATGAAAAAAAAAATATGAATATTAAGCAAAGATTAAAAACTCACACAAAAATTAAAGCCTTACAAGGAAATACAAAACACAGTGTTCGCCTGTTTTCAATGAAGCACAGGGGAAAAATGGCGCACTGTAAACAAGATGACTTTAGGCATTCAAACTCTATGCAAACGCTGCGCAAACTAAAGTAATTTTTTGCGGTGTAGCTTTTAGCTATTGTAGTAAAGTAATGATATTTTAATCAAGAAATATGACATAAAGAACAAAACTTTTTTATGCACAAGCATAATTAACACACTTTACGATGCATGGTTATTGAATATGAGTCCCTATCTATTTTTAAATTTGGAAAATTCAATTTAGCCAGTGAATATGATACTTCACCCAGTGTATATAATTTTATTAATAGCTCTGTTGACTACTATTTGGACCAATGAGATTGCAGCTATATTTAGATCATATGATAAATGTGTATATTTCATGGCTCAAATATTCATGATGTAAAGCAATGCTGGAATAACTAATGGATGTGCAGTGTATGTATTCTTAATATCAATGTATTATTTTGTGAAGAAGAAAAAAAACTTACTGATCAATCACTATCACTCTTTGATTTTTCTTCAGACATTTGATGGATCATCTGACATTGATGATATTCTACTTAAATCTGAAATGCTGTTGAGATCGCTGCGAGGAGAATTATTTAGTACAGACTCCGCTGCTGATGATTCATCACAGGCTGACAAGACAACGAGTGAAGTTTCTGATAAGCAAAATGAGGCAGGAGTTAGTAATGAGATACAGACTAAAGATGATACTGTGAAAGAAGACAGTGGGACAGGTTCAGAAGCAAGTCATGGCAAAGAAGCTACTGATGATAGTGATGTTGTAAGTCAGAGAAATCTTGCTGATAGTAATGAAAAAGAAGGTGGTAGACAAAATGAAATAAAATCAGAGGAAATTAAAGAAACAGAAAAGGAATCAGAAATACATTCTTACACTAATGAAGAGGAGCCAATGGAAGTTGGTGAAGCTATGGAGGTAGATGACGATGATGATGATGAAATTGTTTTCAATTTTGGAGACAAAGGTAATGCTGAAAGTAATGTTGATACTGAAGAAAAAACTAGCAAATTGGTTGAGAACACAACTGTGACAAGTGAAACAAAAGAGAATAGTATATCTGAAAACATGAGTGAAAGTGTTGACAACATTGATGATGCTAAGGTTACAAAGGCAGATACAGACAAAATAGATGGAAAAATTGAAGACAAAACTGAAAATATGCCAATTCAAGATAGCAGCGTAAAAGAGGAATGTGTTGTATCAGATAAAGTGGAAAAAGACAATAATACTGGAGCAATAAATTCAGACGAAGGAGAATGTTCTGACAAACCAGAAAAAACTGCTATGACATTGAAAGATGAGGAAACAAAAGATGTCCAGATACCTGCAGATACTGAAAATGCAAAACAAGATGGCAAAACAGGAAAAGAAGCAAAAAAGAAGGGAGATGATAGTTCAGATGAAGAATTTATGTCAGCAGACGAGGATATGGAAGTTGATGAAGCGAAAACACCGTCTAAATCAACTCTTCCTGAGACACAGAATCAGCAAGATAATAATATAGAACCTAAACAGGATTCGCCCGAGAGAACACCACCAAAAGTTGGATACAATCTAAACTTTGATGATCTTGATGCTATGGATCCATTTTCAACAAAGAAAGCTTTATTAAATAGTCCAGATTTAGGTAAGGAAGCAGTGAAAAAGAAGGTGGAAAAGAAAACAGATGAACAAGAAGACAAATCTGATAATAAAACTGATGTTAAAAACACTGAGAGTACCGAAAACTTCAAGTCAGCAAACTCAAGCCCTGTTAAATCTGAACCCACCAAAGCTGAAATTATTCTTTCTCCAAATGCAGTATTGGTAGATAAAGTTTGTCAGGACAAATCAGCTGGTGATATATTTGAGGAGAAGCCAGATTGCTTACTTCCTGATGATGCTAAGCTTCCTAATGATGCAGACATATTGACTGAGGAGAACAAGTCTAGCTCACACTCAATTGACATTGGTCAAGAGCTTGACCCAAAGAAGGAATTAGATTTTGACAATATGGACCCATTTAAACCCAAGACGCAGATTGTAAATACACCTGATAAAGCCACGTTAAACAAAAACACCAATATAAAAATGGAAAATGAAGTACCAGTCACAAATCCAATCATAAATACACCTGTGAAAACTGAAGTAAATGATAATGTTGTTGACATCAAACCTGACACTTGTGAAGCAACAACTGATAAAGAATTACCATCAATGAACATTGAAAATACAGAAGATAAACAATCTGAAGAACATCCAGTTACACCACATAAGGAAAAAATAGAAGATAAACAGCCCCCATCAGCATCTCCTCAAATACCATTAACGACAGGAGCATACAACTTGGATGCGCTTGACATTGATGAAATAGATCCTTTCAAACCATTGGTGCAGATGGCAAATTCACCTTGTGGGAGCATTAGTGAGACTAAAGCAGCTACAGTTGATTCGTTTAAACCCAAGAAACAGATTATGAATTCCCCTGTAGTGAATAAAGAACATGGTGAAACAAAAAGTGATGGAATAGATCCATTCAAGCCTAAAACCCAAATAATTAATTCACCAGACTCTAATAAACAGGTTCCTGTGCTTGCTAACAGTGACAATAAAGATGCTGTAACATCACAACCTGGTCTTGAAGAAAAAAATCCAGCGTTAGAAGCAAAAAGTATGGAAACGTTAGAAGAGATAACAGATCCTTTTAAAACAGTCTCTCAGGTAGGCAATTCTCCACTGAAAGAAGAAAACAAACTTAATATCTGTGAAACAGATCCATTTAAATCAAAATCTCAGGTTCAAAATTCTCCAGTCAAAACTGCATCTGATGATACATGTAATAATAATGATAATGTAGACATTGTAGATCCTTTAAAACCACAAAATCAAATGCAAAATTCACCAGTGAATAAAACAACAGAATGTAATAAGATCTCAGACAATGTTGAAACTGTTGCAGAATCTTCAAATGCAGCAGCAGGGAAAGAAACAGAAATGGATTCAGAAATTTTAGACATTGAATTAATGGATGATCCATTTAAGCCAAAAAATCAAATGCAAAATTCTCCTATTTTGAAAGACAAGGTTAATGTGGCAGAAAAAGTCGAGACTGAAATCTCCGACACTGTAAAAGATGAGGCTTCAACAAATAACACAATAGATCCATTTTCCAATGTGGATCCATTTAAATCAAAGAAGCAGCTTGCAATGTCTCCTCCAGTGAAGTCTGGCAGTCAGGTAGATCCATTTGCTGATTTGAATCCATTTCAAACGAAGAGTACTGTAGTTAATACACCTGAAAAGCCAGAAACAGAAAGTATTGAGAAAGGTGTAAAAACTGTGACGAAAATTGATCCATTCAAGAGTAGTGGTGGAATCTGTAACTCTCCTGCTTTGACGACAATAGAAGAGATGCCATTTGTGACAAAGTCGAGGGTTGCTAACACACCAACCAAAGAAGACGATCCATTTTCAAAGAAGTTTGAGATCCCTACAGCACCTTTAAATGAACCTGATGAGTAAGTTTCTAGTTTTTGACCACATCTCTTTCAAAAAAATAAAGTGATTAAACTTATTTTAATTTTTCATTATTAAGTCAAAATGTTCAAATCATTAGCTTGTGTATACAAAATTTTTGAGCAAACTCAGGGCTAGCACTGGCAATTTTTTACTTTGAGCCAATTCTTCGCGGCGAAAATTGCCTGCCTGTATTTTATTTTCAAATTAGGCAATGGTACGGCATTGGATATTTAGAAAATCATTAACTATTATCCAACTTAATTTTGGTAGCTACATTTTTATTACATTTACAAATCTTACATATACGAGTATAATTTACAGTCAGTAATCAAAATTTTAAGCTTAGAGGTCAGTAATTTACATTTGCCAAAAGTTAGGCAGCAAGGTTCCCTTAAAATCTAAGTCTGTGGCATGATAGTGACAATAAGGTCAATCTTTTTTTTTTAGGAATACTCTGTATGTCAAATGAATTCCTTCTCAATTTTATGTTTTTGGAGCCATAATAAGGTCAGATTTCAGGGCCAAAATACCTTCTTTGTAGTGGTCCAATAAAGGCTGCTTTCCCAACCAAACTGGCCTCTTTTTTTCCCAGTTTGGTCCTCAAAATCCCCCAGTCTTTTGAAATTTCCCATAGAATTTAGAACAAAATTAAATGATGGTGTTGAATTTAGGTATTTTACTGCCTTATTAGTATTTCCAAGTGCTTTTTGCTGTCCTATTTTGAAGAACATTCTCACTGCTTTTTGCTTTTCTATTTTGAACAACTTAAAATTGTTAAAATTTTGTATTAAATTTGAGACCCTTTTTCCCAAAATATGCTAAAATCACGCATATATTTTCCCCAAGAAAAAGGCCGAGGCACCTTCCTCAAAAATGGTGTTTTGGCCCTGGATTTTATTCGCAATAACACCCCCTCCCTCCACCACCAAAAAAAAATCAACAACAATAACTCTATCAACTCGTAATTCCTTCAATCTGTTTATCAACAACGATAAAATTTACTAGTCAATTTGCCAACTGCAGAACATAATTTGTCGCCATTTCATACCCAAAATGCTGATTTGATTAGCGATAATCTTGAGATGCCGCTAGTTATTGTTTCATATTGAATATTAAGACCAATTATCCAGTGCATATTCAACAACTTGAAACTTCAAAGATGGATGGATCTCATTGAGGAGGAGTGCAGTGCTTAAGAATGATAACTCTACCCTGCATTATTTTTGAGTTATTGCCCTTTTTTATTTTTCAAAATTAATTTTTGTCCAGAGCATAACTCAAAAAGCCTTTGAGATATCAAAATGAAACTTCATAGGTGCATAGATCTCACTCAGGAGGTGTGCACTGCACAAGAATGATAACTCTATCTTTTATAATTTTTGAGTTATTGCCCTTTGTTAATTTTTCAATTCAATTTTTTTTCTCAAAAAGTATTTGAGGTATCAACTTGAAACTTCATAGGTGGATAGATTTTACTGAGGAGGGATGCAGCACACAAGAATGATAACCTACCCTGCATTATTTTTCAGTAATTGCCCTTTGTTATTTTCAGCCATCAGTATTCACATAGGTTTCAAATCTGTAATCACTATAGCCATCAGTTTTCATTACCAAAAGACCTCTTAAAATGGAATTATTCCACTCTACTACATATACATTCTTCCAATGAGCAAACACATTTGGCGGGGAATGGCCATGTTGACATGGCTCTTGTTAAGATAGTGCTATAGTTCAAAGTTGATTAAGCTCAAAACCAATATAATTGTTGGCAAGGCGAATTGATGTTTATTTACAATTAGCTGGAAAGAATCACTTACTGGTAAAAATACATGTATGTAAATTGCTAAGAAATTCAACTGAACCTTGAGGTAAACTAGATGTCATTTAGCAGCAGTGACACAATAATGACAATCTGAGTGTAACAGCTATATAGATGTAGTAATCTATATCTATCTAATTTTATATTTGTGGATGGATCCTATGTTATGTAGATACACGTAATATTGCATTGCCTTTTTATGTTACTGTATTATTTGATTGAGGAATGATATAAAATTTTCGAGGGGGGGGGGGATAAAAAGGAAAAGGATAAATTAAATATCTGACTTACTTATCTTCACAGACAGGTGGGAGGGATTGGTGATATATTTGAAGTACAGGGAGTTACAAGGAGAGGGGAGGAGGGGACACAGGCGAACCAGTTTGGAGATATTGACGAGTCTCAGTTTGTGTCAGCGTCACAGGTCTTCAATGATCCAGCAGCTTGGGAGATGTTGGAAAAACTTGGAGGAGGTTCTAGTGACTCCGTAAGTGTGCCTTTTTAGACTTTTATTCAAGATTATTATTTACTTTATTGACTTTCAGAATTCAAGTGTTAAGTGCATGTTTTATTGTTAATACTCTATTTAAAAGTACTTGAGGGAGTCCATGGCCAAGTGTTAGTTTTACCTCTTACCGCTGTAGGTTTGAGCTGCACCAGCATCTTTGGATTCTCTCATATGAGGAAGCTATCCAGCTAACTTACAAAATGTAAGTAGTTCTACTTATGTGCCTGTTTGTGTGCCTGAAATAATGCATAGAGGTTTCTCCACCAAAAAAAAGCTGGAAAGCTGCCATATGACCTATACTGTGTTGGTGTGATGTAAAATCAAACCAAATAAAAAGTAATTCCTTCTTGCTCTGCCTTTGAATTTATTTCTAATGTTATATAACATTACATAATTCATAAGTTGTATTTGCTCCTGTTATATTTGTATTATAATTTTCTCATGCATATATTTTAGGGAGAGTCAGCACTTTCCAGGATGTCATTGTATGTTAAGTTTGACCCTCTTGTTGATGAAGCCCCTATAAGTAAGTCTGTAAAATATTTACAAAATAATTCAGTTAAAACTTGACATTGTGTTCGTTAATAATTTTTTCTCACCAGAGTCAAACATTTTAGTTAGATTCTAGGGAATAATGTGAGGTCTGTTATAAAGCCAGGTAATCACAAAATGAATCCTTATCAACTGTATCTTTTTTCATTGTTAAGGTAGATAAATTTATATCACTTGGCTCTCACAGCAGTGGGTTTTAATCCCACAAAGGGACTGAGTACTTCCAAGTGGGGAGGCTATTCAGTTAGCTTATGGATTATCGGTGGTTCCACTCCGGTGCCCTCTCATGCCTGAAATAGAATTGAAACCTATACAGTAAACTTCACTTATAGCGAACACGGTTATAGCGAACTTCCGGTTATAAGGAACAATTTATCTTGGCCCGAATTTTGTCCTTCTTTATTTAATATAAAAATATACGGTTATAGCGAACACGGTTATAAGGAATTATCGTTTATAAGGAACTCATTTCTTAGTCCCAATTTAGTTAAAAGTACAGAAAATTACACTTTTATAACGAACTCCAAAATATCGGCCATCCGTAAATAGATACCGCATTTTCAACTTCCGTTTTTTATTGACATGGATTAAAACTCGGCTGACTGTGCCGTTTATTGTTGTATGTACATGTACTTCAATACATCTTTCTATTAGTACGTACTAGTTGTCTTTTTAGGATATTTTTAGCATGAGTTCTTGTCACCAGGATAAAACGGTTATTCCCTTTATTCTATTATTTCTTTTCTAGTTTTGCTAGAGTAAAATAATTATGATCATTTATAATCGGTTTTCAACATAATTACGCATGCTTGCAAGCAAAATCCTTTGAAAGCTACATAGTACGCAAAGAAATCTATATCATACATTAATAAAGTCACCCTGAAAATATAATAGCAGATATTCAATGTAAAAGGGTGGAAAAAAAACTTTGTATATTCTTATTCATGGAAAGAAAACGAAAAGCATTGAGTTTAGGAACAAAATGTGATATTTTATAAGAAATTGAGAAAGGGAGTTAATATAAAACAGTTCACTGAAATAGCAAAGGATTTTCAAATTCCAAAAAAATACGCTTTCGGGTAGTGTGTCTAAAATGGGAAAAAATGACTATTTTTTTCTTTATCAAATGCTCTTCATAATGGCGGACGATGGTAAACAATCAGTTCGTTATATGTAAATCTGTTCGCTATAAAAACTCCTGATACAAGGAACTAATTCGCTATATGCTTATAAGGAACTCCGGATATAAGGAACAGATTTTGAATATCCCGATGAGTTCGTTATAAGCGGAGTTTACTGTAATATGTCTTTTCTGAGATAAAATTTCACTTTGTGAAAAATGTCCTATTTCAAATTTGTATGAATATTTCACAATTGATGAATTACATGCGAATGATTTATTTCAGATCCTAGGAGGATAAGTATCCGAGTGTCACAGTTGGAAAAGGTGAAAGAATAGTAGGTGTCATTCTTTGTTTGTTATTGCAAAACATCTCATTTCATGTTTTCATAAATTATAAATAAGATGAGACTGATGAGACTTTATTTAATACTCTACTTGTGTTCTAAAGTGCCTTAGGAAATGAGCCGCATCATGACAAAACCAACATAATGCGTTTGCGACCAGTATGGATCCAGACCAGCCTGCGCATCCGTGCAGTCTGATCAGGATCCATGCTATGCTTACCAACTCTATTACAAGTAGAGAAACTGATAGCGAACAGCATGGATCCTGATCAGACTGCACGAATGCGCAGGCTGGTCATGATCCATGCTGGTCGCAAACGCATTATGTTGGTTTTGTCATGACGCGGCTCAAATGATCTTAATTAAAGCTTCACTTATGTTAAAAGATAACAGGAAAATCAGTTATAAAATAGGCGTTCTTGAAAAATAACTAGAGAATGCTTTGGCTTAAAGTCGCAGGTTTGAGATCTATTTTGAGGTCACTCAGTCAAAGGTCAAGGTCACCATTACCTTGACCAATGAAACATTTCTCGGGTACATAACTTGAAAACACCTTGGCCTACAGTCTTAAGATTTAATATGCTCACTTTGCGGGTAGATCATGACTTGTAGATGACTATGATTGTGTAAAGATCTGTTTGTCAAAAGTCAAGGTCAACCTGACCTTGGTAATTCAAAATTTGTCTGACCAATAACTGTAGAATGCTTTTGCTCACAAAAAAATATATACTTTGCTGCATTTGTTAAAATTAAACATTGGATATTTGGTACCTTGTTTTAGTTGGCATTATATACCTGTACCATTTTGTCCTCATGTGAGCACTTTGTTGCCAATTACTCCCTTGTTAAACAGGGTTCGACACTAACTGTTTTAACAAGGGATCCCATAGGAATCCCGATTTAATTCAGGGATTCCTCAGATCAAAATAGTAAAATATGAAGGCGAATAATAACAAGGGAGTGCAGCAATCCGATTTCAAAATCTTTTTTTAAAGACCACATACATGATATATTGCCTTGTTTCAGATGCAGAAAATGTAGTTTATGAGCCCTTTGGTTTTTTTTGTTTGCTTGGATTTTTACAGCACGTCAACACATAACTGGCCATATGAGCCCTTTGGAAATATTGCTGTTTAAAGTTTTAAAAGTGTTTCAAAGTGTTTACTTTACTAGTATATATATAACTTTCCTAGTATATATATAATTGGACTGCTAAGATAAATTAAAACATAATACATTTTTTACATGCACTTAAACAGAATAACATTAAGCTCACCCACTGAACAAGAGTTCTCCCTGGGGTTGATAATTGTGAACCAGTTTCTGTAAATGAAGGTATAATGCAAGTGACTGGGCAATGGGACTTAGGGTTTGAACTTTTGAAGTTAAGTAGGAACTGGGGAAACATTTTCCCAAATAGCCTAGGGTTCACTGAAATAGAGCCAACATATCATCTGTAGATCTTTAAAAACTTACAGGTAATGATTAGGCTCCATATTCCAGTAAGTTCTTGTATGGATAACTTTTGCAAAATATTTACTTTCATGTCATTTAAAAAGAAATGTTTAATTATGATCACTTTAAAAAAAAAAGTGATATTCAGCTTACTGTACACTTTTCCTGTTTAAAAGGAATTATCCCATAGATTGTTGTAAATTAAATATTTTGTTAAATTTTTACTAAAGCGAAAATATCAAGAAAAATGTTTTGTTTGCATTACAAGTAGGGTACCTTCAAATGATTTCGTTTTTAGCTCGACTTTTCTATGAAAAGGGGAGCTATCCTACTCGCCCCGGCGTCGGCGTTGGCGTCACACCTTGGTTAAGTTTTTCGTACCACCCCACTTTATTTCAGAAGTATTACAAGTATGGCTTTGAAACTTACCATACTTGTTCACCATCATAACCTCCATCTACAGACAAGAGTACATAACTCTGTCAAGGTTTTTGACAGAATTATGGCCCTTTTTTGACTTAGAAAGTGTATTGAGCTTGGTTAAGTTTTTTTGTACCACCTCACTTTATTTCAAAACCATTGGAGGTATTGCTTTGAAACTGACCATACTTGTTTACCATCACGACCTTCATCAACAGACAAGAGGACATAACTCTGTCAAGGTTTTTGACAGAATTATGCCCCTTTTTGACTTAGAAAATACATTGAATATGGGTAAAATCCACTTATTGCCTTAACCCTTTGAGATATTGCTTTGAAACTTTTAATGCTATTTCACATCATTACCCCCATCTGTACGCAAGAGAAGGTAACTCTGTCAAGGATTTGTTTTAAAAATTAAGGCCTTTTATCGACTTAGAATCTTGGTTAAGTTTTTAGTACCAGTCCACTTTTTGACTGAACTGTTTGAGATATTAAATTTGAAAGTTGGAATACTTGTTTACAATCATGATTCCCAAACATGTCCAGGAGAAGGTAATTCTGTCAAAGATTTTATTTGAATTATGGCCCTTAACTGTCAATGTTTTGTATTATAGGCAAGCACTAAAAAACTTAAAAAATCTAAAAAAATTCATTCCTATCCACTTGTTCACTTTACCATAAATTATGTCATATAAACATTGCTGTAATATTCAAGGGTATCAAACAACTAGTTCACTTTAAAAATACAGAGATTCTTGTATTGCCTTTTACTGCAAAAACTTTTTTTATTGGCAAGCAATAAAAAAGTCGAGCGCGCTGTCTTACGGACAGCTCTTGTTAAAAGTAAATAGTTGCTCCAAGTCCATGACAGGATGTGTAATATATAAATTTAATGTTCTCAATTTTTACACTGAAATGTCCGATTCTTTTCCTCCCTGTGTGTATTGATTTTTTTTAAGTTTTGACATATGCCACATCAAAGGCACTCACCGCATACAGCAGTCATGTAGTTTAGAACACTGATTGGCCCAAAGAACTGTCAGATGAAATATATGTCATTTGCTGTATGTTTCACCTAAGGATTTTTCTATTTTTTTTGTCGGTAAATTATGCGTGACCTTGATTGACCTTAGAACACTTCAGTCTTTAGTTAGACAATATTTTTTAGCATTTAAGGCTGCAGAGTTTCAAAAAGGATTTTAAACTGAAAAGTATGGATTCTTTTTATTCTATTTATTAATTATACTTTTGCTGTACTACAGGGAGAAAAAAAAATACATCAGTAATCTTTTTGTTTTTTCACTTTTTTTTACGAAAATTTACAATGATCACAAATGCCGAATTTTGGCACACAAAAAAAACAAACTTCGTAGCTTCCGCCGGCAACGCCGATCTGCACATATTTGAAGTACACACCGCTCGTGTAATAATTATACGATTATTGTATTTCTTTCTGGAATTTTCACAACTTAATATTATGAAGTCAATGCATGATATAAAATTATTCAAGAATGTTTCTTTAGCCAAAATATTTTTCATTATATATCGCAAATGAGTTGATAGAAGTCTCTGCACAAAGGAAATCTGGCGTACATGATTCAAGAGCATAGATTTTACCGGCGGGATTTTTCATTTCTTTCGTGAACATTGCAGTTGTGCCAGTCTTTATTAACACTTTTCTTGAATATTTGTGATTCAATGATATTAATTTAGACAATTTCAAAAATTTACACACCAATTTTTCAGGGATCCCAACGGAATCCCCAGCTAGGAATCACAGAGATTCCTCCCGACTTTTTGGGATCCTCGGAATCTCGGGATCCCGTTAATGTCGAACCCTGTTAAAGTGTAAAAAATGAACATTCTTGTCAAGTCAATGTTTTAAGTAAGCTCCCTTTCACTGGTCCAAATTTGTTTTGAAGGTTTGTTGGAAAGATTTAATTCATATATTTTGCATTACAGTGGACTGGATGAAACGTTACTGTTACTGGGAACACCACCTAAAAGGAGACGTCAGTCGTTGGCCAGGAACACTTCATCAGAATTGAAGTCGGCGGCAAGCTTTGTTCCACAACCTCCTGTCAAGAAAGCTGAACCTGTTGGTACAACACCTGGAGGAGTTGATCTTATTCTTGCATACAGTCCAGAGAAAAAAGACCAGGTAGGAGTGTGATTTATTGTATTTCCCTGTGGTCAATTATTTCATTCACAAGAAACAATAATTTTACCATAATTGATTGATGGGATGAAGGTTCAGTGTTCCGCATCAGTGATTCACATAAATCATTCTGCGAAACTAAATCAGAATAATGCAAAATTTACTTGTAGTAGGCTTGCATGCTGCAATTTAGAATTAGTAAGGACGATTCCTTATTCATAAATGGGGAAATATTGAATGAATTTGTAGTATTTTCTATGTTGAACTAGGAAAGAAAACATGCTTTATTATATGATCTAAAAATAGCTGCAATCTCATTGGTCCAAACAGTAGTCAACAGAACTTTTTATTAACTCATATTCACTGGGTGTAGTATCATATTCACTGGCTCACACGGATTTTCCAAGTCTAAAAATAGATTGAGACTCATATTCAATGTTCATACACCGTAGACTGATATTTAGGCGTGCTGATTAAAAAATAATTGTTGCTTTTTGTTCTTTATGGCATATTTCTCGATTGAAATACCATTACTTTACTATTATACTATAAGGCTACACTGCAATGATGAGTATAAACTTGAATTATTTTTGTATGCGCAGCTTTCGAGTACTCGTTGCACGCCTAACACGTGCGTCTTTTTTCCCGCGCTTCAACGAGGCAAAATTTGTACATGTATATAAGGTTGTACTTTTGTGATTTTTGTGAATTAGACTATTCATATAATAAAACAATTATTGACTAGTGAGCCATTAAATATGATGTGATATTCACCGGCAGAAAGTCATATTGACCTCGGCTATCGCCTCGGTCAATATGTCATCTGCCGGTGAATATCACATCATATTCAATGGGTCACAAGTCAATAATTGTATAATGTTATATATATATATATATCTGTCTATGTTATATATATCTGTCTATGTTATATATATTATCTGTCTATGTATTACAGTTTGAGATGAATGTCGATAATCAAGATGCTCCAGTAATGAAACTGTTTGAGGATGAGGATTCAAATGTAGACTCACAGAATATATTCCAGGTACTTTTTCATTGTTTAAAAGTTTTTAGAAGTACTTTGATGGGTGGGGGGAGGGGGGAATGGCATATTGATTATGCCCTTGTTTGTCATGTCATGTTGTACTGATATTATGCTTCTTGTCTGTAGAATGATAAGGCAGTAAAATTTAGAGGCATTTGAGCCGCGCCATGACAAAACCAACATAATGGATTTGCAACCAGCATGGATCCAGACCAGACCAGCCTCCGCGCACTCTGATCAGGATCCATGCTGTTCGCTATCAGTTTCTCCATTTGTTATAGAGTTTGTAAGCGAACAGCATGGATCCTGATCAGACTGTGCGGATGCGCAAGCTGGTCCGGATCCATGCTGGTCGCAAACGCACTTTGTTGGTTTTGTCGTGACGCTGCTCATTTTTAGTTTGTATAAGAGTTTAAACTAAAGTTTGGTACTGATGGAGAGTGCAAGTTGTTTCTTCTGGAAAGGACAATCCAGTTGACTTTACTGTTCTACAAAATATAAAATATCAAAGACATACATCATTGGGATAGGCAATAAACGTGAGAACCCCCTATGGTTGAACCAACCTCATATGGATCACCAAGATATTGCTTTTGATTAAAAAAATTTAAAAATATGTTCTCCATGTGAGGGTAGATTTCCAATGAGGATTTGTATGTATCAGTATGTTTTATATCATAAAATGGCTGTTGTGTATGTTTGATGCTGTGATTCTGTCATGAAACACAAGAAATAAGATGAAACTGTTTTTTATAGGAGTTGAAGTACACAGAGGCAGACTTGAAGAAGTTTCAGCGTGATAACAAGCTGGCCATGCAAGGAATTCTCATCAACAAAGACAAGGAACTGTGTAAGAAAGAGAAACAATGGGAGAAAGAGAAAGCTGAACTCATCAAGAAATGTCAAAATATTAAACAAGATCGTGGTAAACTGGAGTAAGTTTATTTAAGTTTTTAACTTGACTTTTCAAAGATTAGTTGGGATGTCCTACTCAAGTGAGTGTTAGTATCACTCTATGGTAAAAGTTTTATGTATAACAACATATCTCATCAACCACTTATGATATTTGCTTTAAACTACTTATTTGAGATCTTATTAGGTCATTATTTAAAGGTACATTATGCCTCAGAAATGAATGATTATTTTCATCTTTAGAATGTGCAAATATGAGTTCTGTAACGTTTAAATAATGGTTTAAGAGCAAGTTAGATGTTGATCACATGTATAGAGTATGTTGAATGTGAGAATATTTGTAAAAACAGTCGTAAAATGTTAACAAAGTAGTATTTTGACTTGCATACAAAATACTAAATCACTATTAAAGTACTTATTGCCAAAAAAAAGGAACAGGAGAAAAAGGTGGTTATAAATATTTATTTGGACACTATACAGGGCACCAAGAATTTAAAGCTTTTGAGAAATAAAAATGATATCTGACCTTGAGACTAACCAATTGTCTAAAGTTATAGCATGGATTTTGACAGAATTATGGCTCTTTGTGAACTTATTGGTTAAATTTGCATGCAATGGCATTATGGCAGTTTTCAAAATTTCTGAACGTATTCATTTGAAACTTGTTACATTTCTGTAGGATAATAATATTGGAAGTCATTTTCCATGGCCTATTATTATCGCAAAATACATGCCAGGTTAAAGTTAACATTAATTACCAATATCAGAAATTTTGTATCCGCTCTATAAATCTATACCCCATGAAGAACTTTCTTCAAACTTAGCTAAGTAATGATAAGAGAGACAGAAAATCCTGAGTCATAGTGATCTCCTGTGACAGCTTAAGTTTAATTCTGAAAAATTAAGAAAGTTAGAAAAGTTTCAGCATCTTAATAAATGTTTATTTATTACGCTTATTTCAGGCAAGCATTTTTGGCACTAGAACAGACTGTGTATGAAATTGCAGGTAAGTCTTATTAGATGATGGCAGAAACGAAAACAAAAATGCTGATTTATTAGTTTTAACTTCATGTATAGAAATAAAAATTGTACATATGCCAACAAGTATGTGAATATTACAACAAAACATGACTGTGTCAGAAAAACAGATATATATTATTAGTCCCCTACCGGTTTAACCGGAGGGGACTTTAGGTTTACCCTCTGTCCGTCGTGTGTCTGTCTGTCAGTCCGTCAGTCCGTCTGTCCACAAAACTGGATCCCGCGATAACGCAAAAAGTAATGAAAATATTTTTATGAAACTTGATATATGGATAGATGGCAGTATGTAGATTATGCATGCTTTTTTTTTCTTCCTATGTTGAAAATTCTGGTTGCTATGGCAACAAATAGTCTGAAATTATGGCAAATTTAACACATAAACTTGATCTGGTGATAACTCAAAAAGTACTGAAAATATTTTTATGAAACTTGAAATATGGGTAGATGGCAGTCTGGAGATTATGCACATCTTTTTCTTTTCTTCCTATGTTGAAAATTCTGGTTGCTATGGCAACAAATAGCCTGAATTTCAAGATTTCTGATTTAAATTTTTCAGCTTTTTCTCTATAAGTTCTTTATTTCTTAAGGTGTTTACTTCAAACTTTAAATATAAGTTTCTGGTCATCAACCACATCATATGTGACAAGGTTTACAACTCTAGCACAAAAATTATCAATATTACCTCCCTTTAACTTAGAATTTTTATGAAAAAAAAATGTTTCTTTTTTTATTTCCTAATGTATCAACTTCAAACTTCATATATATGTTTCTTTTCATCACTCAACATTTTTGAGAAGGTTAAATACTCTAGCAAGACTATTTCCAGAATTATGTCCACCTTGAACTTAGATTTTTTTCGAGAAATTGGTATTTTTCACTCCAACTTCTTCATTCCTTATAGGATTTACTTTAAAATCCCACATAGTAATAATATGACAAGGTTGTATAAACATAATTTCCTTACTAGGCAGGGAAACTTAACACATTACTGTGATATAGACAAACTTAACTGTACCTCCAATGGTAATACTTTGAAGTAACCGTTATTTTGACCATAATAGTTTGAGAAGGACATACAAGAATGAAAAGATAGCATTTGATTTTCTAGCTATCTCCACAGGATTAATTAGTTAGCTGTTTTAACCACTTTTGTGTATGCTACAATGGTTTGTCAGTGGACATCTTTCAGATTTTGACCGCCTCGGTGGTTGAGGGGTTTGAGTCGATGACTTCTAATCCAGTTACCTCTCTGGCGTGGGTTCGATCCCCAGGAGATGCTTTGGTAGTTTAGCACAGAGGAAAGTAGTCTAGTACTGGTGTTACTCTCCAGGAACGATGGTTAGGAAACTACCCGCCTATATGACTGAAATACTGTTGGGAAAAGGCGTAAAATGAAACAAACAAACTTTCAGATTTTAATATACACCTGTAATTCTAGGTTGGTCATATTTGACACTATATTTGTCAGCCTTAACTCTTGATTATAGTATTACTAGGTTTGTAAATGGCAGTCAATGAAATTAGGTTTTCACTCTTTAAGCCCAGTTTTTTATTCTGTAGTGTAGAACCTAAAATTTCTCACTGGTCCAAATATATAAATTGTATAGTTTTTATTAGTTCAGAATACAATTAACCATCACTTTACTGTCAGGCAAGTAGGAATTTTGATGGTTAATCCTGTATCATATACATTAATTTCTTGCATATCAGACAGGATTATCTTTCTTTTACACAGGTGCTAGAAAACCCTGTCTTACACCCTCATGTAAGACAAGTCGCGTGCTTTTACTTATGTCATTGCTGCGAGGCATTTATGAATGAATTGTGTTCTTTAGGATGACATCATTTTACCGTTATGAATGAAGCTGTAAGTTCATACGCTACTATAAGAAAAAAGTGCGTAATGAGAATATCAGTTTTCGTAATTTCTGTTCTGAAAATAATTGATATGTAAAATGCAAGAAAAAGAATCAAACACCGTCTGTTGGTACAGACGGGAATATCTAGCTCTCGGGTAACTGTTTAGTGGAAACTCTGCAGAGCCTTGTTACCACCGTAAACAGATACCCTCGAGCTTGATATCCCGGTCTGTACAGGCAGCCAATGTAAGATTCTTATACATTGAAAGCCAGTCAGTATACAGTTTTGACATATTCTCCATTATATTTGTCAACCTTTGATTCAATATGTAATATTTGGACATATTATATCATGATATTTGTGTACAACTTTTATATTTTTAGCTGACAAAGTAAGACACATGATATATCATCATACATGTATATTAATGTACACATTACAAATATAATTCTCACTGTGCAGGTTTAACATACTTTGTATTCTGTAATTTATTTTTGTACATACGATTCCAGCTTTGAAAGATGCTGCAGAAAAGAAGGTTGAGAAGATAGCAGTGGAAAAAGCTCAGGTATTTTTGGCTTGATCATTATATATATGTTGAATAAATGTTTTATCTAGAAATGTGTCCACATTTAAAGTTAGGACATACTAAACAGCATGGTATTATGAAGATGAGAGAAGCTTGTGGTTTAGGTGTCTGCGTGTCAATCCAGGGGTGGTAGAGTTGAGCCCTTATAGGAAGCCAACCATGTTCCCTTGACAGTGGTGGTTCGAGTCAACGTTAAGTTTTCTACACTATCAAGCTAAAATGAATAAATTGTTTCAGCTAAAATAATAATGAATTTTATAATGTATTGTTTACTTGATATATCAGTGTATTGCCGATATTTGTCATCCGATGTTGATGTATTGTCAATATGCTTTGCACTGAATCAATGACAGCTCTATGAGTTATACAGAGAAAAATACTTTACCATACTTAATAAAATTCATATGGACAAAAAAAAATGTTTATGCAACAGTGTTTACGCCACAAGCTGATGTAACAGTAATGTTCCTGAAGAAATGATTTCAGTATGTTTTATTAAATGTGTTTTTTTTAGGCTGTAGAGGATATTCAGGCTGTGGAAACAGCATTTTCTGACCTTCATAGGCGATATGAAAAAGCAAAGACTATGGTGATGTCTATGAAAAAGGTATGTTAGATCTTATAGATCATTGTTAACCAGGTTTTCAATTTTGAAAATCCTGGTTATTAGATTGGGGTATGGCGGGCGGATGGGCGGATGGGCGGCTGGGCGGATGGGCGGGCGTCAAACGAAATTGTGTCCGCTCTGTAACTCTTCAACCCTTTGAAGAATTTTGATGAAACTTCAGACAAATGTTTACCACATCAAGATGACGTGCAGAACGCATGTTCCGCATGGCTGGCTCCAAGGTCAAGGTCACAGTGACATTAACATTGAAAATCCTGTCCGCTCTGTAACTCTTCAACCCTTTGAAGAATTTTGATGAAACTTCAGACAAATGTTTACCACATCAAGATGACGTGCAGAACGCATGTTCCGCATGGCTGGCTCCAAGGTCAAGGTCACAGTGACATTAACATTGAAAATCCTGTCCGCTCTGTAACTCTTCAACCCTTTGAAGAATTTTGATGAAACTTCAGACAAATGTTTACCACATCAAGATGACGTGCAGAACGCATGTTCCGCATGGCTGGCTCCAAGGTCAAGGTCACAGTGACATTAACATTGAAAATCCTGTCCGCTCTGTAACTATTCAACCCTTTGAAGAATTTTGATGAAACTTCAGACAAATGTTTACCACATCAAGATGACGTGCAGAACGCATGTTCCGCATGGCTGGCTCCAAGGTCAAGGTCACAGTGACATTAACATTGAAAATCCTGTCCGCTCTGTAACTCTTCAACCCTTTGAAGAATTTTGATGAAACTTCAGACAAATGTTTACCACATCAAGATGACGTGCAGAACGCATGTTCCGCATGGCTGGCTCCAAGGTCAAGGTCACAGTGACATTAACATTGAAAATCCTGTCCGCTCTGTAACTCTTCAACCCTTTGAAGAATTTTGATGAAACTTCAGACAAATGTTTACCACATCAAGATGACGTGCAGAACGCATGTTCCGCATGGCTGGCTCCAAGGTCAAGGTCACAGTGACATTAACATTGAAAATCCTGTCCGCTCTGTAACTCTTCAACCATTTGAAGATTTTTGATGAAACTTCAGACAAATGTTTACCACATCAAGATGACGTGCAGAACGCATGTTCCGCATGGCTGGCTCCAAGGTCAAGGTCACAGTGACATTAACATTGAAAATCCTGTTTACATGATTTTAACTTGATTTGGCAGTCAAAGGTCATATCATCTTTGGAGGTAATTTAAAAAAGATATGATATATTATTTCATGTCTACTTTGTAACTTGTTTTTCATTATACAGAATTATCAATATAATTATAGTGAACAAATTTCTTCTGTGCTGAACTCGTCCTACATTTCTCAACGGATTTTGTTCAAACTTTCACAGAAGCTTTGTCATCAAGCACCCTGGCACATATTGTCGGGGTTTTGTGATTGGATAGTTTTTGACCTAATTATGGCCCTTTGTTTTTTTCCTTATACATAATATTATAGTGAACACTTCTTCAGTGGCAATTCCTCCTACATTATTCATGTTTTACATTGCACATAGTTACATTGTTTGTTGCTTGTATTTGTATTTCAAATACAACATATTTATCTACAGTGGTGATAATTGAAAACCTGGTTTCATGGCATTGCCATGTTTCTTGTTATATATTAGATTAAATTAATGAACGTCAGCATGAGATATTGATCCCTAGTGACATTTTACAAATGACATCAAAAGATGTTAATGTTGTCATTGACGTTAAATTAAAAAAAGTGTATTACCCTTGAAATGTTAAAGATGAAAAATGAATAGGTAACATTAAGCGAAATTCTTGAATACTTGACTCTCAGATCTTTATTAGCAGTTTTCAGTCCTTAATCTTTACCCTGCCAGAACCTAAAGATATTAGACTTTGCCACATGTGTGCAGTGAATTGTAATTAATGGGAGACCATCAAAGGAAATTTGCATAACTTTTATTTCAAGACTAAGTTCCCTGACTATCCATACTATTCCCTTGAAAATGTATAAGTAATGGCAACACACTGATTTCTTTTCAATCATTATTGCATCTAACAAAAGTACAGTTTTTTTTATGATTAATGACATAAGTTACACTTTGATATCAAATGTATGAAAGTTGACGATAATTGGCTGCAATAAGTTAATTGAATTCCTTTGATAATCAATTATACTAGATAATTGTCATAAGGAAGTACATATTTAGGTAATAGACTGTCCAGGTAGGAAAACACAGGCTGCCAGGGACCAGATGGTGTTTGTGTTAACTTAATATTTGTTTATCAAATTATTTTAAATTTCAATGAATATCTCAGCTTTTTTTTCCACACAACTTTTATATATCACTCATCTTAATTTTCAATGGATATAAATTAATCCAGTGTTTTATGAATATTTATTGAATAGCTGCAAACTGTGGCTGTAGATTAATAATGTCTGATTGTAAGATATAACATTTTCAGAATGAGGAGACATTAAAAAAAGCGACAGCTGATAGTCTGGAGAAACAGAAAACCTTGAACGAGAAGTTACATGCAGTAGAAAAATCAGCAGAGGAAAAGCTTGCAGCGTAAGGCGTTGTTTATATGTCATGATTTGAGAGTAAACTAAAGTGAATTATGAACAAGATCATAGCCATTTTAAAATACATGGCTGAATTTTTTGCAGGATTATTTTCTGACTTCTTAAATCATCTTTTTCTATATAAATCTGAGGTGGGAATTTCATGATTTTCTATATGACCATCAAAAACATAACTTTCAAATATATGACCATTTATCTTTTAATAATGTGTTTTTTGTTTTGTTTTTTTTAAGTGTGTTAAACCAATTTGTCAGTATTCATCACATTAAGAACAGGTCTTTTTATTTTTGAAAGTTTTCTTCACCTCTGTGTGTTCCAAAAATATAATAGCACTGCTCATGCTATTGGAAGACTTATAGAGTAAGATGCATAGGCATATCTAAATATTACCTTGACCCCTAAATAACCTTGACCTTCATGGTCATATTTTTCAGGAAATTTCGCTCCAATTTCATTTGTTTTAAGATTTTGTTTCAAATTATTTCTGTTTAACTAGTATTTCTTATATTTATTAAGATGACTTTTTTGTCATTTATATAGGAACAAGGCAGAGATTGAAAAATTAATACACCAGCGGGACTCCATACAGAATAAATTTGATGCTCACATTAAAATAACAAACATCAAAATAGGAAATCTGGAGACAGCCATAGAAAGAAAGGTTTGTGTGTTTAACAGACATCTCTATAAAAGATTGTTCTTACCCTTCACTTTATTTTTAGCTCACCTGAGCACAGTGCCTAGATGTGAGCTTTTGTTAGTTTTATATTTTTTGTCTATCATGCAATTTCTTTAAACATATGCCAAAATATGTTCCAATAACCTACTTCTGAACTTTTAGAGTTATAAGAATTTCTAGCGAAGAATCTCAGGTGAGCGATCTAGGGCCATGATGGCCCTCTTGCCTATGGCATGAAAGTTTGAGCTGGTCTGAGTAAACAAATACATATCATTGGAATTTAAGGGATTTTAATATCAAAAGAACTACCAGCAGTATAGAGCCTGGTTACAATGCATTGATACTGATGACAAAATTTCTGAATTGTAAGTTCTGTCAGGTGAGGAGTTGTACTAGGAATCCTGTTGTGTTAAAATTCTGATTTTACTTTAATAAATAGTGTTTATTATTATATACAGCAGATATGTTTCTTTTTGTGCTCTATATTTAATGAATTTTTTTCTTCCAGACTGTGGAGAATAAGGAACTAACAGAAATATGTGACAATCTTCTGTCAAAAGTTGATAAGTGAAAATCTTGTATGATACAACATGTACAACCAAACAATACTAGTGACTGACCACTACATTAACAGTGGGACACTACATTCACATGTTTGTTCAGCCTATGATTAAACAGTTACCCAGCTCATCCTCAATTAAATCAGATGTGACCAGTGTTCATAACCAGGTGATAGTGCTAGTATAAATTTAATGATTAGTCTAAGAATAGGTCTTCATATATTTAGATGGACAGACAGTATACTAGTGAAGCCAGGCAACAGTGTATGAAGTTAATGCTAATTATAACTTTGCCATGCAACATAGCTAGTGTAATGGTGCAAATTTGACAGTAATATATAACACTAATCTGTGTCTTGCGTTTTTATTATGATTTATACATAAGATATATAAGTACAGCTATATTGTGCTTGATTGTAATTATCTGTACTTTTACAAGCAAGTTTTTCTTGCATGAGTGAAATGTGTTTGACTTATATACATGTATATCTGAGGGTTTTTTGTTGTTTTTTTGTTGTTTTTTTGTTTTTTTTTCAACATGTTAGTGTATGATATTAATAAAGATTTTTTTTTTAATGTCATTGATGATAATGATTCATAATGGCCTCCATATTCAAGTGGTTGAGGTCATCAAATTTGAATTACTTGTACCTTTGACAGATAAATTCCATTTCAGACAACACATTCACTTTGTTCTTGTACAGAAATTAGCCTGCAATTTAGTGGTTAAACTTATTTGCCTGCACATGCATGAAATATTACAAGTCTTTGATCCACCAGTACAGTAAAGCTGAAAAGTTGCTGTATTTATCTTAAAATTCATGTTTGAAAATCCCACTAATTACTAGTCAATGTGTCAGTGACTTCCCATGTGTCATAAACATTTGTTTGATACAGACTATGATTATTAGCCGTTGTAAGGCCTACATTAATTAACAATAATGGAAATAGAGTTTCCATGTAGCATTCAATTTTATATTATTCGAAGTGCCATAATCCTTAATATATCAAGTTTGTTAAACTTAGTAACAGAATATCTCTTCATTAAGAAATGTATGTAATATGTCTCATTGAAAAGTGGCAATTTTTTATATTTTCACTAGTGCTTGTTTCGATTGAAATAGCAAATGATAAACTTTAATGAAAGATGTAAGATACAAATGTATATCTAATTGTACCAAAACACAAATATGTTCATATTTTATCCTAATTAATGAAAATGTATTTTTTTTTAGTATTTCACTAAGCAGTGTAGAGAGTGGATGATATAACTCGTATTTCACTGATGTAATCAAGTATTTCATTGATTGGCAAATAATAAAACACATGTCTGTCTCAGAATAATAACAAAAGATCTCATTTCTACTAGAAGAAGGCTATACCATAGTATTTCATTTAGGCCATTTATAATGTTCACAGTACATGTATATTGTGTTTTTTTCATACGTTAGGATTAATATATCTATATTCCTTTATGCATGTGTACCTTTTTGAAATGAAATATTTCTGTACTGATTGGCATATTTTAGCTGATTAGTGTGATGGTTTTTGTAGGTATTATTAGTAGATATTAGTCTCATTTCTTTGAAAATGAATAGGTAATATAATGGCAGCTAATTACTGATGAAGTTATTTCCTTACAATCAGATGTACCTATTTCAGTGATCTCTACTAAATACTTGTATATAACATACTATATATGTAGCTTTATATGCCTCAGTCAAATTATATCGTCTGTCAAAATAAAGACTTAAACTTGCAGTCTATCATTTATAAGCATCAGATCATTATATAAAGAATAATGTTTATAGCATTTATTAACCAGGTTTTCAATTTTGAAAATCCTGGTTATTAGATTGGGGTATGGCGGGCGGATGGGCGGGCGGGCGTCAAACGAAATTGTGTCCGCTCTGTAACTCTTCAACCCTTTGAAGAATTTTGATGAAACTTCAGACAAATGTTTACCACATCAAGATGACGTGCAGAACGCATGTTCCGCATGGCTGGCTCCAAGGTCAAGGTCACAGTGACATTAACATTGAAAATCCTGTCCGCTCTGTAACTCTTCAACCCTTTGAAGAATTTTGATGAAACTTCAGACAAATGTTTACCACATCAAGATGATGTGCAGAACGCATGTTCCGCATGGCTGGCTCCAAGGTCAAGGTCACAGTGACATTAACATTGAAAATCCTGTCCGCTCTGTAACTCTTCAACCCTTTGAAGAATTTTGATGAAACTTCAGACAAATGTTTACCACATCAAGATGACGTGCAGAACGCATGTTCCGCATGGCTGGCTCCAAGGTCAAGGTCACAGTGCAGAACGCCATGTTCCGCATGGCTGGCTCCAAGGTCAAGGTCACAGTGACATTAACATTGAAAATCCTGTTTACATGATTTTAACTTGATTTGGCAGTCAAAGGTCATATCATCTTTGGAGGTAATTTAAAAAAGATATGATATATTATTTCATGTCTACTTTGTAACTTGTTTTTTCATTATACAGAATTATCAATATAATTATAGTGAACAAATTCTTCTGTGCTGAACTCGTCCTACATTTCTCAACGGATTTTGTTCAAACTTTCACAGAAGCTTTGTCATCAAGCACCCTGGCACATATTGTCGGGGTTTTGTGATTGGATAGTTTTTGACCAAATTATGGCCCTTTGTTTTTTTCCTTATACATAATATTATAGTGAACACTTCTTCAGTGGCAATTCCTCCTACATTATTCATGTTTTACATTGCACATAGTTACATTGTTTGTTGCTTGTATTTGTATTTCAAATACAACATATTTATCTACAATGGTGATAATTGAAAACCTGGTTTCATGGCATTGCCATGTTTCTTGTTTTCAATTTAACATACTTGAAATGACAAAAGAAATCCTTTATTGAAAATTCATTTTATTTCAATGGTTGCTATTTACTTGGAACAAATTTCTTAAGGAAAACTGTTCTATAGAATTTCTTTAAACTTGGCATGTTAGAATATGATAACAGAAACATTTTAAGCGGAAAAAAAATTGGGGTCACCGTTCTCGTTTTTGAGTTATCTGCCCCTGAATCAGTGAGGTCATTTAAAGGGCATATAACTTATACATAAGTAAATGAATTCTTGTTTTTACTTCTGGATAATGTTTTTCTTTTTATTGTTTAATACAATACATAATTACATGCAATTATATCGTTTCTGTTAATTTTTGTCAATGAAAATAAAGGTACTTTAAATTCATAAAAAATAGGTCAATTTTTAAAGAAAAAATGCACAGGTTAAGAGAAGAAGTGGGAAAAAAATATCCACTTTAAATTTGTTCTTGAAATTTTGCATATTGACTTAAGACGAAAGTAAGCTTCATGAAAATAAGAAGAAAAAAAATGCATTGTTTCGCTTCATTGTAAATTATCTGCCCTTGAATTTAACGAAAAAGTCCATTTCAAGGGCAGATAACTCGAAAATGAGAATGGTGACCCCAATTTTGTTTTCGCTTAAAATGTTTCTGTTATTATAATCTAACAACATGCCAAGTTTAAAGAAATTCTATTGAACAGTTTTAATTTTGCCTATATTTCTATATGAAAACGTCTTTAAGTACTCTTTAAACATATGAAACAAGTGCAGTGATTGACCAATATATTTATAGAATAACATTTTTTTTGTATTTATTAATGACAAGTGAGTCATATGTCATGTCATTTTAAATAGTGCTGATGTGGAAGGTGTCTAATAAAATGATGTGCTCATTTCAAGAATTTTTAACCTTACACTGCTAAATTCTAGAATTTTCAACCTTACACTGCTAAATTGTGCTCAGTTCTAGAATTTTAAATCTTAGACTTCTAAATTTATATAATGGGCATGCCCTGTTTAGAATTTGGGACTATCCATTGATATTTGAAGGGGGTTTCCCCATTAAAACTCCTCCGCTTGTAGTATAGAGTTTTGGTCAAGCTGTAGGGACATAAAGACTGGCCTGATATTACACTGATGGTAAAGTCTAGGTTAAAGATCATTTTATAATTTATTACTCTTATATAAAAATATATAATAATCTTGCACATTTGAAATTTTTATTAATTTTTATTAAATTTATTTTTGTTAGCAAATTATTGAAATGCGAGTATATTGAAATACAAATTAAAAATGTGAAAAAGAAAGGTGTTGTATTTAAGATGTAAATATATTTCTATCTATAGTAAATTGAAATCTCTATCTTGTCTTTTATTTCTGTTATTTTGTTCATCTTGACTAAAATTCTGTTTCTTTGTGTTTCTGTTACTCTGAATTTCATCTTTACTTTTCTTTTGTGTAATTGAACCTTCTATGTTATCTATAATATTATTTGTGATTAAAGTTTCTGTTTTTGTGCAATTATGAAATTGTAAATAAATTATTTAGTCTGAATTGTGTTTTTTGATTATTTTAACAAAATTGAAAACATATTGAAAAGTATTTATAAATTTAGTTTTAACCCTCAGTCCCTGCTACATTTGTATAAATGATTTGCCTGGCTTTGCATTTGGAACAGTTCATTCATAATTTAAGGGATTTCAATATCAAAATGGAGAACTTAAGTTACAGACACTATCGAACCTGATCAGCCAGCATAGATGTGCAGACAGGCCTGGCTTAATATTTGTGACAAAGGCTCATTACTGTTCCAGGTGGTTTTGAGTTAATTCTAACTTTTTGACTTGTTTGTTGAAACCTAGTGCAAAGATCAAGGCAATCTAGGACCACACCAGAAACAAAAATGGATGCCAATAATTACTTGTCATGTACCCTGTCAAACTTGATTATATTGTGATATTGATTATCTTAAAAGAAAAAAAAAACACATTGTTTTAGAAATTATGGTTGATGTTTCAGAGACATTTATACATATATGATTTATATAACATTAAAAAGTGTTGTATACCACAAAACAGCAAAATTTGTACTGATAGAGTAATTGGCATGTCTTTTAAGGGGAATTGTGGCCTAGTGGTTAAGATGTTTGCCTCTCAACCCAGGGATCATGGGTTCAAGCCCTAATCCGGTCAGGACCATGCTTCTTCATATGACACCAGAACTGGTTGGTTCCAGGAAGCAGACTTGAAAGTGATAAATATAAGTTGCAAGAACCTGTTTTACAAACAATATTAAATAAATATGTTTAAACCAAAAGAACATGAATTTTCTAAGACATGCCAGTTACTGTATCAGTACAAATTTGCTGTTTTGTGGTAAACCATTTCTTAAAATTTGAAATATAAACAAGTTAAATTACAAAAGGTACAGTGGACCAATAACTATTAGTGATTTCTTGTAAAGAAATGAATTGTATAAAATCAACATTAGATAGTAGGAGAATAAAAGCCCCTATATCATATCTGATAAGAATTATTGAGAAAGTGGAGCTGATTAAATTTATTTCAGAATTAATTCTTTTCATATTGGTAATTGAAATAAAATGCCTGATTTAAACATGTTATATTGAAGCCAAGTTATTCAAAAGTTCCACTGATACATGCAAAAATATCTTCAATACAAAAGAACTAAAAGGTACCACTGATCAATCAATATGAATGATAACTGGGAGATGCTTGTTTGAAAAACTGTTAAAGGTAGTAATGTGTTTAGTTAACAGATACAGGGGACTAAGGAGAAGCTGTCCCCAGTTATCCTTGAGATTTGAATTTGACCTGGTATGGGAAGTTATTTCCAATACCTTACATGATTGAAGGTGACACTAGGTACAGAATACAGGGATTCGGAAGTGCAGATTTCTAGCAGGTATAAGCACAGGGACTCAACACTGTTAGGTTAGTGTAAAATGTAATTCTTGAAAAAAATTACTGTATTACACACACATATATATATACAAGTATATATAAACAATATGTATTTCTTTTTCTAGAATTACTTTTTACACTATCCCAACATTGTGTCGAGTCCCTGTGGGTATATTATCTTACAGGTGGGTGTGATCACAGATATAAATCTTTGGTGTAATCAACCAAGATTTTTATGCCCCCACAATGTGGGAGCATATAGCGTTGCACTTGTCCGTCCGTCCGTCAGTCCGTCCGTCCGTACGTCCCGAAATCTTGTGAACGCAACTCCTCTTAAACCGGATGGCAGATTTTGCTTAAACTTACAGGGATGAACAACCTTAAGGTGTAGATGGCAGTAAAGGAAGGAATTTTCACTGCGACCAAATTTTACAGAATTATGGCCCTTTGTTGATTTTTTTACTATATACTATGTAGAAATTTTGTGAATGCAACTCCTCTTAAACCGGATGGCAGATTTTGCTTAAACTTCCAGGGATGAACAACCTTAATGTGTAGATGGCAGTAAAGGAAGGAATTTTTGCTGCAACCAAATTTAACAGAATTATGGCCCTTTGTTGATTTTTTCATTATATACAATGTAGAAATTTTGTGAACGCAACTCCTCTTAAACTGGATGGCAGATTTTGCTTAAACTTCCAGGGATTAACAACCTTAATGTGTAGATGGTAGTAAAGGAAGGAATTTTCACTGCGACCAAATTTAACAGAATTATGGCCCTTTGTTGATTTTTAGTTTTCAACTTGTGGCACATGTAGTCCAAAAAATATTTGACCTAGAGTCATAAGATTGACAGAACAGTGGCGTGTGGGGGCATCCGTGTCCTATGGACACATTTCTAGTTTAACATCTGTGTAACACTTCTTTGAAATGTAAACAACATACCTAGCTGCAGATGGTTACAGTTGTAGGTTAGATGTTTCTGCCATATCATTGAGTTGTGGTCATTTAAAGTTACCATACATTTGTTGAACTCCATAGCCCAGTCCAGTAACCAAACTTTTGTAATCTCTCACTTAATTGTCAGGTAAACTATAGTATTATACACTGCTTGCCTTACTTTTGACTGTTTGTGGCAAGTTACTGTTTTGTCTGAAACAGGCAGTGCTCAATGACAGCATTTAATGCAGGATTCAAATATAAATTTGTTCTTGCATTTAGTTTATTATCTAATTGTTGGGTTGATATCATTCAGGATATTGTTTTTCTAAATATTGCATTGAAATAAGGTTTAAATGTTCATTTCTTAATGTAACAGCACCAAAATATTATTGTACTATTTTGCGGGGGGGGGGGGTAGTTCCGCATATTTTTACTTATCCGGGAAGTAACGGTATTAAAGACGACGACAACAACAACAGAACACGTTTTCACAATTTTTTGTTTGCATCAAAACAACAATGTCAGAACAAGATAATGATAATCTTGAAGATTTAGATGATGTTATATCACCTGATGATGTCGTTGAAATAATTGAACTGGATGATAATGGAGGTTAAGTGGAACTAATAATTGTATGATTCAAATGTGCATCAGTATCCGGATGCTAAATATTTTCGGATAGTTATAACATTGGGGTTTCAGGGCTCTTCCAATTTAATGTGAAAGGGCCTGCCATTTTTAGCTCGACTATTCGCAGAATAATCGAGCTAATGCAGTCACCCATTTGTCGGCGTCGGCGTCGGCGTCCCTGTGGTTAAGTTTTTGTATGTAAGCTGGTATCTCCATAACTACTGAAGGGAATGGATTGAAACTTCACACACTTGTTCTCTGTGATTATCTAAGATGATTGGCACAAGTCCCATAACTCTGATTTGCTTTTTTTTCATAATTATGCCCCTTTTTCGACTTAGAAATTCTTGGTTAAGTTTTTGCATGTAAGCTGGTATCTCCATAACTACTGAAGGGAATGGATTGAAACTTCACACACTTGTTCTCTGTGATTATCTAAGATGATTGGCACAAGTCCCATAACTCTGATTTGCTTTTTAACATAATTATGCCCCTTTTTCGACTTAGAAATTCTTGGTTAAGTTTTTGCATGTAAGCTGGTATCTCCATAACTACTGAAGGGAATGGATTGAAACTTCACACACTTGGTCTCTGTGATTATCTAAGATGATTGGTACAAGTCCCATAACTCTGATTTGCTTTTTTTGCATAATTATGCCCCTTTTTCGACTCATGAATTCTTGGTAAAGTTTTTGCATGTAAGCTTGTCTCTCCATAACTACTGAAGGGAATGTTTTGAAACTTGAAGAGTTTGTACCTTTTCGGACAATTTTATGTATTCATATAGGTAAGCATTATTATACTCAATGAAACACCCTTGTGACAAATTTTCGAATAGTCGAGCGTTACTGTCCTCCGACAGTTCTTGTTTACTTTTTAAAAGACGAAATGTAGTTTTTCTCTAATATGTAAAGTGTTATCATTATTTCCTTAAAGCTGTAAAAGAATTATCTTGTACAGTTTTAGTCATAGGCATTTGGTTTCGCGTTAAAAACCCTTTTGAGACGTTTGTAGAACTCAAATTTGATTGAATGTAACGATTTTTTAATGTAGATGTCTAGATTCTAAAACCGTTATTTTTCTGATGTTACTGAAACACATGTTTTTTTTTGTAACATCGATACTAAATAATAATTAAAAAATACCATATATTTTGGACAGCTTAAGTTCTTGTTGTCTGTTATCAAAGTTTCTGTGATTGAAATGTTTCTAACTATTTATTGTTATTGGGAAATGCACCCTTAAACTGAACAACTACAACAAGTACTTCTCATTAGTAATATAATGATACTAAACTTTCTTAAATGTTTCCTCATAGACTGACTGGTACATATTCTTACATATTTTAACTGTAATGTTTGCCTTTTTAGTTGTTGTAGATGCAATGGATGATGTAGTTATAATTGATGATGACGATGATGATAATGGAGATGTAGATATGGGAGCCAGTGGAGGTGAGGACATCAAGGACATGGCTGATATAGTGTTCGACAAACATACAGGTATAATACATTCATGATATCTGCAATTTCAGGGCAAAGTTAAACATGATGACAACAAGACGGAAATTAATCTTTTAGATACTGAATTTAATTTGAGTCGAGTCATCTATGGATTCAATAAAATTCTATGAAGTTATGAACTGAATTTCTTTAAAACTTTAATGTCAGTAATCAAACCATAAACTTTATCTGTGTTGTTTGTTTCAATTTTCCTATTATTCCTGGCATATTGTATTTTTATTCCCATGTTTCAGATGCTGTTTTTTGTGTCAGTATAGACCCAAAGTCATGTGACCTTGTGGTGACTGGAGGACAAGATGACAAGGCATATGTGTGGAAGTTGTCAACTGGAGAGGTACTTTTTGAATGCATAGGTTAGTGAGCATACAGACAATATCTTTATTTTTAGAATTATTTTAGCCTTAAAAAGTACTGTAATGAATGTTTGGATAAGTTTTAAGTCACACCAACACTGTAAAGAAGATCTGGTGCCTTTAATGTCCTACTGGTGGAGGAAGATCTCAGATGGCCCTTATTACATCATTTTAGACATAAGTAGACACTGAAGTATGAAACACTTTACAATATGCAAATCTTTGACAATGCTGTCTGGATTCAAATCCCTTCAAGGACTTTGAATTTTTTCATGTGAGGTAGCTTTTCAAGCTAGCTTATAGAACATTGTTGGTTCTAATTAGGTCCCCACTCGTGCCTAAAATAATGCACAGAGGAGCACATGATCTATTCCTCTACCAGTAAGCTGGATATTCCCTGTATGACAATTAGTGTTTGTGTGCCGAAAAAAACACCAAAAACAAAAATGTTGTTAAGTTGGCATTTTCATGCAGAATAATTAGATTTGCTGTTTTACTGATTCAGGCATTTTTTATTAAGGTATTGAACTTGGAATCAGGCCACATGATAAATTCAAAGATGGATATCACTTGTGTATTTTCTTATTTACGATCATGTTTTAACATTTTCAGGACATAAAGACTCAGTGACATGTACTGGATTTAGTCATGATGGTGTCTATGTTGCTACTGCAGACATATCAGGACTTGTTATTGTGTGGAAAATTGACTCTAAAGAAGTAGTATTCACATTTGAATGCTCCGATGCAGAGGTAAGTTAAATAGTGCTTGGTTTCTTTTCAATATTTTCATATTGTTTGTACAGATTTTGAGGGCCAAATTAAAGCTAAAATTTGACCCTATTTCCTCTTTCCAGAAAGTATATTTTCTCTTTATCTGAAAAAAATCCCCTTCACTTAAGTTTTTTTCCATCATTCTTGGTAGTTTGAAAATCACAATTTAACATATAATATTCTTTTTTTCCTCCATTTCTAAATATTTCCTTATTTTCCCTCCAAAATACAATTGTCTCCTCTATGGGCCTTTCCACTATTCTGTTATGGGTGATAAAAATGAGTGCATCTCTATTTTGATGTTTGAAATATTTTCATATTGTTTGTACAATACTTTTACATTTGAGCCATGTCATGACAAAACCAACAAAATGGGTTTGCAACCAGCATGGATCCAGACCAGCCTGCGCATCCGCGGTCTGATCAGGATCCATGCTGTTCACTATCAGTTTCTCTACGTGTTATAGGGTTTGTAAGCGAACAGCATGGATCCTGATCAGACTGAGCGTTAGCATTCATACAACTTGTTTAGCAGAGGTTTTACTGAAGAAATGAAATTTTGCATAGCTTGTTATTTTTGTGAAATCACTCTTTTAATGCTTTGTTAATGAATAAAAACATTAAATTTACATTTAAGATTTAGCAAATTTATTTGTATAATACAGTGGATGAAATGGCACCCAGCCTCTCATGTTTTGTTTCTCGGCACTGTTGATGGAGATGTATGGATGTGGAAGATCCCCAGTGGTGACTGTAAAACTCTACAAAGTCATGGTCGTACAGCATCATGTGGAGTTGTCTTAGGTGATGGTAAGTAAAGGAATGGTCTTTATAAGATATATAAGAATATTTTTAACTATAAATAGCAGTCTTCAAAATAAGCACTCATCCGATCGCCCTGGCGAGTAAATATAAATTCGGGCGAGTAAAATTTCTGATATCGAAATTCATTACAGTGGTGTTCAACTGCGCACTTTTTGCCACGTCACTACTGTTTCTTAGCTTACTTCCATTAGCCATGTAAAGCGAGTAATTTATTGGGAACCAACTTTGTTTATGTTCCGTTTTCCATTGTCAAGTATCGTATCGTGGTAACCGTGAAAAATTATTTTCATGTACAGCAGGGAATAACAATAAAATAAATTATGACACAAGACTTGTATTGGATTTCCTTTTGTTTCTTTTATTTACCTTCAGAAGAAAAAAAACATCAAAATTTGAAAAAAATTATTCAGGCTAATAAAGCTGGTTTCGGGCAAGTAACTTCTCAAATGTGGCCTGAATGGCCAGTAACTTCAAATGTTAATTTCGAAGACTGAAATAGTATGTTAAAAGAGCTCCACTGAGGTCCAAGAGCCTTAAAAGTTTAATACATAAAATTTTAAACCCTTACACAGATCATCAACTGGGACACTTAAAGATGCACGCCTCCAGAATCATGCTAATTTTATGAAAATTTTGAAAATGTATTTGGATGTGATATATTGTGAAGTAACCAAAAGGATGCAATTTACACATTATCAGTGGCACTTACAAACCACGTAAATTACAAAAAGTGGTCAAAATATACATAAATAGCCTTACTGCGTTAGTAACGCAGTAGAAATAAAGTTGTAAATACTGAAAAATCAGTCATTAATCACACATTATATGTAAAAAATTACTTGAAACTTTTTACTTTTCTTTACATCCTAGTACATTTTTCTCAAATTTGGTTCTATTGAAATATTTTGACTCATCTGGAGGCATGTAGCTTTATAACCAACAAGTATGAAAATGATTAATATTAGAGACATAAACTCAGAATCAAATTGAAAATGGATAGTTATTGGCTTATAAACAATATTGCGATTAAAAGCATTCCAACTTTTCATCTTTAGGTAATTTTTTGCACAATAAAAATGATTATGCTGCAGAAAAAACTGAGTGAGGAAACAATATGAAATTTTGCACAAAAGTTATAATTATAGATCTACAGCAAATTAAAAAAAAAATCCAGTCCTGACATGTCAAAAAAACCATAGTGGAGTTCCTTTTAATATTCCAGAGGTGGCCTTTTGTGTCAAAATATTACCACAATTGAAGTGGTTATTTATTAATGTTCCATTGAGGAAATGACTGGTAAAATATTATATACAAATCATGTACAAAAACATTGCTTATGGTTAATACCACAGTATGATACATACAATGAATTACAGATGCATCGATGACTAGGACTCACCAATTATGTTTCATAAGATTATTTACACTTAAACCTTGATGTTGTAATTCCAAAACAGGTCCCTTAACTCTTCTCCCATACCATAGAAAATTTTGCATGATTGTCTACCCAGATCATTGTTTTTACAGCTGTTTTACATGTTATGTTTTAGCAAACATTTGAGTCCATTTTGGTCTTCAAAGTATTTCTTTGACAGCCTTTCCTTCACATTGTATATCAAATTTTATTTGATTATTATGCCCCCATTTCGAAGAAAAGGGGGTATATTGCTTTGCACTTGTCGGTCCGTCGGTCCGTAGACCAAATGGTTTCCGAGTGATAACTAAAGAACCCTAAGGCCTAGGAACTTCAAACTTGGTATGGTGATTGGTCATGACCAGCAGATGACCCCTATTGATTTTGGGGTCAATGGGTCAAAGGTCACATTGACCTTGTAAGCAAAAACGGTTTCCGATCAATAACTAAAGAACCTTAAGGCCTAGGAACTTCAAACTTGGTATGGTGATTGGTCATGATCAGTAGATGACCCCTATTGATTTTGGGGTCAAGGGGTCAAAGGTCAAGGTCACATTGACCTTGTAGACAAAAAACGGTTTCCGATCAATAACTAAAGAACCTTAAGGCCTAGGAACTTCAAACTTGGTATGGTGATTGGTCATGATCAGTAGATGACACCTATTGATTTTGGAGTCAAGGGCCAAAGGTCAAGGTCACATTGACCTCTTGGGTAAAAACGGTTTCCGAGTGATAACTAAAGAACCCTTAGGCCTAGAAACTTCAAACTGGGTATGGTGATTGGTCATGACCAGTAGATGACCCCTATTGATTTTGGGGTCAAAGGTCAAGGTCACATTGACCTTGTAAGCAAAAACGGTTTCCGATCAATAACTAAAGAACCTTAAGGCCTAGGAACTTCAAACTTGGTATGGTGATTGGTCATGATCAGTAGATGACCCCTATTGATTTTGGGATCAAGGGTTCAAAGGTCAAGGTCACATTGACCTATTTGGTAAAAACAGGTTCTGATCAATAACAAAATAACCCTTAGGCCTAGGAACTTGAAACTTGGTATGGTGATTGGTTATGACCAATCAGATGACCCCTATTGATTTTGGGGTTAAGGGGTCAAAGGTCAAGGTCACATTGTACTTGTAGGTAAAAACGGTTTCCGATCAATAACGAAAGAACCCTTAGGCCTAGGGACTTCAAACTTGATATGGTGATTGGTCATGATCAGTAGATGACCCCTATTGATTTTTGGGTCAAGGGGTCAAAGGTCAAGGTCACATTGACCTCTTAGGTAAAAATGGTTTCCAATCAATAACTAAAGAACCCTTAGGCCTAGGAACTTCAAACTTGGTATGGTGATTGGTCATGACCAGCAGATGACCTATTGATTTTGGGGTCAAGGTGTCAAAGGTCAAGGTCACATTGACCTTGTAGGTAAAAGAGGTTTCCGATCAATTAACTAAAAACGCTTAGGCCTAGAAACTTCAAACTTTGTATGATGATTGGTCGTGACCAGCAGATGACTTCAAACTTGGAATGGTGATTGGTCATGACCAGCAGATGACCCCTATTGATTTTGGGGTCAAGGGGTCAAAGGTCAAGGTCACATTGACCTTGTAGGTAAAAACTGTTTCTGATGAATTAACTAAAAACGCTTAGGCCTAGGAACTTCAAACTTTGTATGATGATTGGTCGTGACCAGCAGATGACCCCTATTGAGTTTTGGGTCAAGGGGTCAAAGGTCAAGGTCATGACCAGTAGATACTTGATAAACCTTATTAATTGTTTGATCACTGGGTCAGAAGTCATGCATAATAACCTTATCACATAACTAATTGGCTGCTGATAGGGGGCATACATGTTTTACAAACATATCTTGTTTTTAATATTGTTTATAAGAAGTCAAAGCCTGTCAGAATCATGGAAACAAGGAGAGATATACATTGTATTGCCTATGTTTCAGGAAAAAGAATGTGTGTAGGTTATGATGATGGCTCAGTTAAATTATGGGATTTAAAATCAGGGACAATACAACATAGTGTCACAGGTATGTTCTAAAATTATTACTCAATGTTTTCTCTGAAGATAAAAAAAAGAATTTTAAGGCCGTAAGGCCAATCTTTTTCCCAGTTTTATAATTAGAAATGTACTTGTAACAATATATTGACTTGCCCTTATTTGCAATAAATAGTGTAGGGTTGTTCAGAAAAATAATTTAATCAGGTTTTTAAAAATCAAAACTGAAAAAACTTACAACATTGGCCTATGTCGGAAGGCAGGCAGGAGGTCATAAACAATTTCTTCTATGCTTAATCCCTACCTTTCTTAAAGGATTTCAACCAAATTGACACCAGAACTATTGTCACCAAGAGAGGATGTTTGTGACCTAATAGTTAAAGATCTTTTACTTTAAACCACTTACTCCTTTCCTCTGGGGGTCAAATCTCGCCCATGTTCTTTGGATTCTTTCATGTGAAGAAACTATCCAGGTAGTTTACAGAATGTCAGTGGTTCCACTCAGCTGCCCGCTCATGCCTGAAATAATTCATGGCGGGGCATCTGACATCTACATGTACCTCCACCAGTAAACTGTAAAGTCATAACATGACATTTAAAGTGTCAGTGTGACTTCAGATGGTAACCAACTAAACAAAGCACGGGAAGATATTGTTTGTGTTTCATGATTTTAGCATTTTTTTCAGAATTTTGACTATTGATATTTATACATAGGCAAGAAAAATCTGGTTTTGTTAAAATGTCTTTATCATTGATAATCAATCATTTATCATTGTGTTTTAATAGGTAATTCAGCTCACAAGTCAACGGTGTTATCTGTAGATGTGAATCCATTAAACAATCTTATCATATCTGGGTCAACTGATGTCACTGCAAAAATTATCAATGGTGCTACAGCTAAGGTAAATGTTCCACTGGTGTTTGTAATGTACAACAAACATAGCAAGGGGCATATGTTTCAATTGAGGCAAGATATCAATTAAATGAACTAATTAATGATCTTTGTATTAGACTTCTGTGTTACGGGGTAATACTTAAATATTGGTAAGCTTTAAAGCAGCATGCCCCCCAGGTTCATGGTAATTTTCATGAAAATTTTTAAAATGTATTTAAAGGTAAATTATTATGAAATGAACAAAGGAAGTAATTTACATGTTGCAAATCGTTGAACAATCTACGTAAACTTCCAAATATATGGTGATAAATACTGCAAAATCAGCCATAAACCATAAATGTGAACATTTAAATTATTACTTGAATCTTTAAACTTTCCTTAAAATCTTAGTACATTAGAGCTGTCATCGATATCGACAATATCGATGTATCGTTGATATTTTTTTGTCGATCAATAATCGATACACATTTTAAAAAATCGATACTTTTGACTCATATTTATATTAAATGTCTAGAAATTATACAATTCACCCAAAATATATACAGAAACAGTTATTTATATCTAATGTTATGCTTTTGTTGTATAGTGGAATTATTTCATAATCATAGCAATGGTGACAAAAAATATTGTCTGGAAAAAATCATGCAGTGGACAAAACACTGTACAGAACATGCTTTTGACTTAAATCATTGAAACAGGTATGAAAGTGAATGACAGACAAGTGAGTATAGGATATTATCGATATATCGGTGTATCGTTGATTTAAGTCACTTGATATCGATATATCGTTGATATGCATTGCACTGAATCGATGACAGCTCTATAGTACATTGCTCTTGGTTTTCAATTTTGATTTTCTTGACATATTTTGGCTCATCTGGAGCCATGCAGCTTTTAATCAAAGTAACTTTCTAATGTCTATGAATGCTTGGCAAGGAACCAGCAAGGAACCAATACTAAAAGGTATAAATCAATGTAACTTGCCCTTACCAATTGTAAATTTCACCTTTTGTGGAGATTCTTTTGAAGCATTATACATTATACTACATGATTTGTTAGATATCTATGACATGTTTGATGATACTTGATACGTGGATAGAGGGTTATATGTAGATTATGCATGTCAATTGAAGTTTTTTAAAGTTGGAACAAATTTTTTTGTCATCAATTTCCACATTTATATTGGTCGAGGAAGTGAATCAGACAAAGTGATCCAGTAGGGGACTGGTCTTGGTTCTTTTATAAGGCCCAGCAGCTTCAAGACATTTGAATGTTTCCAAAAATATGTCTTGTCTGAACAAAATGTTATTTGACTTTAAGATATGTCTTGCTTTGATATGCATATATTTGTATTAACATAAACTCAGAGGTTTATTTTTTTACAGGTTTTAGCAACTTTTGATTGTTCATCTCCAGGTGTAGAAGAGAATTCAGTAGAAACTGTAGGATTTTCACCAACGTAGGTAGTCTCTACTTAGATCTTACATGATGTAATTACTAACTTATTTTAGTCTGATTGTGTTGGAAGCTATAAGCTTATTGAAACACTCTGGAATCAGTTCCTGGAACCAGCCAGTACTAAGCAATGAATGTAAAGTTTCTTGCTCATAAAAACAACAGCTTGCCCCTGACTGGGTTTGAAGCCATTCAACCAGCAATCCTTAGATTACTATTCCAACACATTAACCACTTGGCCATGCCAAGACTCATTTTTTTATTTGAACAGGATTATTTTAATATTTAAGTAATGTTCCTGGCATAGAATGAGGGTAGTTAAAAAAAAAATTCATAGAGAAATAGGTAGCAAGTTTATATGACAAAGTAACAAATAATGTTTATTTTGATAATTGTATTAGTGGCTAGGTAAAACAAGTTGTATTTTAGAAATGGGTAGAAAGATTTTGAATAAAACAGTCTATATCCAGTAGTTACAGAGGAATGAGGAGAACCTTGTTTGAAATTGAGGATTTGCAAAAGTTTTCTCTTACAATATTAAATAACTCTTCTTGTATGCCAGCACTACCTCAAATTATTTATGTAGAGAAGTTGGCATTTATTTATATGGGTAAAATAGTTATTACTTACAGAGTTTTTATAGTAAATGCTGTATATTGTTATAAAATAGTAATAAAAAGAAACAAACATAAATGCATATGAAAAATTATGCAAATCTTATCTTACTAAAGGTTAAAATGATAAAATTTATAATATCTTATGGATTGGTTAAAATTGAGTACATGATGATTTTTTTCAGGCATGCATTTGCAGCAACAGGCACTGTGGCTGGAGTGTTAAGCATATGGGATACAAATACACAGATCTGTAGACATAGGTGTCCTCATAATGTGAGTATTCATGTATTTATAGTATTAGTTATAAAGATTTTTGACATTTTATATGACCCCATATAAAGAGCTGTTTTAATATATTTCCTGAGCCGATAGACGAGGGTTATATTGCAAACAACGGTTTCATATATGACCATATAACATGTCGGAAATATTTATTTATAACAATTTATATTACAGCAAGTATCTTTCTTTAGAGAAAAAAGTGAGATTTCTTCATAAATTGACAGCAGCTGTGTTTATAAAAGTATATAAACATAAGATATACCCAATGAAAAGTGACGTTACAAATGTGCAGTATTATGCACATAATGAAGAACATTGCCATTCTGGTTGTATATAATCTCTTGCTATTATTTGCAGAAATGAAAAAAATTTCCTTCATAAGAAAGTATAAAAACATGAGTTTTATTATGTTTAAATAACAATTTTAGAGCATGTTAGTTGCTCATTACCTTAAGGAAGTAGCGTTTAATGTCATAATGTAGTAAAATGTAAACAAACTTCCATACAATATACTAGAAAGTTATTGTTGGCTGACTTTAACTTTAGTTTTAATCTTGATATCCATAGAATTGATCAAGAATAGACTGGATGAGTCCCTTTAAGAAATTCAGCAGTAAAGGGTTGAATTATATCATTTGATATAATAACCTATTTATCTTTACCAAGCTGAAGTTATGTCACAAAATTATTCAAATAACTATTTTGACTAAAATATATATTTAATGTGAAATACATGTATTATAATTTATCTCTGTTAATAAGATATTCATTCTTTTATATAGGCTGGTATAGTTAGTTTGCAATGGGACAAGTTATCTCCCATGGTATATACAAGTTGTTTAGATGGCGCTATACGCCTATGGAATGCTCGTAGTGGAGAACTAACATCAACATGGACAGGACATAGAGATTCCATTCTAGGCTTTGATATTTCAAAGTAAGAATCTAATGAAATGAATTCAATTCTTAGTATATTTTGATTTAGAATGTGTATCAGACCATTGATAAAGTAGAATGCCTTTCAATATCCAATACTTGATCATTGATGTAGTATTTTATGATTCTTTAAATATTTTGTATTCTAAATATCATTTAAGTGCTACAAATTGGAAAAATAGGGTGAAATAAGAGTTATAGGGTCATCTTACAAATTAAAATGTCTCCTATGATAAATGAATTCATGAAAATGTCTGTATTTTCATTTCGATATACCCCAAAACATGGAAGCTGAACAAATTCCTTTAACAAATTAATCATGTTAGCATTAATTTCTCTTCAAAAATTTTATTGCTCATATGTACATGTTCAAAAAAATTTTTAAAAAAATATTAAATTATTAAGAACAATAAATATTTCAGGGATGGCAACTGGTTGGTGACAGCTTCAGATGATAATACTGCAAGAGTATTCTCCCTTAGTTCACCAGACAGATGAGGGGAATTATGGTCAAAAGATAGGAACTTCAAGCAATTGTGATATGATAATGATTTCTGCATTATGCAATAAATGTATGAGGAAAAAAGCAACAAGATATCTTTTTGAAAACCAAGATAATTTCATAATAAAGTACACATTATTTCTATTCAAAACCAAGATATGGGAAGACACAATTTTTGTGTCGCCTCTACGGAGTAGTGGCGACATATAGGGATCACTTCTCCATCGTCCATCTGTCCGTCCGTCACAAAACTTGTCTGGACTACTCCTCATAAACTACTGGTGCAATTTCATCCAAACTTTACAGGAATGATCAGTACCAAGTCTAGTTGTGCACTGTCTGTCTGTCCGTCTGTCACAAAACTTTTCCCCACTACTCCTCATAAACTACTGGGGCAATTTCATCCTAACTTTACAGGAATTTATGTCGCCACTACTCCGATCACTTCTCCATCTGTCACAAAATTTGTCCCAACATGAAATTGGCCATCATTAGGCGACACATGTGATCACTGATTCCTCTTGAAGAAGAGAAAAAACCTGATGATCTTGATCTACATTTGGTGCATTTATTTAAATAGAATATCAGTTTTGTATTTGATGTGCATTTTTTTATCAATTAATTTGATAGGATATATCTGTGTTCCAAGTGTATTATGTTATATAATTACTTACAAAGTACATGTATATATCATCTGTTATAATCCATATTGACTTTTGTAAATAAAATTTATTATAGCATTAAAAGTTATTTCTGATGCATACAAAATATCCCTAAAAGTGTTAGCCTATAGCTTGCTAGTGGCAACACAGTCTAACCATTTGACCAGTGCAGATCAAGATCATGGTCTGAACTGTGCACTACATACCCTTTTCAGTCAGTACATGGTTTGAAAATTTCACTAAAAAATGATAAATGGTTTTACATGTATTTAGAAACAATTATTTTCAATCTCTTGGAACAATTTTGTTGAGTTATGCCAGGGTTTTTCAAATTCTATTTCAAAGACCCTGGTTATACTCTGGACATGGAAATTGTGACAAAGTTGCAAATGAGAGATTAAAATAAAAACCCAAATAAAAAAAAATCACTGCATTTCTGCTTGTCACCAGTCTGCTATATATCAAGTCGATCCATTGAATATTTTTCAAGTACTGCTGCAGACAAGAAAAATTAAAAAGGGAGATTATTAAATAATGGGGACCAGTAAGAGTTATGGTCCTTTGACACTTCACTTCTTGTCACCTTGTTTTTGCATTTCAAGTTTAGTTAATCCCTTGGGGAAAAGTTATGAAGTCAAGATCTGGTGTGAAGAATGCAGCAAGATTGCAAAAAGAGTGATAATACAAATATGACGCCACTTACAGTAATAGTTCTTTTATACTGCACAAGTCATTATGACTACAACATACATGCATTTTTCAAGTCAATCTTTGGAATAGTTTAAGTTATGCGCCGAACAAGGAAATTGCAAAAAAAAGATGGCGAATTGAAACAACTAAAGACCCTGACACGTCCAATAGCATGCTGACTGGCAGTTATTAACTTGGGGTATTTAGCCAGCATAAAATGTCTGCCAAGGAACTAAGATGAGAGAGATTTGAACATACAGGATGAGGTAGTTAAAAGTATGTATATCATGTAGAAAAAGATGCATGTCCCGATGCCATAACATTCAAGCGTATCCTGCGATGTTTTCTGAAGCAAGCATAACGTTCTTCATATTGCCGTAAGAAGAGGCGCTCTCATTTATCCCACGAGCCCTCATTCAACAAAATCGGTCACTTGTGTTGTCTTTGTGGAGAGAAATGTCTGTGTAGGCTTATTCAAAACTTGCATGGGCATCTCTGAGCAAACTCAAAGCCTAATAAATGGTTGACTTGCTATGGGACTGGGCTTGGGGCCCCAAGGGGAATTGCCGATTTCGATAATGTATAATAGGGCCGCACTTTTTTAATGCAGATTTAAACAATAGCAAACAAGAATAACAAATTGGTAATCATCAGTATTGAGAGTGGCTACATTTCAAGGACATGTTGTCTATCTTGTGTTTGTATCTGTTTGTCCCCCGCATTTTCGAAGGAAAAAAGTGGGATATAGAAAAAAAGTCTCCGTCCGTTTGTCTGTCCGTCCGTCTTTCCGCACTACTGAATAGGGTTAGAGAGCCATCTAACTGTAAACAGAACAAAAGAGAGCAATAGAGTTCACTCTGTAACAATAGAGTTAGGGGCCATTGACCCTCTGTTAAATAATAGAAAATAACAATAGAAATGGCCCCTTATTCCATTTCGGCCGGACGTCCGTCCGTCCGTCACACTTTCGTGTTTTGAAATAACTTGGCACAAATGTTTGTTATAATAAGACGATGTGCCATGCGCAACAACCAGACCCCTACCTCCAGGGTCAAGGTCGCACTTGCTTATTCAAAGTCAACATTGTCCTATTTGAGGGTATATGTCGTGTCCGGTCCATAACTTTCTTATCTTTGAAAGATTTTGTAAATACTTGCCACAATTGTTTACAATGAGACGGTGTGTCATGCGCAACAACCGGTCACCTACCTCCAAGGTCAAGGTCACACTTGGAGGTCAAAGGTTAACATAGCTGTTATAGGGTATATTTTGTGTCCGGTCCATAACTTTTTCATAGATTAAAGGATTTTGAAAATACTTGGCACAAATAGTCACATTAAGACAAAGTGTCATGCTCAACTCCTGCATCCCTACCTTTAAGTTCTTCAAGGTTACACTTAGAGGTCAAAAATTAACATAGTCTGTTATAGGGTATATTTTATGTCAGGTCTATAACCTCTTCATAGATCATTGGATTTTGAAAATACTTGGCACAAATAGTCACAATAATGAGCTGATGTGTCATGCGCAACACCTGCACCCCTACCTCCAAGGTCAAGGTCACACCTAGAGGTCAAAGATTAACATAGTCTGTTCTAAGATATATTTTGTATCCGGTCTATAACTTCTTCATAGATCAAGGGATTTTATAAATACTTGGCAAAAGTGTTCACAATAATGAGACATTCTGTCGTGTGCAATAACAAGTCGCCTACACTAAGGTCAAGGCAAATATTAATATACATGTATATAGTCTGTTATAGAGTACATTATGAGTTTGGTCTTACAAGGTCACACAATTAAAAGATATTATAGTCTGTGTTTTCGTATTCAGAGAATAACTTCAAAAGTATTAGAGATAATCACTGTATACTGTATAGGATAATTGTTCCCTGCCTTTTGGAAGAAAAAAGGGGGATGTAGAAATGAACTTCATCTGTTTGTCCCATCAACGAATTGTGAAATAACTTAGCTAAAATGTTCTGTTTAGGCATAATAAGACGGCCTGTCTTACGCAACTGTTAGATGCCTTTGGACTAAAAGTCCGGATCCATACCTCAATCTTTTGAAATAGCACAATTTTATACTTCATATAATACTTCCCTAAGGCGGGGGACGTTAATAACTCTGTTACAAATTCTTGTTGTATTGCATATGAGAATATATTAAAGCGGCATCTCCTACAATTCGATCAAATAAAATGTTATGTGTATCCTGCTGGCAAATCATAAAAATGTTATAGAAATACCTGAATAATACTAAGAACTAGTAAACACATGAAACAGTCAAAATAAATGACCGAGGAAGTTACTCTGAATACAACAAGCTGTTGTTATGACATTACCAAGCTGAACCCGAAATCAGTTCGCCTTTGTTTCTAGTATAGAGTTAGGCTACCTTGCACTTCTAGCAGTTTTAAGTTATAAAGAACTTATTGTAACTTTCTCTCAGATATCGGGGTTTTTAATTAGTAAAACACTGCATAGAATGTTCACTGACTTAATGGAAAGCCCGAGATTTGCGACTGAGCTCAGAAAAGGTTTTTTAATGTATCGTCAGTTTTTCTACTTTTTTTTGATTAACCTGTACATTTTCATCTCAATGGACAGTTATGAAAAATCGAAGCTGCACAAGTCCATTGTGTTAAGATCAAGAAAGTAATCTGAAAGTGACTGTTGACATGAATTATCCGGCTTGTGAGTATTTTACCAACTTTAAATAAAATGCCGGCTTTTGAGTCGTATCACCATATTATGCTTAAGAGTTTGCCAGAGTAATAAATCAAAACATACAAAAAAATAGTGTTTCTTCACTGAACATTATCCTCATACTTATGGTAACTTCTTCACTTGTTGATTAAGGGGGAAAAAGTACTTAATGTATTTGCATTTTTAGAACATGCATCAAAAACATTAATGATACAATGTCCATCGAGCCTACATATTAACACTGAAAGGCATACTCCTCTGTACATAATTTTATGCATGGGTAAGCACTTAGATAGTACCAGGTTGTCCCCAAGCTTTTTTATTTAACTTCAAAGCGTCATTCCACTATTGCAATTCGATGCGACATTTGTGAGTCAACCACTCATTAACCCAGCAAAAAAGGTCCCCGTTACTGATATAATAATGAAAAAGACTCCACTAAGAGATTTTGACATGGCGTAAGTAAAACTTGTGTACCATTTGATGTAGGCCTGAACCAATAAATTATTAGCAAAATTTTATAGCATCCACTTTTTGCTTCATCACATTTATGAACGGTTTTCAAATTTTATGTACATGTGTATTTAGGCTTTCGAACTTCAGTTGGGGTCTTTTAAGCGCATATATGGGCCTGGATAATAAGAAAGCACAATGGCAACAAACGAATTATAATTATGATTTCTGCCGCACATTTTAAGTATTTTGTTACTAAAATCGCTCCAAGATTTAACGTTCATATCAAAGGTTTGCAACTTTGCAAACAACTAAAATTATGAAATACTTAACTATCTCCCTTTACTAAACATATAAATTGATCGTTACCCATAACAAGTCAAATAAATACTGAACGTTTATTGGTTTCATTGTACCCTATAAATCAATATAACACTATTTACTTACAACAACATGTATAGTAAGAATTTATGCCATTTAGCGCTTTTGAGATCATTAAGGAATTCAAAACTACAGCACAGGTAAATTTACCTAAATTTTCTTTAGTATTTTAAACACAATATACAATTGTAACAACTTTAATTCTGTATTTAGTACATGATCTTACATATGCAATTTCAGCTGATTTCAAATTGATACCTGTATACATGTATATAGTAATTCTTATTAAAACTATAATTCAACATAGAATTTATTGTCAAGTTTTTTGTCTAAGATAATTGTAGCATAAATCATAGTGATTTACAATAAATTTTAAATGGCACATTTGTATATTCAATAAAAGTATTCAATGCAATATGACATATACATATTTACACACATTAACTATTATTTGGCAATATTGATCTCCGGCTGTTTTATTTCGGGGAGGTTTTTCGCTAGTTTCCGTAAATAACTACTTCTTACGCGTTATTATTATTTTCTAGTTCTAGTATCGTTTTCTATTTTTTAATTTACAAGATTTATTATCAAAACTATTTTTCCTACTTTAATCAATTATGCAGCGTAAGTCAACGGGTGCATCATATAAAAAGATGTCTATCTTTTTTTCTTACTTTCATAATTATGACAATCATGTGTAAATTTTATCTATTTTGATTTAGTTGTACAGGGAGTAATTTGCATACACAAACTTAAACATGATGAAAGCTCCTGGTTTCGATTCCCGGTCGGGCACCTAGAAGGCTAGTTCTGTACAGTTCTTAGTGATATACTCTTCAACAAATTTGTTATTTGCCACCTTTTTACTTGATATCATTTATTGGTCAGATGTTAAACAAAACTTCATCGCAACTAACATAACAGAAGGTTAAATAAGCCGTGTGACGACAAAACCAACATAGTGCGTTTGCGACCAGCATGGATCCAGACCAGCATGCGCATCCGTGCAGTCTGATCAGGATCCATGTTGTTCAGTTTATCTACTTGTAATAGGGTTGGTAAGCGAACAACATGGATCCTGAACAGACTGCGCGGATGAGCAGTCTGGTCTGGATCCATGCTGGTCGCAAACGCTCTATGTTGGCTTTGTCGTGACGCGGCTCAAATAGTTACGCTTAATAAGTATATCTCAACCTAGTGCACAAGATTTTGTTGCGGCGGGGAGGCACGCACTTTTGCGCGTTAAATCAAGGTGATTTATTCGATATAACATGAGTAGACCTATTGCGTGACCAACCACTCGTGGCATTATTTATTAGCCTGTTTTCGCATAAATCATAAATAACTTCAGATTGATAAAAATCATGATTACGTCAATGCTGTTCTCTTACAACAATAAAAACACAATATACATGTATTGCAAGTCAACTTTACCGAGACGCCGGCACAAATTACTAGTATTCCAATCTTAATACTCATTAATTCGTGTCATTTTTGTATTTTCTGATCGCAGATCAGATAATACATAGCTAACATCCACGGTCTAACACAAAATTTCCTAACAGTCCTAACAACGCAAATTAGTTCTCACTCAAAACTGCTTAAAAACCAGCAATTTAAAAGAAAGAACAATTTTTTGTTACAAGTGTCCAACAAATTACTACACCTTCAAACTTTTAAAGTAGCGTTGGCTTATAGAGTTGTCAATAAACGCACACTCACAAATTACGCGGATGAATATGATTTTAATCAATGAAAATGCTATTTTTAGCGATGTCGATTACCGAATACTACACAAATAAATCTGACTGCCGAGTAGTTGAATATATAGTTTCTACATGTTGGACCGTTTGGGCGAGAAGATTTTTGCTAAATTATTTACTTCAATTTTAAACAACAGATTTACCCTGAACAAAATGCCTCGAAATTACCCTAACCCGAAATGCAATGGAAATTCTAAATTTCGAATCACTTGATTTTATTCAGCTTTTGATTTTAAAACTTCTCCGTGGTGCAGGGGTAACGCGCTCGTTTGGTGAGTGAGAGGTCTGGAGTTCAAACCCCAGTCGAGGCAACATTTTTTTAATTCTTTTTTTTGTGTCTTTGTTAAGGAAATAGCCACGATATGCATAACATATTTTTTTTTATGCAACTCTAGTTATGCAAAATTCCGTATTTATCAAACTCTGGTGCCCTGCAAGATGACTTATAGTACATAAAAATAAACTTATACAGGAAAACACATACAGATATACAGTACGATTTAGATTGCAGGGATCAGAAAATACCACTGAGCTTGCAGCCCTTTGATTAATGTCTTTCACGGAAGAACGACTTACAATTTTTTTTTACATACACGAGGAACGCGAGCGATTAGGCTATTGGCGCACGTGCGATTCAACTGCGTAATTTTGTAGTCGGTGGGTTAGTGTGTAGAATACTAAAATAATAATATACTTGAGATTTATTAAGTATGTTTCATATTATTACATTTTATCAAAGTATGTATTATTTACGTTTCTGCATGATATTTGTAAGCATTTATCGTACTTTAAAGCACAGTATATCATATTTTCTTCGGAAAACGATATTTTACGAACAAAAGGTCACTGGGTAAGTAAATGTCTCAGTTCAACATTGCCAAACAATTATATCATGCCGCATTTGTACACAAACTAAGCCTATCTTTTACCATGTGACTTTGGTATGAATCTGCCAAAAGTAATGATATGTCTGCATAACCCTTTTTCTTTCTCTTTTTAGATATCAGATTGACAGATAAAATAATTAGAAAAGCTGTAGACAGGGCATCATTGGACAACATTATTTTGTCCAGTTTTTGAACAAAAAGTACTGAAGGCAGATTTTAAATCACATTCTAAAATAAAATAATCGTTTCAACTTTAATAACAACACAGAGTCGGAGCTTAACTATGTCTAAATATAAGATAACCAGCCTTTCATCTGTCCAGAATGAGTTAAAAGAGTATTGTCAACACCACGAGGTTGAAATTATACAACACTATTGTCGTGATCATAAAGTACTTGCGTGCAGCTCATGCGTAGCATCGGACCATCGAGCATGCAAGAATGATTATATTCCTGAAGTGTCCAGAAATTACAACAACAGCAAAGAGTTCAAGGCCGTTCTTCAATCCTTGCAGATCATACAGACAAATTGTCAGAAAATGATGATAAAATCAAAGGAGAACCAAACAAAAATTGCCCAGAATGAGAGCAAAGTTAGACAGGAAATCAAAAAATTATGCCGAGAAATCAGGGACAGAATTGACCAATGGGAGAAAGAGCTTGAAAATGAGGCTGCAGAACTTCTAAAAATAGAACATTCCAAGACTGATTCAATCGGTAATGAGTGTAAGAAGATTGAATCTCAAATAACAATCTTGCAAGATGATTTGAAAGCTTTGCAGGCATCCAATAGAAATAATGAATTGTTTGTACGAGTTAAGAAATCCGAAATTGACCTACAAAACTACTCAACAGCGATGAGTGAAATGGCTGAGAATACTTTAATAAATGATGTAATGTTGATAACTCATGCACCTATTCAGAAAATATTAAAGGTCGACACATGTCTTGGAGAGGTTGTCAGCAAGGAGAGTTCAAATACTCAAATAGAAACCATAGAACCTATTAAACTAGTAACAGAAGAGCCTAAGAAAGTAGGAGCTTTATATGATAGATTATCAGCAACATTCTCTGGGCAAATAAACATAAAAATGTTGTCTGATAAAACAACTTACAACATTACTGGAATAGCTATAATTGGAACCGATCTATTGGCTGTTGCTGATTTTATAAACAGTAAAATAAAAACCGTTGACGCAAAGCAACATAAGGTTTTATCAAGTTTAAAGTTGTCGTCCGGGCCGTGGGATCTTGCTCGTCTTCCAGAAGATGAACTTGCAGTCACACTTCCGGATGAACATATTATACAGATTGTATCAACTTCAGGTGTCCCGTCAACGGTCAAACAAATTAAAGTTGGCGGTTACTGTTATGGATTGGCTTACAGTGATGAAAAACTGGTCGTCACACTGCATACATTCCCTGCTAATGTCCAAACCATTACCATGGACGGTACGGTGCTACAAACCATAAAGTTTGATACTTTTGGAAAAGGTCTTTTTGTATTTCCCTGGTATGTTACCATAAATGAGATGACTAAACAAATCTATATATCAGATTCTGATAAGAAAGATATCAAATGTGTCGACTGGAACGGCGAGGTTGAAGGTGTCTACACGGAACCCAAATTGTCCTGTACATATGGACTCGCTTCATTGGTTGATGGCACGATAATAGTGTCCAGTTATAATAATAATACATTACACCTGGTGTCGTCTGATTTCAAGAAGGGTCGAGTGTTGCTCCAGTATAAAGACGGCATTCGAGATCCACGTTGTCTGGCTGTAAACTGGGATCAGAGGAAACTTTATATTGGATGTTATCAGAATGTTAACATACAGGTGTATGATTTGAAGTGACAGTTACTGAATTAGGAGATTAACATTGGAAATATAATAATTAACCAGAGATATAGAATAACAATAAAAACGAGTTCAAAAATCTGATTATAATAACATATATTTTACAATCAATTCTTATAAAGTCGGTGATGTTTAAACGGTTTCGCTTCTTTGACTATACACGTAGTTGTATTGAAAAACATGACACATTTTGCATTAGGCCTACATTGTCACGTGATTCAGCATACATTTGTTTATATAAAGATTTGTAATGATAATACTCATCCCCCTTTAAAATAAATGCTAATAAGTTTGCAAGATAGCTTTCACTAAAAGCTAAACTTTGCAAAATTCTGAAATGGAGTAGTACCATGAAAATATGTAACAAATTTACAAAAAAAATACATAAAATTAAATATATCTGAATTTGTCTTTTTTCATTTAACTGATAAGTAGCTAAAGAAATACTTGTGCTTTTGGTATCTTATGTTAATGGGAAAGTTCACCAACTTATTCTTCAGCCTGCTGTATTTTGGTACTGGATTTGTCCAGATTTCAAGCTAGAATTTTCTTTCGCTAGATATGAAACCTGAGAAACAGTAAACCAGTATGGTCAGGCAGCACAGAGATGTTATCTATGTCTCTGGGCAACACAAAAGCTTGGTCCTATACCGATGGCATAAGCTTGTTTGTTTGATTTCAAGTCACACTGACGTTTTAAATGTCATATGGCAACTTTCAAGCTTTACTGGAGGAGGAAAATCTCAAGTGCCCCTTCTGACATTCCCTATTTAAAGCTAGCTAGATAGATTTCTCACAAGAATCCAAACTTCATGGTTTTACATTTATTGCCACATGTGACCAAAAAAATTTTTTTAAAAGAACCTAGAATATAACTGTTAATAAAGTTTAACTGGTTTAAATAAGACTAATACACAAAACGATATAAACTATTTCAACAAATGACTACACAATTTCAAATTAGCATTATGATTATTATGGCTGGTACATTACTAGGACACAGCACCAGTTGTCATCAAACTCTTCAAAAAATGAACCATATAAGTATTTTTCTTTTTATTTTTTTATACATGACAACAATGTTATGACAATAACAATAATCTGAAAGATTACATAACAAAATCTTCATTATCACTATCTGAGTCTATCAAAACTGATGTACTAGCAGAGTTTGTTAAACTAGTTGATGGGGTCATACCATTACCTACTGGTGAACACATTTTGTCTCCATTTTTAGGATTTATTTTCCCCACAGATTTATCTCCCTTTGCTGATGATTTGAACTTCTTTGAAGTTGAACTACTATCTCCATTGCCAAAGTCAAGGTCATCACACTCACTATCACTGCTTATCACAATTCTCCTCTTTTTCGCTTGTTTCAAACTATTTCTTTTTCCCAATTTTTGTTTACCCTTTTCATCATTTTCACAAGTTTCACTATCCAAATGTCCGTGTTTTTGTTTTGTGAACACTGAATTTTCTCTGTTTACAATCACCAGTTTTGGTATACTGTCCTTGACCTTTGAACTTGAAGACTCACTATATTGGTGACCTTTGACCTTTGAAAGTGACGGAGATCCACTATCAGAGATTCTTCTTCCTCTCATATCTATAAAAACTTTCTGTGTCCGATTTCTGATCAAGCCTGCGTTAGGACCTGGAATTATATAATTATATATTAAGTATTATACATATCAATTATGGTAAGTTCTAGCTCAGATAAATGTCCATATATGGGTCATCAATCCTTAAATCATCTTTTTGTTAAAAGTATGGTCTCATATACTTCTTTATGGCTGAGAAGAATCTGTATCTAAATACATGTACATCTAGATTTGGAAATTACAAAAAGGAAATATTTTCTAGTAATTAAAAAACAATGCATTTTGCAGGGAGGATAATACTTTTATGTACATGTATATTTATAAAGAATATGTCATCACAAAGTAGTATCCGTTGTTTTTTTCTCTCTTTAAAATGTGTAAATGGACATGCTAAAATAACAAGTATTGCAAAATTGCGAAACTGACGAACAATCTGAACAAAACTGCATGCATTTGCATGTTTATAAATTAGCATGATTCAGTACAAAAGTTTGATGCATTAAAAAAAAACATTTTTCAAATTACATTTAAAAATCACTGATATGAAAATAAAATTCATATTAACCTGGAACAAGATAGCTGATTGTGGAGTAAGGTGTAAAGTGAAAGTCCTCTCTGATATATTGTTTGTTCAACATGAAGGCCAGGATACGCTCCAACTTCTCGCGGTCTGTCCCTGTCTCAGTTCCCTGAAAGTTCAACAATACTCAAGGTCAATGACCTTTAAAGGTCAAATACTCAGAGGTCAAATATTTAAATAGGTCAATTGTCACAATAATATTCTCAAATGACAAAGGCAGGCCACTTTCTGCATGCCATATTAACCCATAACCACATGAATATCATAAATGGACTTGTCCTGCTTCAATTTTTGGTTCAGTTCATTATCAATTTTAGGGATATCAAGAAGAAAATAGAAAGTTACTTAAGCCAACTGTATAAATCATGGTCAGATGAAAAATGCTATTTCACTCTCAGTTCCAGAAGGTTAAAGGTTAATATAAAATACACAATAGCCAATGTACGTTCCATATATGACAAGTTATACCTAATTAACACTGATGACAATTAAAGTCCTCTTCTCATAAGATGAAAAAAACTCTTAAATACATGTATATCTAAAATTGATATCTTTAGTAATCATTTCTGATTTCAGAACAAACCTTGATTCTGTTTACAGATGGACCTTTTCCTTGCCACGCATCTAGAAGTTTTATTGCTGTTAATTTATTTTCAGATGATCCAGCATTGTCCAGTATCTTGAGAACATTTACACAAAATGCTGTCAAATCTTTCTTCTCAACAGGGTCTGCAAAATATCTAATATACTGTACTTAGTGTTTTCTCATGTTTTATTTATTAAACATGTAACTACAAAAGAGTTTAGTTGAAGTTGTGTCAGTGTCTTTCTAAGAAATTGAGACTGCCCAGTTGTGAATCCAAGAACATTCAATATCAAAATACTAAAATTGAGTGGCAAACAATATCATGTCTGGTCAAACTTCAATGCTATAAATTGGTAGCATAGACAAGTGTAGAAAACAATTAAGTTAAAAAGCAGCATGGGCAAAATATAAAATATTTTATTCATCTTTCCAAAAATAGATATACATTGTAACTTCCGAAAACCGAACACCCATGGGACTTGTCAAAAAGTTCGGATTTCAGAGGTTTCCGGAATTCAGAGGTTTATGATAATGTGGACAAGACTAAGCCACTTAATATTACTAAATGTCAAGGAAGATGTGACCATTACTGTAATATCATATAATATTATAATAGTCTTTTAATCAAGATAAAGATGTGAATGAAAAGAACACATTTTTATCTTACCTGCAAATGCTTTTGAATTTCTATCAGTTTGTAGAAATGTTGTTAATTGCATAAACTTACCTATCGTCCGATGCTAGTAAATTAATTATTACATCAAATGCAATGAAATCCTTAAAGACGTTTGATGCATACATTGTCCAATTAATTGTCGTTTAATCTGCTAATAAACACTTCAAATTAACTGACCGCCGTAAATTACTTTGATTAACCGCATCACTTCAAACATACAATAATAGAACTTTTATGCATAATAAGTAATTGTAGTTATTTATTAACATCATTAATTAGTCTTTGTCAATGTACATCTCAAAAGATAATGTGGGTTATTCATTGTTGAGGTTTTTTACAAATTCTATTTCTTTTATGTGTTGTCATTTAAAATGCCTTTGTTGAATACATATAGTTACTAGTCCTTTGTTAATTGTGTTATCAAATCAGAATTAGCTTATGTTATCTTATTATTGTTTTGTTTATGTACATTTAATGTACTGATATTTTATGTAATTGTATGCCTGAGAAGGCCCATGATTGGTAATAAAACATTATTCTATTCTATTCTATTCTATTCTACCATTTCACAGTTTGTGATTTTAACGCGTGTCAAATTACACGATCACCGCTAATTAGTAAACAATCGATAGGGAGATTAAATCTTCCTGCAGGGTAAACATTCTCGATTTACAATATATTTCACACCTTTCGATATTTCCGGTTTTTGGAGGTAAAATTGCATTGATTTGACTCTAATTTTACGAAAAGTATCGTCCGGAATTCAGAATTTAGAAGTTCCGGAATTCAGAAGTATTATATTAATAGAAAATAGAAGGGAAAAAATCGGGACCGAAAAAATTGTTCGGTTTTTAGAAGTTTCCGGATTTCAGAAGTTCCGGAATTCGGAAGTTACACTGTACATGTATGATCTTAGGACATATGTTAACATTAAACCTATAACACTGGTGGAAAATTGTGTGCATTATTACTAGTTGTGCAGAACCTAAATTTCAGACACAGGCATGTATCCAGGAAGGACATACCTTGATTTTTAGTTCTGGCTGATGCTTAATATTGTATCCAAGATAGAACCAATGATCTGAATTTCATGCTTTGGTGGTAATATGGGCAATGACCTGGATTTCAGGCAAAGTTAAGAAACTAGACAGTACCATAGACTTGGATTACAGGCTAAGGCAGGGATGTGGATTAAAGTTCAGAACTTCACGAACATACCGACCTGGAGTTTCAAGCCTAGGCATTTATCAGGGTAGAACCACTGACCTCGATTTCAGGCAAAGTTGAAACACTATAGGAGAGTGTCTATGTGTCAAGCTTGTAACTGTATAAAACCTCCTTGGGGATATTGAAAATTCCATTTTAACAGCTTGCCATAAACATTTATAAGAAAATGTTCCTTATATTGGAGTGTTTGCTAACTGTACATATATATCCAGGCTTGCTTTAAGTGAGGACCAGTGTACTGGTCTTGATTTCAAACTTTGAATGTAAATAACCAGGTACATTACTGGCTCTCTGAATAAACTATGAGTTTATTACTTACAGTCAGAATTACAATGGTCACACATCTTCTTACACTGACTTGCCTCCCAAACCTCGCCAAAATATCTTGCTATCATGCTTCTCCTACATCTGAAACCAGAAAAAATCATACTACAAATTTATTTGGGGCATGCTGCTTTAACAAGTCAATGGTTTAAAAAAATAATGCTTCAATTTTTAGAACTTACATTATTAATATTGGGGATATCAAGATGAAGATTGAAAATTGATCAGCAAACAAATTATAGCTTGGGCTGACTGCATGGCTGAGGCTATGAGCAGACTGGCGTTGCTCTATACTGGTAGCAAAAGGCTTGAGTGGCAGCGTGGCTGAGTGGTTAACACGTGGTTAACACGTCAGACTAGTAATCTAAGAACTGCTGACCATGTGGGTTCAAACCCTGTCAGGGGCAAGCCGTTATTTCCTTCAGCAAGAAGCACTTTACATTCATTGCTTAAGTACTGGTTGGTTCTAGGAACAGATTTGAGTGTTTCTATAAGCTTAAAGCTTCAAACACAATCAAACTAAAATAAATTTGTATAAACTAAAAGGCTAATCATTTTCTGTTTCAGTACTTTAAGGGTTAATCTACTATCACTGTAAATCTACAACAGTATCATAATGCACCTACTTGCTAAGATCTGTACAGTAAGACATGATTCCATAGAGATTATTGAGTCCGGTTTGTTCCGCCATCACCATAGCACTTTGTCTGAACACGTCCTGAAGACGGTAGTAAACAATACAGTGAGATTTCTTCTCGTCACGTCCTATATAAGAAGAACAAGACATTTATTTATTGAACAATTTGAATGAAATATCAAGCTCTCATAGGGTGAGCAAAACAGGAATCCTGACTCATATTACCAGTAAGGCGATTTTGAGGTAAATTTTGCCATTCTTGGTGCAGAGCTTGTTCCAGTTGTTGCAGGTTGACTACATTGCACAAATGAAATTCAAAATTTCAGGTGTAGGCGGTTACACGTTATTAAAGATTTGGCTACATAATGTCATCTGAGGTTACATAATCGTCAACATGTACCGAAAATATCCACCAGTTATGTTTTTTAAACGCTTGAACACTATACTAAACTCATAAATTAACTGGTTTATGATTACTGAATTGGTATAGCTACATATCAAATTACTATTTCTTAGCTCAAGTAAGTCGTCATCTCAAGACAGTGCTTTCAATCACAACCATTTTTAAATTTCCTGGGTATGCTTAACCTATTTCCATTGACTAAGTGGATTATCATTTTTTCATAGTAAAAAATAACTTTGAACAAAATAACAGCAAATTTTCAAGCTATTTAGATTTTACATGTCCACTAACAATTTAGACTTGAATGGGCACAATGTAACTTATTTAATACATTGAAATATTATATACATGTTGTTGTAGAAATTCTCTCTGTAATATAAAACACAAAAAAATATGAAAAGAATATGATTTTAATTGTTTTTCCCCTATTCAAAACATTTTGTTGGTTAACCTTCAGACAAAATGAATTTCACTACTAAAATGTTTCACCAACCTGCTCGTCCACTCTCCTGGTATAGATTCTCCATTGACTTACTGAGGGAATGATGTATAACAAATCTTACATCGGGTTTATCTATTCCCATACCAAATGCTACAGTTGCTACGACAACCTGAATTATACAATAATATATCTAAACTCATACACCTTTAAAAGCCACACTTTATAAATTAATAAGATTTTAAATAATAATTTACATGTATATAAGCCTTTATATTATTAGTTATTTTTGACAGGTTATATGGTCCTTTATAAACAGTTATAAATATATTGTTTATATTGCAAACAACCATTTATATACAGCAATATAACCTGTCAGGAATATCTATAACAAATTTATAATACTGCAAACTTCCTTTTTAGAGTAAAAACGTGAGATTTCTTCATTAATTAACAGCAGCCAGGTATACAAAGGTATAAACATGTAAACATCACAACTTTCCTATGAAAAGCAATGTTACAAATATGCAGTATTATAATGAAGAATCTAAACTAACAAGTGAGTAGTCATTAATAATATGTTATATTGTTTTGAATTGCTACAATTTTATGAGAACCACAAAAAAAGCTGAAACTAAAAATTTGGCATCAGGCATAGATGAAGTTTGTATGCAAATTATTTACTGTCAGTAATCAAAGTATCAATTGAGATCTACATCAAAGTAACCTTTCTATTGAGAAACCTGGATATAATAGCACATACATGTATTTTATTATCTATCCAAGCTTTATGCACTGTACTTCTATATTTAGGACTAAGGTCGGCATGGTAACAACCAGCTTTTATACCTCGTGATTGTAGATCTGATGTAACATCTTCTGACTCTTTCTTTGAGAAGGTATATATGATGCCTGTAACATAATACTATTATTTCTTTATCACATATTTCCTTTATTTCTGACAGTTCCAGGGGTTACACATTTCTCTCTCAAGAAGCAGCAGCATCAGCGTTTAAAATCATAATGTTTTTATGCATATACATACATTTAGAAGCCTTACTTTAGTCATTCAAAAACTGTCAAAATTCTTTGATAAACAAAAATTATAATGTGATTTTATTCATTTAATAATCAATTTATTAACAAATAATTTGTCATTGTATCCACAAAGGTAAATGTAAGTCATGAAAAATATTGTTACATTATGACCATTTTTTTAATAATTGACTGTATCCAATAATTGAAGTTTTACCCGATTGGTTATTGAACTTTGTATTGATCAGTTTCTGTATATCATCCATCACTTCCTTCTGAACAGATGGCTTCTCTCGTACCTGAAATCATCATTGTCATCATTATTGCTGTCATCATTAATAGCATTATAAATATCATCATCAACACAATTATTATCATCATCATCATCATCACTGTCATCATCACTATCATCATCATCATTGTCATCGTTACTGCTGTCATCATCATTAGCATTAAAATATCATCATCAACACCATTATCATCATCATCATCACTGTCATCATCACTATCATCATCACCATTGTCATCGTTACTGCTGTCATTAGCATTAAAATATCATCATTATTATCAACATCATCACTTTCATTGCTAATTGCTGTTATCATCAACATAAAATTAGTAGCATTATTGCTTTCATCAATTATAATAGTACAAAAAATTATTGATTACCTGAATTCATCATCACAACCAACATCCTCATGATTATTTTTGACATCTTAATCAAAATGACGTATCATTATCAACATTACACAGAGATAGCTGATAAAAGCATCTCTTTTAAACAGAAATACACTATTGTATCTGCTTTTATTCCATAACAGTCTTTTTCTTTTGTTTTTGGTTGGTTGTTTTTTATGTCACACCAACACAGTATAGATCATATGGTGGCTTTTGAGCTTTTCTTATGGAGGAAGCTAAGATGCTCTCCCATGGATAATTTCAGGCATGAAAGGGCACCCGAGTAGAACCACCAATGTTCTGTAAGCAATCTGTATAGCTTCCTCACATGAATGAATTCATAGTCCACATGAATGAATTCATAGTCCATGTCAGGATTCGGACCCACAGCGGTGTGGGGCAAGTGGTTTGAAGTCAACAGCCTTAACCACTCCACCATCATTAGAATGCCCCTTCAACAGTCTTGTACATAGGTGCAAATCTTTAAAACAATTATCAAACAGTCTGGCATAAAACATAATGGGACAAGCAAGTATCGTGTAAGTGAAGGAGAAAATATTTAGGGCTCGAGAATCTGCAAAAAAAATTCACAAAATAAACTGCTAATACATGTATATTTTACCACACTAAAATGCCAAACCTTATTGAAAACAAATTTACAAAATAAGAATTAACAAAATTGCTAAAATCAGATTCACTGAAATAAAATTACTGACAAAATTGCCTAATTTGCTGAATCATGCAGAAAATGACCTGACATGGTATAGGAATATTGTAAATACACTCGCATTTGCACTTAATTTAGACTAAACCTAAAAATAGAAAATTTTTGGTCTGTTGAATGGGGCCCCTGAACAGCAAAAAATTTTAAATTTTTTAGAATTTTTTTAAAAACTCCTCAAGCACGAAGTAGGGAAATTTGGTTTGTAAAGGCCAAGGAATTGGAACATCGGGAAAACTCCCGCTTCGGATCCCCGAAAAATTTATAATCTAAAAATATAATTTTAATTTTTGGAATCAGGGGGGTTATAATTGTGTATATAAAATTTTTTAATTTATTATAAAAAATTAAAACCCTTATTATAACTTTTGGGTTACAAATTTTGGGGCAAAAATTTTTCCCATTGTTATTTTAATTTAAAATTGGTGGGTTTAAAACTAAAATAACTTCAACAAGTAACAATCAACTTCTTCACATGATCTATGCTGGTGTGGCTATACGAAAAATGCAAGCAGATGACATACATGTACATGCAGTTCAGATGTAAGACAGCTGGTATAGTAACGGTAATTCATAATATATGCAGTAGTATTTTGACTGACTAATAAAAGCTATCAAAGTTTTATTAGGATACAATTAATAAATAATGTATTTCAGGTTTTACACCAATAACAAAATATTTTTGGTCATATTTCAGCAATCGATCCATCTAAACCAGCTTTCCTGGATATCTAACTGATTTTTCCAAAGTGAAAACTTCCAATACCACATGATTTCTGAATTAGAGATGTGTGACAAATACCCATTAGACTCTATGTCAGTGATCAATTGTCCTGAAGAATTTACACCTCACCTAACAGAACCACCAAACCCTGGATTACTAATCTGATGCTCTCTCTTTTGAGCAAAGCTGGCCTTCCATATCATATTTTATTTGAGACATTTCAACATTTTTTTAAAAGATTTCCTTATTAAATCACCTGGTCTAAAGTCATGTCCCCACTGTGAACAGCAATGTACCTCATCAATCACCAGCCTAGCAAACCTTCCCACCTTGTACATCTTCTCTAGACGAGCCATAAATCTCTTACTTTTTGACAATTTCTCTGGTGTAACATACAGTAGTTTCAGAGTGGCATTGTGATCGATCATGGCCTCCTGGACTCTTTTTATAGTTTCCTTATCAGAGCTGGCATTTAACATGGTAGCATCAACCTTATAGCCTTGTAGAGCCATTACCTGGTCTTCCATTAAAGAGACTAAAGGGGAGACAACCAATGTGATACCTAAAATATAACATTAGAGAAACATCTGAACTTTATGTCCCAAAATATAGTTCTGATACAATCTTTTGCAGAATTTTTAATAATTTTCAACAATGGGTCATGAGCCAAACTTATTCTGATTTTCAATACATTTTGTGAGATTTTTTGCTAAAAAAAACCCCAAAGCATGTTTATTTCAAAATCTCAAAGGGGTTACACATACTAGCCAGATCTTTGGGGAAGTCATGACCCCCAACCTGGATCTGTGCATGTTGTTGGCAAGTACTTTTGCAAAACAATGAAAATGATGAAAAATGGGTCAATTTTAGTACATTTATTGGGTCTACAATAAGTTCTGCAGAAGATGTTTTACCTGTCAACATCTATTCAGTTTTCTGAAATATTTTTGAGTAAAATTAATACAAACTTTTTCTTTAATATAGGATCCTAGAATTGGTAGTACATTTTATACTTTAAATGACAAAGCCATGTATCTTTTTTCAAGAATTTTTTTAGTTAACATACTGTATAGTGAGCCTATCACATGGGTAGATTCACTGCCTACAGTCTAAGTTTTTTTAACTTTCATGGGAAATATAACTTGTTATGCTAAATAACATTTAATAATTATGTTGCTTATTCATAACTTATCATACTTCAACTAACTACTAATTCACTAAATTTAGCAGGAATAAAATTATGTGGTTTTGTCACAAAGGACATTTTCCATGGGTCTTAAATTTCTGAACTGTCTATTTTTACAAGAAGGAAAATGTAAAATAATCTATCACCAGACCAAATGAGATTTTCTTGGATCTTAAAGTCATGAAATGACCGATCGAAGAAAACCACGAAAATAAGTGCACTACATACTGTTTTTTCTTACTTAATTGGGAAGAGGCCTTAGCCTCTTGATTTTGGGAAAAATAATTGCTAAAATTGCTAATTTGGGAAGTAAAAAACCAGGTTTAAGTTCACATTTTTGGGAAAACTGCATGATTTTAAAGAAATTTTCAATTGGGAAGAGGCCTTTTATCAGAGTCTATTATGTAAGCAGGAAAATCACTGACAAATAATAATGATTTTGCAGTAGTTATTAAAGTGTACAAAGCTATTTATCTGGTGCAGAATTGTTGACTAAATTTTAAAAAAGAACACTTCAAAAGTACCTTTATGAATGAAATATGGCAGTATATTGCTCTAAAAAAGAATGTCGCATGCACAAAATCCATGCTAAACGGTTAACAACCAACTAAAATGGCAGAATAATATTTCATTCCAGAACATTTCGATCTGTTTACACAGTTTTCATGTATGTTAAGGTGACAACGGAGTCAATTATCACTGAAAATACCTAAAATGAGATGTTTTGCTTAGTAGATTTATCAACCTTTTCTGAACACATTTGTGATTTAATTTTGGAAGCAGTTAGTCCAAAAAATGTGTTTTTAAACGTTTTAAAACGGTACCTGTACCATTTTTATCTGCTATTCGCGTAACCTGTCAATTATCGATAACGCTCCACCCCCTGTTGAGGCATCAATGAGGGAAATCGGTAGTTCCATATGTGCGTGAATTACCGGTCCATACTGGTCCATACTACTCGTAATTCATGTATCGTACAAATACCGTACATCTTTTATGAATGTCGTCTACCTTTTATTTAGCCTTTTTTTATAAAATAAAAAATTGTCGGCCAATGTACGTAACAAAATGTATGAAACATAAATAATTAAGCATAGCGGCAAATCGCACGACCACGGGGTTGATTAAAGATATAGTTGCTAAAATATCCATAATGTGTGAAATAATTTGTCTGTCCCGTTAATCTGATAGACATTTCATTGAGTTTATGGACTTTAGTACGGATTCAAGGGCTTGCTTTACATTCAACCTCGTTTTCTAACAATGTCAAGTAAAACAACAAGAAAAACAGACATTATTTTTTATGTGAACGCCTATATGACTTGTGGTAAGGTGTCCCTGACAAATTTCTAAACCATTTTAGATTGTTTAAGGATGATTATTTCTCTATGAATCAATAAAAAAAGATATTAATATATATTATCAGTGAATGCTTCGAATAAATTGTTCGCCAGTAAATCGAACACTACCTAGGACAAAGTATGGTATTTATTGTATATCCCAGTAGAAACTGAATCTCTATGCCGTGGATGATAAAAGAAGTCATAAAGGTCAGATCATAATGATCGAGTGATACCTTTTATTTCTATTAAAATATGTGAAGCATTTATATCAATTTAGAGAAAAAATATATAATATCCCGTTCGTATTTGTACATCTACCATGGACATTAAGAGACCATCAGAAGCTCAGTTTTTTGTTATTTTAATTTATATTTTAACGGAATTTCATACACGAATACACAGACAGAGTAACACTGGTATAATATAATAATAATGCTGAAGATAATAATAATAAACTTCAAAAGTGAAACAATTAAATACCCCGCTAGCGGTGCGCAAATGCGTTCCATTTGCCCCCACCGAGTGCCTCAAATTTTACCGAAAGTCACGTGACATGTGCGACTGATACCAGACGGACAGTAAATCACGTAAAGATTTGAAGAAATTTCTGTTATAGACTGATATTAATCAACAACTTTTTAATTGGTCAGATGTCACTGGGTCATAAAATGTTGTTAGAGTATGTTACCGCAACTTGTGACCCTCTTTGGTGCGATATTTGTGTATTACGCAATTATTTAGCGTGAAACGTAGGGGTCCGAGAGAGAACAGCCGATTTATGACACTTCGTTTGATGCGGGTCACACTAACTTTGAATCGGCATAACTTTTTTAATAATCAAGCAATTAACATGCGGTTTAAAGCACATGAAAGGGAATTCATTTATGGAGGGAACCGTGTCAGGGATTTTTGTTTGCTCAATCAGCGACTTAATTATCTTTAATTACGTAATATGTATGGTGAAAAAAGTCGCATAAAATGTTTGACGTTACGTAATATTTTTTTGAGAAAAGATAGAAAAAATGTGAGACACGGTTCCCCAGATATAATAAGTATGTTCATTTTCCAAAAGTTTGATGACAAAAAAATAAAAAATGACTTTGATATGACGATTTAAAATTTTAGGATTTTTATTAAAAATCAATCATTTACAAAGGCATTTTTTTCAAATATGTTATTTTGTATTATGATCAACGACATTTAATGCACAAAGATTAAATAGATAACAATTATTACTAAAATAAGTTGGTTTAAATGACATTTATGTGAATACCACGGAAAGTGTCTGTTGTCACCTTAAATAACGGAACCATTCTATATTGATAAATTTTATAATTTCCTAAGATATAGCTTTATACACTTTAAGATCAAATATATTAAAAACCTTTAGAGAGAAGAGCTGGCAGCTGGAAACACAGACTTTTCCCACCACCAGTGGGCATTATGAGTATACAGTCTTTCCCAGACATTGTAACATTCATTGTTTGTAACTGCATGGGTCTCAAATTGTCCAAACCAAACACTGATTTCATCTCGTCTTGAAGCCTTTCTGACCACTGAAAATCTGCAAAAAAGTGATATAAAATTGTTAACTTCTTTATGTGAATTCAATTTTAGAATAAAATTTTCTCTCACATATTTATCTATGATTACCTGTTCATGTTACATGAATGGTAAAGAAAAATTAATTATGCCAAAACTAAGAAGCTAACATATATTAAATACAGTGAAGCAAGTAATTGAATAGTATACATGTAGCTACTATTCAACTTCTCCCCAATACTTGGGGATGTGATTTTTGACAATTGGTATAACTTTTGTTATCAATAGCCACTTAAAATCAAAGAGCCCCGAGCTAAATTTTGATTTTTTGGGAAAAAACAAAGTTTTATGATCTCCAAAATTTTTCTTTTCACTCCCCCAATAAACACCACAATTTTTCCTCTCTTTTTTTTAACAATGTAAACGAAGTGATGAACTTGTCATGCACACGCTTTTAAAATTTACTGGTACCTGACCTACTACCGGATCTGTACAACCTTTAAATAGGGCTTTTTTCAGGGAATAGCAAAATTGAAAGTGAAAGTTAGACACAATGAAATATTGTGAAAAATAAAATCTTTGGCAAACTTGCACGCGCCAGCTGGGCCATCATCTGGGCAGTTTATATTATTACAATATATACGGTTAACATGTTTCACTTCTCAAGATGATGAAGTACCTTTTTTCTCCCAATCCTTGTTGTGTACCTCAGACTTTGATTCATTCTGTTTCAAAATGGCTTCAAGTTCATCTCTCCTTGTTAATAAGTCACTTTGACGTTGAAGAATATCTTCTAGCTGTACCTCTACAGTTTCTAACTCTTCTTTCACAAGTTTTAGTTCCTGCTTATATTCTGAATTCAAATATAAGTTATAAGTACAGTGATAAATCCTTGTATAAATGTACATTTTGTATTAAGAGATCTGCTGAAATAAACTACATATGTCTTGATTAACATGCCTTAGTGTTTAAAACATCATTTGCCAGCAAATGAAATCACTCCAATTTTCAAAATAACCCCTTTCTTTATCATATGACAGACAAATTTTGTACCTTATTATATAAGTCAAACATTTAATATTTACGAGTTTGGTATGAAGTGTGCATGTGTTAACTGAATTAGTAGTGCTGCCTTCTTATTATGACATGACATTAATAAATTTCTTACAAAGAACCAGGTCAACATTTCTTCATACAATCAATTACCACTTTTTGTGACAGGCGTTGTTTTGCTAATCCCATGACAAACCCATAAATTCTAGTCATTTTGAACTAAGTATATGTTAGTCGATCATGTTTGCATTTGATTATGTGATATATTGCGCGAGGGCATACTGGTTGGGGACCACCAAAACCAGACAACCACCAAACCCGGAAGATCCTGAAAATGGTTAATTTAGTATTTTCTTTGTTCAGTGGTTGTCAATGACTTTTTTATTAACAATAAAAGCATGTTTCTTTTATAATTAAGTAAAATTTTTTATTTCAACCTCCGTAAATGGTAATATTTTAATGTCTATTTCAAGAATGTTGACGTTGAAATTTGGGCGTCAAGAAAGCAATGCCTGACCTTATATACCAGCTATAATCATTTGCAGAATAAACAATAGAATATCCAAAACTTCAGTATTTGTTGCTGAAATATTGTATATCATGTTAAAAATCAAAAAGAAAAACACCCGAGCTTTTATCTGAATGAAATCACGTCCTGTACTTATCTGTCCAGACACATGGTACTGTAGTGTAGAAAATTTAGGTAGTTTTGATACTGGTTGGAGAGATAACTCCGACACTAAATCACATATTTTTTGCAATATATAAATTATCTTCCAGTATATTTTAAATATTGAAAAACCTAAACAAAGTTCAGTTCAAAGACTTTACATTACACTACAAAAATTATGTATGAAAATGGAATCTGGTACTTCTTTAAGGTCTTGAATGACGTATACAAAACATGGTCTTTTTACCCCACAACAGTAGATAAAGTCGACACTTAAATGTACAATTAAAAAATGACTAGAAAATCAGCACCAATAATTTATTTTTACATCTTATATGGTTTATCTATTTTTTGTAAATATTTAAACAATTTTTCAGAAATCTTTCCCAAGTCAGTGGCCTGTGGTATATACATTTCTAACTACCTTACTGGTTGGAGAGATAACTCCGACACTAAATCACATATTTTTTGCAATATTTTAATTATCTTCCAGTATATTTTAAATATTTAACCACCTAAACAAAGTTCAGTTCAAAGACTTCACATTACACCACAAAAACTATGTATGAAAATGGAATCTGGTACTTCTTGAAGGTCTTGAATGAGGTATACAAAACATGGTCTTTTTACCCCACAACAGTAGATAAAGTTGACACTTAAATTTTTAAGTAAAAAATGACTGGAAAATCAGCATAAATAATTTATTTTTACATCTTATATGGTTTATCTATTTTTTGTAAATATTTAAACAATTTTTCAAAAATCTTTCCCCAGTCAGTGGCCTGTGGTCAATACATTTTTAACTACCTTACTGTAATTTAGTAAAAAGAACGTTCTGAAGCAGTTTTTGCCTACAAAAAGTTTAGGTTATTCAGGGTTGTCATTAAGAGGCGGCAGGAGGCCAAAATGCCTGTCTCAAATGCATTATGGGCCGCCTCAAAATTAAGAAAACACTCTTTGTTATGCATGATAAAGACAGAAATGACCGCCTCAAGTTCAAAACAAACCTTCTGCAAAAAATGTTAATGACAACCCTGGTTATTTGAAAAACATTAAAAAGTCTACCAAATTATAACAAATCATCACATTCTGTCCTGTTCCTATACTGTTAGGTGATCATGTGCTTATTTGTTGAAAAACAAAGCTAAAACAATTATATTTATCAAGTGACGGGGTTATCTATGCGTCGGAGTTATCTCTCCGACCAGTATTGTAATTTAGTAAAAAGAACGTTTTGAAGCAGTTTTTGCCTACAAAAAGTTTAGGTAATTTGAAAAACATTAAAAAGTTTACCAAATTATAACAAATCATCACATTCTGTCCTGTTCCCATACTATTAGATGATCATGTGCTTGTTTGTTGAAAAACAAAGCTATAACAATTATATTTATCAAGTGTCGGGGTTATCTATGCGTCGGAGTTATCTCTCTGACCAGTACCCTCCTGGACGAGCCTCAGAAACATGTCAATACAATCAGAAATAAACAAAGTAGTTTGTTATTTAGGAGAAGAACCTAGCTGTACTGTGTCAAATTTTTAGGTCTCCTGGTTTGACATAATGAAATCTGTATGGAAAAATGTTCAAAAAGTGTCCGGTTGATGGTCCCCGACCAGTAGCTCGAGCAACTATACTCAGTATTGTATAGTCAAACCAAGATATGGACTATTTGACCTATTTAAAACATGGTCGTTTCTCTCAAATCTTTAAATGTCAGTTACAGCTGTACCCTGGATCAAATTCTCATGTATACCAACACCTATTGCATGATAAGCAAGATGTAAATAAAATATCATATAAAAATGTTCTACTGTATGCATAAAAAATATCGCGAAATATGATTACAAAACGAAAATAGTTTAACACTTTTAATAAATGCTAGTGTCATTCTACTCAGTACTGTAATATAAATTTAACTCACCTTCCATAGTAACGTTAACAGGCAAGATTTTATAAAATATTCAAGTTATTTCATTGCATCAACATTTTATCCATGGGCGCAGACATTTTCTGTTGTTGTTGTCGTATCTACTAAAGGTCTATTTATAGAATATATAATAACTTTTGGAGCAATGAATTTCATATCCCAAGTGGTCTAGTGGTTAGGATTCCGCGCTCTCACCGCGGCGGCCGGGGTTCGATTCCCCGCTTGGGAAGATTTTTTTTTATTTTGAGAATTTCCCGATTGTCTTTGTTTGCACCATTACAACTACAACTACATAATGTATTACTCAAGAAGTATAGCTATATAAACTTCATATCCTACGATATATATTTTAAAATACAAGCCAATGCCCAGTGAACCATGTCGTCCAATGTAATCACAATTTCATATCAGACGTTATAAATTGAAGGCTTGAAGACGGTGTTTTTGACGTCATGAAATTTTAACGTCACAAAATGTAACTCCAACATATGAAAATGTGTCATTATGATTACTATACACTTCATGAGAGCTAACTTCCGCAAATACTTATGTCATCTTCAAGGATGTAAAATGATCGCGTTTAACAATTATTATAATGTATCGGAAAACAAAATACACTGTGTAATAAGTATTGTCATATGAAAATAAAAATATCATGTGATTTGCCGCTTCATTAAAATGCATTTATGTGTACATGAAACAAAATATGTAAGTACTGAATTTATATTTTACGTTTTCTTTATTTCCGAAATCTGTAGTAAAGAGACAAATGGATTGAGTGCATATATACAAAAATGGATAAAAACTGTCTTATAGCAAAGGTTTGCAAACTATCTTTAATTTTACAAACAAGACATACATATCTCAATATATACATGAAAAGTTGTTATTTGATGTTTGAAACAAATAAAGAAGAGTACTGTATTGAATCTTATATGAGACGGAACGTTGATCTTATTTTCATATTAAGTACGATGTTTTATGTCATGTATGCACAGTAATTAATTCCGAACATGTGTAAAAATTATAATATTCAGAAAGTTTTTCCGCAAAAGGAATCCTAAATGTCATTTAAATATTGGTGATAACAGGTCTGATGTAGAAAGAAGAAAACACAAAAGCCGTTCTAGAAACACAGACACTAGACGAGCCGGAATATATGTTGATTATCAAGAAGATACCAGTAAACGATCAGGTATGTTTCATAACATCTGCAGCCTGATTAGTCAAAATATTTCAAAAATAAACCTTGAGAAAAAATGTACTAAAAGTTAAAAAAACAACAACAACAACAACAACAACAAAAAAAAACAACAAAAAAACAATAAACAACACGCGCACGCACACACACACGCACGCACGCACACACGCACACACACACAGATTAAAGTAATACTTTACATGTTATATGCTCATTTTGTAGTACATTGTATTTACAATATCTCATTTTGCCTATTTTGACCACTTTTTGGTAATTTACGTGGAAAAGTGCCGTTTAATTGCAATGTGCAAATTATTACATTTGTTCACTTGACATTATTTTACTGTTAAAATCATTTCCAAATTGTCACGATTAGCATTAATATGAAGATACATAACCAGAATATTTCCCAGATGTGGTAATATTCTTTTATATTCTATTTATAGCTGGATAGTTTTTTTTATTTGATTATCTACTTAGTAAACTTGCAAGTCTTATATGAAAGGTCCATTTTGCCACAGAAATATATGCTTTTATTTCTATTTATAAAACTCCTTTTATTGTTGTGTCCTGTTACAATATTTAATTAAGTTACTCACTGGTCATTTACCCGGATCATCCTTTGCTTTTATTGCGTTTTCGCAGTTAAAGCGATTTAGTTTTTCGTGTGGGAGTCAAAATTCTACATTATTTGTAATTTGCTACTTTTACAACAAATAATTTTGCAATTTGCACAAATTTTTCAGATGTGAAACAAATGCCGTTTTGAAAGTGTATTTATTTCGCTTTTCAGTCATTTTGTATAATTCTAGGAGTTTACGTTGACACAATACACGAGAAAAACGTTCCAAAAATGGATGACACTGAAGATGAGCGCGCGCCATTGTTGCGCAAACAAGAACGGCTAGAGCGTCAAATAATATCCGAGATAAATCGAGTTGATGCCAGGGTGGATGAACTTCTGCCACACGCTGGTATATCAATAATCCCAGATTAGCTTGAATCTTTGATCAATAAATATTCCTGGCATTGTCATAATTGTATATTTTGTAAAAAAAAGTAAATAAATAAAAGTCGATAATTTAAAATCAATATTTAAGCTTACCTCTATAGTTTCATAATGAGTCATCCTGTTTTTAATTTTACTTGTTTGTCTCTTTACTATAATAATCAAATATATTATAAATTGGATAAGGAGGGTGCGGGCCCTTTCATTGTATGATCGTAAAAATACATTTTACAGTCACCCCATTTATTTTCTCGGGCTTTAAAACAGAATTTCAGTTCTTCAAAAGTAAAGGGCAACTATATGTAACTGCTTGACACCCTGCCCGAATTATCTTTGGTGAACGTCCCTCGGGTTTTTTTCGGTGGTTTACTGCCGTGAAAAGCATTCTTAATTAAACGGCTTATATAACATTGAAAAATTGATCAATTTGAAGATAATGCTGGACTGGAAATCGAATCCAATTTCGTAATATAAGTGATAAAAGCGTTTTATATTTCAAACACGATAATGCTCTCCTTATGTTATATTACGTTAAGATTTTGTATAATGTTGCTTAATATTATGTTTTCATTATTACAGACAGCCTTTCTGAAACCACCAATCGTTATTTTGGCGAAGACGGTAAAGTGTTACGTAAGAAACGACCTTTTTGGAAACGATTTTGTTGTTGCTGCTGTGGGTAACAATACGTGACATATGCTTTATTCACACAGAAATGTTAGGATGCAGACATATACTGGCACCAAATTAATGAAGCCTCTGAACAAAGATAAGCAAGTGCAATGCCAAAAGCATGGTTTAACTAAATGTCTCGTGTTAGAAAGTGACCTAGTGGGATTTCGGTATGTGTAAGGGCTAAAGCTAAATGACTTTGTAAAAACAACATTGTTGCACGAAAGCATACATCATACAGTCTTGTTCATCTTGGCTTGCAGATAACAAATTGTCACTTCATCTAGGAAAGACTGTATGCCTTATTTTTGGTTTCAAGCGTAAACTGTAAAAAGTTAAAGAGCTTAAAATTGTTTGTAATGAACATATTATTGACACCACAAAATCTGTAAAATATCTAGGTTTGAATTTTGATGATTCTTTGTCAGGTGAATCTATTGTTAACAGTATTCTTACAAAGGTAAATTCACGTATAAAATTTTTGTATAGGCTAGCAAAATTGTTTAGATTTTAGGACTAGAAAATATTTATGTCCATCACTAATACAGTGTCACCTCGATTATGCATGTTCTTCTTGGTACCCGAGTCTGAACAAGCGTTTAAAAAGTAAGCTTCAAATTTGTCAAAATAAAATTGTTAGATTTATACACGGTATGGGACCTAGAGATAGTGTCAATAATGTTATTCTTGCGAATATGTCTTTATTAAATGTAGAAAACAGAAATAAGCAATTACGCCTTAATCATGTTTTTAAAATTGTTAATAACCAGTGCCCTTCATATATGAAAAAATGTACCTGTTACTGACATTCATTCTTATTCAACTCGGGCGAATCAGTTCAATTTTAGGGTCCCAAGATGTTATGGGAAAGATAATGTAACTTTTTTTTCAAAAAGCAATTAATGATTGGAAATCCTTGCCAACAGACATTAAAAATTAATAATATAGGAGATTACAAAAGCTCAGTAAAGGTCCATTTACTAAAACAGTTAGGAAATCATAGTTAACTTCACTAGTATGATTAGATATTGATCTCCATTTTTTATTGTTTTCCTGTTTTCCTGTTTTGTTTTGCTTTTTTATATTGTATATTCTACTAAGTATTTATCCAAGGACCCCATTGGAAATAGGCCTTCGGGCTTTCATGGGCAATCCGAGGTTATTGCACACTACTTTATATATGCTTTCATGCACTTACATAGTCACCTTATCATTGATAAATATCTAGTCAAATGAAGAGAGATAAATTTGGTCTTTTCTTAAATGTAATTTTTTAGTTTTTGTTTTTTGTTTATTATTGTTATTATTTATTATTTAATGAGCCTCCTGTGATACTAATGTTTGACAAACTTCCGAAAGTTTTTATTACAAGTTTGTTTCAATAACTTTCATATAAGAATGCATAAGTGTTTGTGTCGTGTATATGTGTATTTCAACCTAAATAAATTTATCTATTTTTCCTCTATGCTTGAAACGGCTTTTCGTTCCAAAATGCATGACTCTATCATGATAGCAAAGTTAAATCTTCATAGAACTATTTAAATGAATAAAATGTAAATAACGAATAAAAGTAATTTAAATAAAATTGAGCCGTGTCATGACAAAACCAACATAGTGCGTTTGCGACCAGCATGGATCCAGACCAGCTTGCGCATCCGCGCAGTCTGATCAGGATCCACGCTGTTCGCTATCAGTTTCTCTACATGTTAAAGGGTTTGTAAGCGAACAGCATGGATCCTAATCAGACTGCGCGGATGCGCAGGCTGGTCTGGATCCATGCTGATCGCAAACCCATTATGTTGGTTTTGTCGTGACGCGGCTCAAATGGTCATACGACACATACCAATGAATACTATTTATACGACACTATTCGAAATTTCACAGCACTACTTTTAGGACAATTAATAAAATCCATACGTTTATACTCATAGGGAAATGAAAATTTTTCATACATTACTACTCACAGACAATGAATATTTTTCATACAGCACTTCTCACAGGATAAGTAACATTTTTCATATAGCACTACTCACAGTACAATGAACATTTTTCATACAGCACTACTCACAGGGCAATCAACATTTTTCATACAACACTTCTCACAGGACAATGAACATTTTTTCATACAGCACTCTTTCTAGGACAATGCACATTTTTCATACAGCACTTCTCACAGGACAATGAACATATTTTCATACAGCACTACTCACAGGACAATGAACATTTTTCATACAGCACTACTCACAGGACAATTAACATTTTTCATACAGCACTACTCACAGGACAATGAACATTTTTTCATACAGCACTACTCACAGGATAATAAACATTTTCATACAGCACTACTCATAGTACAATGGACATTTTTTCATACATCAGTACTAACAGGACAATGAATATTTTTTCATACAACACTACTTACAGGACAATAAACATTTTTCATACAACACTACTTACAGGACAATGAACATTTTTTCATACAACACTTATTACAGGACAATGAACATTTTTTCATACAACACTACTTACAGGACAATGAATATTTTTTCATACAGCATTATTTCTAGGACAATGCAAACTTTTCATACAGCACTTCTCACAGGACAATGGACATATTTTCATACAGCACTACTCACAGGACAATGAACATTTTTTCATACATCACTACTTACAGGACAATGAACATTTTTTCTTACAACACTATTCACAGGACAATGAACATTTTTCATACAACACTACTTACAGGACAATGAACATTTTTTCATACAACACTTATTACAGGACAATGAACATTTTTTCATACAACACTACTTACAGGACAATGAACATTTTTCATACAACACTACTTACAGGACAATGAACATTTTTCATACAGCACTACTCATATTACAATGAACATTTTTATGCCCCCACAATGTGGGAGCATATAGCGTTGCACTTGTCCGTCCGTCCGTCAGTCCGTCCGTCCGTACGTCCCGAAATCTTGTGAACGCAACTCCTCTTAAACCGGATGGCAGATTTTGCTTAAACTTACAGGGATGAACAACCTTAATGTGTAGATGGTAGTAAAGGAAGGAATTTTCGCTGCGACCAAATTTAACAGAATTATGGCCCTTTGTTGATTTTTTCACTAGATACTATGTAAAAATTTTGTGAACGCAACTCCTCTTAAACCGGATGGCAGATTTTGCTTAAACTTACAGGGATGAACAACCTTAATGTGTAGATGGCAGTAAAGGAAGGAATTTTTGCTGCGACCAAATTTAACAGAATTATGGCCCTTTGTTGATTTTTTCACTAGATACTATGTAGAAATTTTGTGAACACAACTCCTCTTAAACCGGATGGCAGATTTTGCTTAAACTTACAGGGACGAACAACCTTAAGGTGTAGATGGTAGTAAAGGAAGGAATTTTCGCTGCGACCAAATTTAACAGAATTATGGCCCTTTGTTGATTTTTTCACTAAATACTATGTAAAAATTTTGTGAACGCAACTCCTCTTAAACCGGATGGCAGATTTTGCTTAAACTTACAGGGATGAACAACCTTAATGTGTAGATGGCAGTAAAGGAAGGAATTTTTGCTGCGACCAAATTTAACAGAATTATGGCCCTTTGTTGACTTTTTTCATTATATACTATGTGAAATTTTGTGAACGCAACTCCTCTTAAACCGGATGGCAGATTTTGCTTAAACTTCCAGGGATGAAAAACCTTAATGTGTAGATGGTAGTAAAGGAAGGAATTTTTGCTGCGACCAAATTTAACAGAATTATGGCCCTTTGTTGATTTTTAGTTTTCAACTTGTGGCACATGTAGTCCAAAAATATTTGACCTAGAGTCATAAGATTGACAGAACAGTGGCGTGTGGGGGCATCCGTGTCCTATGGACTCATTTCTAGTTTCATACAGCACTACTCACAGGACAATGAACATTTTTCATACATCACAACTCACAGTACAATGAACAGTTTTCATACAGCACTTCTCACAGGACAATGGACATATTTTCATACAGCACTACTCACAGGACAATGAACATTTTTCATACAGCACTACTCACAGGACAATGAACATTTTTCATACAGCACTACTCACAAGACAATGAACAGTTTTCATACAGCACTTCTCACAGGACAATGAACATTTTTATACATACCTTCTTTTAGGACAATGGCAGGACAACGAACAATTTTCATATAGCACTACTCAGAGGACAATGAACATTTTTCATATAGTACTTCTCATACGACAAGAAAATAAAATCATACAGCACTACTCACAGGACAACAAATAATTTTCATGCAACGCTACTGGCAGAGTAATGTTATAATTAAAACACTGTTTAATAACCAAAGCTTGTTACCCCACTTTTTCTATAAAATCCATTCATTTTACAATTGAGATGTATTTAAGTATACCATTATATGATAAATGGATCATGAACACTAGACAAACAAGTATGTCAGGTCGATGTTGAAATAAGTCAAGAACTTGTTGTACCTTTACATGAGATTTCGTTGCTGAAGATCAATGTCAGGCGTTAATTCCTTCTAGACAAACTGTACAATTCATAGAAGGCCAACAAGATAGTAATTAACAAGAATTTATTACAATTGTAAATGCCAGAGTATTTAATTGGAAGGTGTAGATTTCGTGTATAATAATGAATATACATATTAGCACGCCCGTTTAACTCACAACGAGTGAAAAATGTCCATCGGTAAAAATGTTGTGAGCAACTTCCGTTCCTCGTTGTGAGCACCCATCTAGGACGTGTGACACGATAAACAAGGTGAGTTTTTCATAATTTTTGAAGATTACAGACATTTATGTAAAATATCGGAATGCAGTTAGCTAGCGATGTGTTTTCCGATTATGCACATGTAAAGATCTGGCCTGTTGGTCGACAATTTGATGGAAATACCCTGCGACGCAGTCACTTGGGGTAGCTGGAAAACTTGAGACAACTTCTTTCCGGACCAAATTTAACATTGAAAAACGTCGATTCTGGTGACGTTTTGTGCATTCTAACCTAAAACAGATGCCCACAAGTCTTCAGCGTAAATTATTACATGAAAGTCTTCATAGAAAGGAAGATATACCCTTTTTTGCTTTAATCCTCGTTGTGAGCACCATAACCTCGTTGTGAGCAAGACAAGCGCAGTGCGTGTCTGGTTTTAATATGTACAATTCAAGTGGGTAGAATACAATTTTCAATCTACCAAAAGCAATCAAAACGCTTTTGCACAATAGTTTCTCTTTGCAATAGTTCTTCTTTGTCTACATTACTTGGCCAGTCTAACATGAATAAAACTCAGGATAGATACATGCATGTTTATATCACACCGACTCTGGCAACACGAAGTATATGCAATTATATACATAATTTACCTCCCCTTATTAGTTCACCACCATTTGCACAAACACCAAAACATCTGCAAAATTGTAGGTATAAGTAGTTTTTTTTGTTTACCATTATCTATTAAGCTAAGAATATACTAGTGAAGTGTTAAAAGCTACAATACACAAAATAAGTAATCCTCCGCGAAAAACGATAGTCGCATATAATAACAGATTCAAATAGTTCTCAGCGTTTGTTTGCTCTGTACACGAGCATTTTTCATGATTTTAGTTGCACTGTCTTTCCTAGAAAGCTCATGACAGTCTGTGTTTGACATTTAAATAGCATTTTCATCATGAAATAGTGGCATTTTAAGAAATCTTCTTGACTTCTTAGGTGTTTCGACACTGGTACAATTTTGGGTTAGCTAATTTTACAGTGTGTTTAACTGAAAAAAATGTTTTTGCCAGAGACATTACCAAAACTTTTCTTTTGATTTTTATGCATCACTGACAGTTTTTCTAGTAGTTCAAATCTGTTTCAGACCAGGGCAAGTACATACTTGATGTCTCGCTTCGGTCTCTCCTTGAACGACCCCATGTCCAATCACTAAAAAGAATAGTACTGCAGTTGGAAGGCCTTGTCCAAAGAGGTGTTGTGCCTAAATATGAATTAAATTGATTTACTAATAAGGACATTATGGCCAATCTTAAATGTTTTAGGACAAATTGACCTTCAAGGTAAAGGTCATTCAGGGATCAAGGAAAAGAAATACAGGCCCGTAGGAAGGTCTTGTGCTAAGGGATGTTGTGTTTAAATATGAATCAAATCCGTTTACTAATGAGGAAGTTATGGCCAATGTTAAAGTTTTTTGGACGGATTGACGGACTGACGGACAGACAGTTCAAAACTAATATGCCTCCCTTCGGGATATACACGTCTTGCAAAGAAATGCTGCTGTGCAAAAACGTTTTAATTGCTTTGGTAGATTGAAAATTATATTTTCACCATCTTTTGTTTGTTTAGGAAATAGATATCAATTCTGAGTGCATTGTTGTAGAATAATGCACGGTTTGTGTTCAAAATCACGAAGGCCGATAGGCCTAAGTGATTAA